AAAGGTAAGTAAGGGGGTAGGGTTTATGTAGGATCATAACTCCTCCCACAATTCCAACATATATATAAATAATAATTTGGGAGTCTAGCCAACTCCTTGGTTTTGCACCCCTCCCTGTCACAGGTGCCTCATCCCAGGGCCCTATTTAGCCTTGTACTGCAGAGAGCCCCAGATGGAATTTCCCCCCCCAAGTGGGTTAATCTCATATTACCAATTATAGTAAAGAGCGAGTAAAGATAAATCAGTGTTACACAATAAAAAATATATAAAGAGAAGAATATATATAATAGAGTGTACTGTAAATTACTCTTGTGATTAGCTTGTGATTTTCACAGTGAGAATCACGCAAGCGCCTCTAGCGGCTGTCAATGAGACAGCCACTAGAGGATTTGGCGGAAGGCTTCTCCGAAACTGCTATGTTTATAAAAGAATGGGTTAACCCTAGAAGGACCTGCCACCCAGACCACTTCATTAAGCTGAAGTGGTCTGGGTGCCTAGAGTGGTCCTTTAACAACTTCATTTTGGCTGGGTGCCTGCCCTCATCATTTGCAGCCCTGAATAATAAAACAGCAAAACAAGTGCATGGAAGACAAGTTATGCTGGATGAGTGTTTTTAAACATGTGGGCTAGAGTGTATCTATAGGAATATCTGTTCTTTTTAAGTAACCATGTAGCAGCATATAAATGTAAGCATAATATAAACGATAAAAGTTTAGATAAACTATATTAGACGAAGTTTTAATAAAACGTATACGAAAATGTGTACGTTCAGTTTGCGTTAAAAAATAAATTTCTGAAAGTTAAAAGAAAAAATTCAGCCTCCCCGTCGGGGAATCGAACCCCGGTCTCCCGCGTGACAGGCGGGGATACTTACCACTATACTAACGAGGACTAGCTGTGTTACTTCCACGAGAAGGAATTTTTTTATGCAAGCACAAAGCTTGTTAGCTATATTATTATTATTAGTTTGTTGCGTTTATTATTTTTTTTATTATTATTATTCAGAAGCACCAATGTAGCACCTTGGCTCAGTTTCTCAATCCAGAATTGACAACTTCCTGAAACATCCTCTGGCCCAGGACAGTGTGCATTTTTAGTTTGTTGTTGTGTTATGTTTCTCTTACTTTGCTGCAATTTCAAATCCATTTGAAGTGAACCTGCAATCTTTGTGTTTCCTACACATGGTGAACTTTCTCAAGTGGTTTATTAGCTTCAGTCATAACTGTCTCCAGAGCACAATAATAGTGATCACGACTAACATCACTACTGGTAGGAGGCGATTGGAGGAGTACACGTCGAATAAATAATATAATAAACACTGTGCTATAACTTAAGAAGTAAAACAAATTAACTGGACAGCAAGCAGTAGTTTCCAGTAATATCTTACGTTGCCAAGCAACCAGCAGTTGCACCTGCTGCACACTATTTAGCATGGGCCTTTCCCTTGAAAGAGATAGTCTGCAGCACATGATTGCATTGCAGAGATGGCACAGTATGCCCAGCAGCCATCTGGGACAAGGCACCAATATGTGAAAAGTCTGACTCACCCAGGACACTTACTGGTTTGCCACTTTACCAGAGGTCAGACATGAAAGCTACAAGTACTGCAAAGAAAAATGAGTTCCAAAAGGATTGACTGAGTAGGTTCACATCTAGGTGGGGAAAAGCCAACAACAACAAAAAACCTATGACTAGGGATGGGAGGTCAGTGCAATCAGGCATTTCAAGGAAAATAAACATGATTCATTCCATTCCTAGCCTGGAAGCCTCATGAACTGCAGAGTCAAAGAATACAAATCAGAATGAAGACTTTTTTTCTGTGGTGTCATTACAATGTGCAATATTATGAAAAACACAAGATAGGTATGCATTAAGCTCTTAATGATCCCTTTCTTTACTTAAAACAGCATCAAACTAAAATCATTAAAAAAAAAACAAAAAAAAAAAACAGAGAATTGTTAAACCTAACATGAAATCACAACTAACAACCAATCAGATCCAAATACAGGTTATAAAAGGTGCCGTGAACATTCCATAGTTCTCTTTCTTTGCAACTAATATCGAAAAACATAAAGCACAGAAGAAGTGGCCCATGAAATTATCATGTGTAAAGGGAACAGAGAGGGGGTAACCCTTAATTTTTGGAACAAAGTAGAAAGAGAGGAGAATCTGTCCCTAAAATTAAAAATCTAGAAGATACTTTATTAATATATATCAAAAGACGTTTCCCAGAGTAAACTACCTCTACCACAATAATGTAGTGTAGACTGGCTGTCTAACATAGACAGAGTAACCAACATAATACTGCTTAGGATGTGTAAAAGGGGGATAAGGGGAGTGAGGGAGGACATTAAACTACAATAAAATAATTAGCAAAAATGATTAGCAAAAATGGATAATAAGGAGTAAAGTAGATGGTAACAATCTCCAGAATCGAAATATACAACACAGCTAATTGAAGTAATGTGTAACAAAAAAGGGGAAAGAGAGAAGTCAGTCTGTGTGCATAGATCCACAAACTGTAAAGCTGAATAATATCGAATAAGGTATCCTAGGAGTATGCTCACTGAAAGTAACGCAATAGTCACAATAGACTTAGTCAAAATAACTATCTAAAACTAGACCACTAGGATTAGCAACAAGTGTATATCAAAATCTGTTAGCTGATCTGAAGGAAAGAATGTGTCAATTGTATCAATTCCTGTGAAAGTGGCTACATCACTGTATAGACGTGCCGAAAGTACAATTAACGAAATATAACGTGCACACTGCTCCTACGAGGACATGCCAACGCAATAAATGCGTTCTGGTTAGACCCACTGAGTCAGTTGAAATAAAGGGGGCTCTGGTGTTTAACTAGCTCAAATAGTGCACAGATAGTGCAATAAAGAGGGCGGGCAATAGGGTGACACAATTAACCTCCTCCAAAAGTGTTCTAGTAATAGTCAAAAGATAAATCAGATAGGAATGGTGCCTTCATGGGCACCAATTATAGTAAAGAGCGAGTAAAGATAAATCAGTGTTACACAATAAAAAATATATAAAGAGAAGAATATATACAATAGAGTGTACTGTAAATTACTCTTGTGATTAGCTTGTGATTTTCACAGTGAGAATCACGCAAGCGCCTCTAGCGGCTGTCAATGAGACAGCCACTAGAGGATTTGGCGGAAGGCTTCTCCGAAACTGCTATGTTTATAAAAGAATGGGTTAACCCTAGAAGGACCTGCCACCCAGACCACTTCATTAAGCTGAAGTGGTCTGGGTGCCTAGAGTGGTCCTTTAACAACTTCATTTTGGCTGATTTATAGCCACTTTCATTTAATTATTTGGAAACAATATACCGATCAGGGTATCTGTTACTCAGCTAATTTACAGTACACTCTATTGTATATATTCTTCTCTTTATATATTTTTTATTGTGTAACATTGATTTATCTTTACTCTCTCTTTACTAGGGAGGCTGGGTGGAGTGAAATTTAAAAAAATAAATAAATTGTGTGTGTTAAGGAGTTTGTATGAGTGTTTGTCAGTGGGTGTGTGTGTTCTTGTCAGTGAGAGTGTAAGTGTACTTGTCAAATACACATGTATGTCTGTATGTGTGTACGTGTGTGTATGTGCCAATGTGTATCTGTGTGTCAAGGTCTGTGCATGTGTCAAGGTGTGTATCTTTGTGTCTATGAATTTGTGTATGTCTCAATGTATTTATATGTGTGTGTGTGTTAATTCGTTTGTGTATGTACGTACGTACGTACGTACGTACGTGGCATACGTATGGCAATCATATGTCCATACATCCCAGCAATCAAACACATATATGTGCATACATCCTAGCAATCAAACACCAACACAACATGCAAACACACTCCTGCAAACACAAACATTACATACAAAAAACCCTGGATTCAAATTTATATACAAACACTCAAACACACAGATGGGTTTTAAGGCACTTCTTAAACAACTGAAGACTAGGGTAGAGTCTGATGGGGGTAGGCAGTTTATTCCATAGGAAGGGAGCAACCCGCGAGAAGTCCTACAAGCGCAAGTTGGCTGTACGGGTGCGAGCAGCGGTCAGGAGGTGGTCACGGGCAGAATGGAGGGAACGTGGAGGGGCATAAGTATGGATCTGTGAAGAGATATAAGAGGGGCTAGAATTGTTCAGTGCTTTATATGTATGGGTTCGCACTTGGAATTGACTTCTATAGGATTCAGGAAGCCAATGTAAGGACTGACAGAGGGGTGAGGTGTGAGAGGACCGACTAGAGAGGAAAACCAGTCTGGCGGCGGCATTCATTACAGACTGTAGCGGGGCAATATGGCTTTTGGGAAGACCAATCAGGAGAGGGTTACTATAATCCATGCAGGAAATTACTAGAGCATGGACAAGCTCCTTTGTAGCATCTTTTGTAAGAAAGAGGCGGATGCGGGCTATGTTTTTATATTTTAAGTTGGAATCTACAGGATTTGGCAACAAACTGAATGTGAGGTTTAAAGGTGAGGCCAGTGTCAAGTATGACGCCAAGACAGCGCACTTGCAAGGATGGACTGATGTGGATACCACTGACTTGAAGGGAGAGTGAGAGAGGAGGTACAGTATTAGGAGGAGGAAAGACAAGGAGTTTAGGTTTAGAAAGATTGAGTTTCAGAAAGCGGGAGGACATCCAGTCAGAGATGGAAGAAAGGCAAGCAGTGACATGTTGCAGGACAGCAGGGGAGAGGTCCGGGGAGGAGATATATATTTGGGTGTCATCAGCGTACAGGTGGTAGTGGAATCCAAAAGAGGCAATAAGTTTGCCAAGAGAGGCAGTGTAAAGAGAAAATAGAAGGGGACCAAGGACAGAGCCTTGGGGAACTCAAACCAAGACAGGGTGAGGGTAGGATGTATCCTTGGAAAAGGAGACACTGAATGAGTGTTGGAAGAGATAAGAGGAAAACCACAAGAGGACAGAGTCACAGAGACCGAGCCATTGAAGAGTTTGAAGGAGGAGAGCATGATCAACGGTTTCAAAGGCAGCAGAGAGGTCAAGAAGAATTAAAATGGAGTAGTGGCCTTTGGATTTAGCTGCAATTAGGTCATTAGTAACTTTGATAAGAGCAGTCTCAGTAGAGTGGAGTAGGCGGAAGCCAGACTGAAGAGGGTCAAGGAGAGAGTTGGAATTGAGGAAGTGAGACACATGGGTAAAGACAAGTCTTTCCAGAAGCTTTGAGGAAAAAGGGAGCAGGGATATGGGACGATAGTTAGAGGGAGAGGATGGGTCATGAGATGTTTTTTTCAGGATAGGTACTACAGGGGCATGTTTAAGGTCAGCAGGGATAATGCCAGAAGAGAGAGCAGTTGAAGATGTGTGTTAGGGAAGGCACAAGACAAGGGGAGAGAGATCTGATGAGGTGAGACAGGACAGGATCGAGCAGGCAAGTGGTGGGGCAAGACGAAAGGAGAAGCGCAGCCACCTCTTGTTCAGTAGCTGGGGAGTAAGTCTGAAGGGTAGGAAAGGCATGATCTATGTGTGGTTGAGAAAGAGAACGGCAAGGAGGGTAGAATTCTTTCCTTAGCTGTTGAATCTTGTCAGTAAAGTAGCATTCAAAGCTATTGGCTGTAAGGTTAGTTTGGAGGGTGGCCACTGCAGGGCTTATAAGAGAGTTAAAGGTGTCAAAGAGACACCTGGGATTGTGGGAGCATGAACTAATGAGAGAGGAAAAGTCTGACTGTTTGGTGAGGGCAAGGGCTGATCTATATGAACACAATATGAATCTATAATGAAGATAGTCTGCCTGGGTGCGGGACTTCTTCCAGGAGCGTTCAGCACAACGGGAGCAACTATGCAGATAGCGTGTTGATTTAGTATGCCAAGTTTGGGGGCATGTACTCCTCGAGGTGCATGTTTGGAGCTGGGCTGCAGCGTTTACGGCAGAGGTGAGGGTAGTGTTATATGTGGAGATGGCCAGTGAGGGACAGGAGAGGGAAGAGATGGATAGCAGTTGTGAATCACTTTCAGCTGACAGCTGCTGGAGGTCAATAGAATTAATGTTCCTCCTGAGTTGAGGGGGGTTAGGCTGAGGTTGTTAGGTGAGGGGGTAATCGAGAGCAAGCGATTACAGGTGGTGATCAGAGAGAGGAAATGGAGTGTTGCAGATATTAGATACTGTACATGCATAAGAGAAAATAAGGTCGAGGGTATTGCCAGCTACATGGGTGGGAGAATTAGCCCACTGTGATAGCCCGAGGGAGGAAGTAATTGAAAGTAGTTTAGAGTCTGCTAAGGTCAAAGGTGGGTTAATGGGAATATTGACATCTCCAAGAATTAGGGATGGAATATTAGAAGACAGCAAGTAGGTTATCCAGGCAGCAAAGTGGTTAAGGAAGAGGAGAGGGGACCCAGGGGGACGATAGATAACAGGAATGTTAGCAGAGAAGGGTTTGAAAAGGCGAATTCAATGACGTCGGAGGGGAGGAGAGGTCACCAGCGCCGAGGGAGCCCGGCGCTGGATTAAGGTAAGTGGCTGTAGGGGTTTTAACAGGAGGGAGACCCTGAGGGTGGGGGGGACCTAAGGACTATATATTGTCAGGAAAACAAGTTTGAATTTGTGTGTTTAAATTCATCAGATTTTAAATCGCCAGAGTGCAATTTCGAATTTTCATCTGGGTTAAACAGGATTAAAAAGTTTGCCTGTAAATTTTTCCTTTGAAACAGAAGGCGAGGAGTGAGCAGAATTCCAGTATTATAATAAGAACCATCTAGTATGCACTCTCAATCAGAATCTGATGACGCATCCTCTTTTGTACAATAGTCTGCACCACTTTCAACCTGCTTTTTAGTAGTATTCCATCACCTCATATGTTTTGCTTGGTGGACAAAGGCTGTATTGTGTTTCCTAGAAACTTGGATGAGATTAGACACATCAATCTCTCTCCTGGAGGTTACAGATGCAGTTTGATTTCTTTAGTGCCTTTTTCCCCATAGGTCTGAATTCATCAGCTTTTTCTGCCCCGGATGCAGAATTTAGTGACAAATTGCTCCGTATTAGATAATTTAGGAGATTTCAAATCGTCCCTACTGGATGACTGAACTTGCATAATAGATGAGATTAGATTGCAGACATAGCATTCTTTGCACTAAATATCCCTTGTTGAACAGAAACATTCATTGGTGTGTATCCATATACGTTATAGTATTTCATTAGAAGATGAATGGCATAGCTCTTAAAGGTTATTCGATGGAGAAAATGGAGAGCCAGTAAGAGAGTGCCTGGAATATTAGGTTTAAGCATAGTCACAAAAATGGTGTAAGGTTAATATATTAAAATATTAGAGAAGGAAATTCTTAGTGAAAAAATAATTATTCTGAGGGGAATAAGTGAGGGAAAAAAATAATATACCTGGAAAATACTCTTAAATTGTGAAGAGCCACCAAACAAAACGCCCATTAGGTTCAGCACCACATGATCCTCACACATGCATGGTTGCCTAGTAACAGAGATTACGCAGACTGGGTTTTTGCTAAGAATGCACAAACTGAAATAATACAGCTTAACAATTCACAACCAAATATAAAAGTTACCGGGTCCACAATTTTGCCAATAAAGGGTTGAGAAACAAATTCAGAGAAGACTGTAAAGCAAACACCCATACAATCCTGCTCTGAAAAACTACAAAGACAGAGAAATGGCCATGCATGCACGTGGCACCAGGAAAATGGCTCAAAGATTTTGCCACAAAAATACAGAACAAAGATGAGGAATTGAGGAAAAGAATAGGAAAGTGGAGGTAAAAAGTAAACTAGGAAAATGGTGTAAAAGTGAAATAAAATGTCAATAAGGGAGGGGAAAATAGCCCCACTACCAATAAAAAAAAATGTTTAAACTAGACAAAGAAAAAGCCCTAAGGAAATGGATACTAATAATTATTATTTGTTTTAATTAAATCATTGAAAAAAATGATGCTAAGTACTGTCAAATTAACCTATTTATATTTTAAACTGATTGCGTGGAGAAGCAGTAAAGAAAGAGGACTATAGAATGTTCATGGCACCTTTTAGAAGATCCAAAGAGGGGCACATACACAATTTAAATGTAACCAGGGGGCAACTAGGTAGGGTCGGTGTTACCCCAGTGTAGAATTAAAACAGAACAATGCCTGTGCACATCAAGAAGATTAAACGAGTAGACTTTCAAGCAACGTTTCGATTCTACAAGCAATCCTTTAGCAAACATCCTTCTATTGGAACCTTTTATAACTGGCCATTGGATTGTTATTTGTTTGTACTGATGTCATTTTAGGTATAATGTTTCTCTGTTAATTCTTCTTTGTTGCTGTATAATAGGAGCTTCAGTGTCTTGTAATAAAATTAAAATCTGTAAACTGGTAAATGGCTGTTTAATCCTCACAATTGTTCCCGTTCTCTTCTGTTCTCTGATTGTCTTGTTAAGGTTTAAGTGGTTTCTAAGGTATAAAACATACATATGAGTTTAAAAAACATCATCAACAACAACAACAATGTGCTTAAACACAGAGTAGGAGTGCACCCTTCAAAAGAAATGCATATGGTCAAATAGTTTATACTTATATGTATACACAACACATATGGCAAGCGGATCTCAGCAGTGCCTAAAAAACTGTAATATAATACATAGTGTGTACTGTAAAGTAAAAGTGAGTGATATATGATAAATGGTTACACTCACGAATTTCAGAGCCAGAACAGGCTCTGTATTGCAAGCCCAATGGTGCCTGTGCAGGCTAGTGATGAATACCCATGGACAACTGTAGCAGATGGATCACGGAGGTAAGGATAACAGCAGCAGTAGATGAAAATACAAAAATTTAATTGTAGTGGTAAAAGCACTAAGGTTTTTTTTTTTTAAATTAGCGAATACATACTGTTGCAATCTAAAGGTACATAGACCTCACTTAGCAGATGACAGTTTAGCCATTACTAAATGCATTGTGAAAAGCCAAAAAAAGTGCTTTCAGACAAGGAGAGAGAGAATAAGGAGCCTAAAGTAAGATAGAATAGGGTTTCTCAAAATACATAAAAAACTAGAAGGATAATAAAATTACAATAAATAACAAAGTAACAACTAAAAATTTTAATATTTTATAAAAAATGGATAAGTTCAAAATCTAAATTTAAACCCAAAGGTGCTAAGGTCTCCAGTTCAAATATTCATTTACCCTCTATCTTGCTTAGCTCCTTAAAATTGTTTTATCCTCTCCAATCTTTTTTCGTTTGGCATATAACCATATAACTTATCAAAGAGGGGTCACCACCATGATGTTCAGCAAAGTGTGAGGAAACACTGTGATTGGCGTATCTCCTCTGTATATTGCCCATGTGCTCTCATATACGTATTTTAAAAGGTCTAGTGGTCATGCCTATGTATTGTAGACCATATGGGCACCAGAGGAGATAATAACAAGTCAATACAGATTTATATTATTTGTTTGTGGTTTTGGATATGAAAAAGTCCTGTTTTTTCTTTGAAAATTTAGTTTTTGTACAAGCCGCACACATTTTGCAAGGATAAAATCCTGGCTGTTGTGCAAAATGATTAACAGTGGATGAAGATTTAATATGATTCTTAACTAAAATACTACGTACATTTTTGGTACCTCAATATACAATGTTAGGCTTATCTTTAATTATATCTATAAGATCATTATCAGTAGATAGTATATGCCAATATTTGTTGATGATAGATTTAATTTTATTGGCTTCACCATTAAAGTTTAAAATTAATAGGGGTTCCTCTTCCCCTTTCTATGGAATTCTTGGTTTTATATTCCAGAACTGTATTTCTAGGAATCTGTCTAACTTCTTTGATCTGTTGATCCAAAAAAAGAGGTGTTATAGTTTTTAGAAATATAGACATAGAAACATAGAATGTGATGGCAGATAAGAACCCTTCGGCCCATCTAGTCTGCCCAATTTTCTAAATACTTTCATTAGTCCCTGGCCTTATCTATAGTTAGGATAGCCTTATGCCTATCCCACTCATGCTTAAACTCCTTTACTGTGTTAACCTCTACCACACAGCCTCTCAGTAAAGTAATTCTTCCTTATATTATTTTTAAACCTTGTCCCTCTAATTTAAGACGATGTCCTCTTGTTGTGGTAGTTTTTCTTCTTTTAAATGTAGTCTCCTCCTTTACTGTGTTGATTCCCTTTATGTATTTAAATGTTTCTATCATATCCCCCCTGTCTCGTCTTTCCTCCAAGCTATACATGTTAAGGTCCTTTAACCTTTCCTGGTAAGTTTCATCCCGCAATCCATGAACAAGTTTAGTAGCCTTTCTCTGAACTCTCTCTAAGGTATCAATATCAGTCTGAAGATACGGTCTCCAGTACTGTGTACAATACTCCAAGTGAGGTCTCATCAGTGTTCTGTACAATGGCATGAGCACTTCCCTCTTTCTACTGCTAATACCTCTCCCTATACAACCAAGCATTCTGATAGCATTTCCTGCTGCTCTATTACATTATCTGCCTACCTTTAAGTCATCAGAAATAATCACCCCTAAATCCCTTTCCTCAGATGTTGAGGTTAGGACTCTATCAAATAGTCTGTACTCTGCCCTTGGGTTTTTATGTCCAAGATGCATTATCTTGCACTTATCCACATTAAATGTCAGTTGCCACAATTCTGACCATTTTTCTAGTTTACCTAAATCATTTGCCATTTGGCTTATCCCTCCTGGAACTTCGACCCTGTTACATATCTTAGTATCATCAGCAAAAAGACACCTTACCATCAAGACCTTTTCCAATAAAAAAATTATTAAATTTTTTTCGTCTGAATATCATATTTATCTAAATTGCTACAATATTGTAAAATTTTAAGGACTTGTCCATTAGATACGTTACGTAGCCAGGGTATTATAATGGCAGCTTGTGGTGTCAATATAACTGTTGACATCCACTGGCTTGAAGTGAGTCCTAGTTTGTAGTGTGTGATGTTCTATATAGATGTCAAGATCCAAAAATTGTACGTTAGTTTGACTAATATGACTCGTCAAAAAAACGCCTCTATTATTATTATTCAAAAACTCCAAGAATGAATTGAGAGAAGAGAGGTCGCCCTTCCAGATGAAAAAAATATCGCCGATATACCTGCAATAGAGGACCAAGTTCGCACTCCAACCCTCTGACACTGAGAGGAAAGAGTCCTTCCAGTGGGACATAAATAGGTTGGCATAGCTGAAGTGCGAACTTGGTCCCCATCGCACTACTGACTAACTGTAAAAAGAAAGCTCCATCGAACCAAAAACGATTGCGATTAAGTATAAGACGTATACAGTCCAAATTAAATTCCATCTGTTTGTCACAATACCTTCCACTGCTTTCTAAAAAGTGTGAAACTGCCCGGCATCCTAAACTGTGTGATAAAATTGTGTAGAGGCATCACATGTAACCAGATGATAACCATTCATTATATATTACTCACTTTTACTTTACAGTACACACTATGTATTATATTACTGTTTTTTTAGGCACTGCTGAGATCCGCTTGCGATATGTGTTGTATATACATATAGGTATAAACTATTTGACCATATACCTGTATTTCTTTTGAAGGGTGCACTCCTAAGCACATTGTTGTTGTTTTTTTTTTTTTTATCTGATTATTAATGTGTTGGGGATACAACTATTTACACCCTTCTTACACTTTGTATTTTATTGGAAGCGCCACACTTGTACCTATCTTACATAGATATGAGTTTGTTAGGAGGCTTGAGTTTTAGGCATATTTGTTCCCTGTCAATCAGTTGTTGCCCACTAGCAATTGAAGGATTTTTACATAATACTTTTGTAATACTTTTGTAACCAAGATACGACTTGACTTGCAATTACGACAATTTAGCTGTGTTGGAAATGTTATAATTCCTTTGTACGGTAACAAACTAACATTTTGGGTCCTGTAGTGATTTTGTATATAGATGTAATGCCCGCTCTGTGCCACAGTAGGTAATTCAAATGTGGGGTTTGCACGAACAATGGTTCTATGGACATTGCGGGTGATATTTGTTCTGTCTTCTTGCATTTGTTCTTGTGTGCATCCCAGCCTCTAAGTGTGAGGTTTATTGTGGGTAGCATGTGTGCATACGTATTTCTCATGGTCTTGGGTGACCATCCAAGTGAGGTGATAATCAGACCCTCTGTGTAAGCTGCCTCTATTTGAGCCCAAAGGGGAGGTTTGGAATTGTGTTGTATTGAAAGGAGAGAGCCAAGTAACATTGCCTGGTCATAAATTTGGGACACCCATGCCTCCTGAGGAAAAGGGTTAGTAACATGTAGACAATACTACTCTGGGTCATGAGTTTACCGATATAAAAGATTTAAGGACATTGTGTGTGTCTTTCATGTAAGTGGAAGTAGCATCTATTGGTAAGGTTCTAAATAGATACTGACATTTTGGGAGAATCGTAATTTTTAGGAAATAAATATACCTTTCCATTGCTGGAGTTTGCATTTAAACATTTTTTAAGGAGCTTAAAGGGACACTATAGTCACCAGAACTACAGCTTATTGAATTTGTTCTGGTGAGTAGAATCATTACCTTCAGGCTTTTTGCTGTAAACACTGTCTTTTCAGAGAAAATGCAATGTTTACATTACAGCCTAGTGATAATTTCACTGGCCACTCCTCAGATGACTGTTAGAGATCCTTCCTAGGTCATGGCTGCCTAAAATGCATCCAAACATTCATTGTCTCCCCCCTCTGCATGCAGACACTGAACTTTCCTCATATAGATTCATTGATTCAATTCATCTCTATGATGAGATGCTGATTGGCCAGGGCTGTGTTTGAATTGTGCTGGCTCTGCCCCTGATCTGCCTCTTTGTCAGTCTCAGCCAATCCTATGGGGAAGCACTGTGATTGGATCAGGCCACCACTTCTGATGATGACAGCAGACTGATTGTTTTTCTGAGTCTAACAGCATGCAGAGTTACAGCTTCGGGCTTGAATACAGTAAGATTTTGCTTAATTTACAGAGGCATGAGGGGCCCAGAGTGGCTAGATGGTGGTTTTAACACAATGGGGTCAGGAATACACGTTTGTGTTCCTGACCCTATAGTGATCATTTAAGGTTTAAGGTAATTTGCTGTGTAGGGATGGTTTGTAGACTGGGTAAAATATATTCCTAGACATAGGTGAAAAGGTCAGTGTGGTATGTTCATGCCCATAACCTTTGTTTTCTTGATTTTAAGTTTGTAGTATGAACATTGTATTGTAATAGGAGGGTGTGGAAATTCAGCAGTGAGAAGTGTGGTTGTTCAATCAGCAAAAAAATGTTTGATATACTATTTTTTTTTTCATTCTTTATTTTTGTTGTGTAGATGAACACAATATATCAACAGACACCACAGCAGGTATTCAGGTTTCAAAGAAGTTAGACAGTGGCATAATAATTTGCACAATTTTTATGTTTTACACCCTTAACTAAACAGTTAGTTTGTCAGAGTAATAAAATAAAATAAAGATGTTAGTTGCTTGACATTGCTAGGTCGCCTATGCTAGAGTAGGTATAGTGTGAACACATTTTGAAGCAGAACAGTATCTAGTTATGGAATAATGCATAGGAACGTTATGCTGTGAGTGTTTAGGCTAGGAGGCATCGTATTGTGTATACCATTGCTAAAACTTGCCTATATCGTTGAGTAACATCACTATTCTCTCTAGGCGTGATTGCCCTGTGGTACAACAGATCGTTCTGTGATCTAGCTCGACATGTGTTAGCATAAAACAAATGACATATATAGTAACAGCTTAATGTCTCTGCATGGGATGTGCTGGATGTTTGGGCTAGAGCGTCCATTTTATCCGATGCTCCTTGTTGGGAGACGGCTTGCATTTGTCGGGAGCGTTAAACAATTGCGGTGCAGAGAGGGACAAGGGTTAATAACAGAACATTAGTTCTAGCCTGTACGGTGTGCTCATGCTGCTTCTCCGCATGTGGGTCTGAAGGAGCACCGTCCATCTCGGGTGCCGTCTGCCATGTTCAGCCGATGCCGGCTCTGGAGGCCTGTCTTGCGGGCCAAGGACAGTAGCGTCGCTTTCCTGTGTCTTGAAACAGCCAGTCAGGCCTCTGTGGCAGTTAAGACCCGTCCTGCTCTTATTGTGGCCCTTTTCCTGCTCGGCAGTTGGTACAGGGCGGGAGTCGGTTCCAGCGGCTCTTACCGCCATATCTCTTAATCTGCCTCCTCAGCCAAGCGTGTGCCGGTGGTCGTTTTCGCCACCCCAATTGGTGCGGTCCCTTGGGCCCCCTCAGTAGCTTTGGTGAGGAAGCATGCAAGTGCTCTGTTGTGCGGGATCCATTCCTGTGGACTTGGTCTGCTCTGAGCCTCAGCCACTCCCAGAAGGCTTCACACATGCTGTCAAATTTTGCCAAGAAGGTCAGAGCAGTTACATTATTCATTTTTCCATTGATAGTGTATGAAAATAGCTTACAAAAGTTGCAGATCTTGTCTGAAACTTTTGCAAGCCCTCCTATTCTAACCCAACCCAGACTTTCAGTGGCTGTCCAATCACCAACTTCCCAATGCAGCTCAGTGAGATGTTTTTGCAAACCAGGTGCTCTGAGCAATTGCAGCCTTTGGAGTTTAGCTCCACTGAACTAATCTACTTGAAAGTAACATGACTGGTTGTCTGACATCTGAACTATTTGTAGAATGGAGGAGGAGCTGGATGACAGTTTATCATTAATTCTTTAGGCCAGAAGACAATGTCCTTTGCATTTCCACTATGCAATCTGGTTAAATAGCTTATATGATCACAGGACCACCACAATTTTAGGTTTAGCATTATATATTTAAATAACCTGGACGTATATAGAAAAATAAACAACTTCAGTTTTAAGAAACTCAGATCAGTTTATTCACAGAGAAAATGATGTACACAAAAAAAAAAAGTGAAATACAAATTTGAAAAAAGAAAAAAAAAATACCCATTTTTTTTTTACTTGTACATTTTTCATTTACATTTGTGTACACTGGTTTGAAATCTAAATCACAAAAAAAAAAAAAAGAAGAAAAGAAAGAAAGGCATTTGTTTCATATTACAATAAAATTATTCTTGTTTATTGGCACAAGAATAACCACTGCTCAACTATTTGCAAAATGTTAACGTGTATTACTAGAATTCAATTTAAACGCAAAGTAAAGTATAGTTTTGTAAACATTCAATTAAAATCCATCAACATACTTTTTTTCATTTTTTTTTTTTTTTTTTACAAAAATGTAATGTACAATTATTTTATACATTGCCTTGCAGGTTATTAAAATGTTTCCATAGTATGTCACTCAGGCAGATGCAAATTTAGATTTTAAACAAGAACATAATGAATCAATCAAAAGAAAAACTCCCACAATGTATTTTAATATTAAAGCTTTTCAATGACAATTCACTGTCAGTCTTTCTTCTCACTTTTTAAAGCTTGCAATCTTTCCAATAAAGGAGGGTGGGAATAATGCCACATTGAAAATATCCAGTCAGACACTGGAAATCCTAAATTATCTTTATTTAGCTTAATTAGTGCAGCATACAAGTCTTTTGCCTTGCCAAGATTCTTGGCAAACGCATCAGCTTGGAATTCAAATCTTCGGCTTAATACTGTGAGACAAAATGAGAGCACCTGCAAGAAAATAACCATACATGATTAAAAAGAAATTAATTTTTTTTTTTACAGTATCACAGTTAAATTTCTTCCATTATATTCACAGGTTGCTTGTGTTTAGGACTATTGCATAGTATGAAACTATAGATCTCTGCTTGCATGTCCCAGTCATGATGTTAAAAAGCATTCCCCCCCCCACCCCTCCTTTTATCTATGTGGTTTAAGGCATTTTCCTTTTTTTCGAGAAGAGACCTGGCTTGCACCTCAAACACATAAGCAGCGACAGAACCTGCCCACACTTCCCCTGGGTTAAAGATAGTTTTAATTTCTGTGCATGAATTTAAAACATGAAACTGAACACAAAAACTTTCAATTTAAGACATGCAGACGTGATAAATACCTCATTATAAGGAGAGAAAATAAACTGGAAAATAATCATCAGACCAATCAGGATGGGTTGTGAATTGTAAAATCCAAAAGCAGCAAAAAGTTCCTTACGGCCAATCAGTATGGCAAATAGGAAAAAACACAGGAATGAATTCACCTGGAGGAGCAAAATAAGTTTATTGCGGAGTGTCAAAGCATCGCATATTAAGTACAAGTATAGCAAAAACATAGCTTCTATGTTACTCGTTTTTTGTTTGCCTTCGTCACAATCTTGTCCTCCTTACAATACTACTCCAGCATGAGTTGTCATTCATATTTAAAACTGCAGCTCTATACAGCCCTGCCATAATATGATAAGTAGGACATTTTGCAGTAGGATCACAAATTTTTTTTTTTATATAAAATTCTTAGAGAAGCACAAACATGTATTCCTGACCCTATACGGTTAAAACCACCATCTAGCCACCCTCATGACTCTCTAAAAATAGTAAAACTTACTTTGTATTCAAGTCTGCACCTGCATACTTTGTCCCAGTTTCCTTTAGACCTGCCCACTGCCTGCTGACATCAGCAGAAGTGGTAGCCTGAACCAATCACAATGCTTCCCCATAGGATTGGCTGAGACTGACAGAGGCAGATCAGGGGCAGAGCCAGCACAATTCAAACATAGCCCCGGCCAATCAGCATCTCATCATAGAGATGAATTGAATCAATGAATCTCTATGAGGTAAGTTCAGTGTCTGCATGAAAAGGGATACTGAATGTTTGGATGCATTTTAGGCAGCCATGACCCAGGAAGGATCTCTAACAGCCATCTAAGGAGTGGCCAGTGAAGTTATCACTAGGCTGTAATGTAAACACTGCATTTTCTCTGAAAAGACCATGTTTACAGCAAAAGGCCTGAAGGTAATGATTCTGCTCACCAGAACAAATACAATAAGCTGTAGTTGTTCTCGTGATTATAGTGTCCCTTTAAAGAGGAAATGTCCCTTTAAGTACAACCTAATAGTTGCTAGGAGTAGGCTATAGCTTTTTTTTTTTTTTAAATTAGAATTCCATTTCTGTTCGCTAACATTTGTTAATACTTGCAGTGATGTATGCACAGCATATGCAACACTGTTGGAGAATACACCAAGCTCTAAAGCACACATTCCTTATTTCTCCAGTACGTGTCTAAATGCAAAAAGTTGCTGCAACATGAAGGTACTGTGGAGGTAAGTTAAATGTGAATGTATTCTTAAGAACTGCATCTTTTGCAAGCTCTATTTATGAACAGGAGCCTCTGCAATCCTCTTTTTCAATGGAAGACATCAATAACCTCTTCTAGAGGAAAGAGCCATTTAGAGGCTTCTGAATCTGTGAGCACGGGTACTTGAGCGCCACCTTGTGTCCACAAAAAGAGTAAGCCTCCCTGGGTGTTGCATAGACTATTTAGAAAAGTTCTAATTTCAACAGCACGTGGGTAATTTGGTAAATAGAGGACACTCCTCACCTATTAAAAACAAAACAAAAAAAAAAAAAAAACACGACTTCAGCAAGCTGAAGTACTTCATGGGTGTGGAGTGGTTCTTTAATATATATATTTTTTTTTTTAATTTGTTGAGACTGCATTTAGCAGTCACTTTTTTTTTTAAGTGACTTTGCAGGTGCAAAAAAAAAAGTTAATTGTGACATTTGTTGCAGAACAAGTTAGATATAAAACAAAAAGAATATGGCTTCATGTCTTAACTTTGTACAAATTGAATTAGATTATGCTTAATAAGTGAATACAATTGTTATAGCATCACAGATGACAATTAAAAAGGACAACATTTTCACTCTTCATATTTTTTATTTTTTTTATTTTTTTAAATATTACATTTGTGAAATGGTCACTTATGTTGGGTCAGACTACTGTGTTCTTCCAAACTGTTGCTCAACCTGACTTGCCTGCAGCTCTGATTATTCTATGTGAAACTGTAGCAACAGGCAAGCTGAGTAGCAGTAGGTCAAATAAAAAACCCAATATGGCTGCTCATCGAAAGAAAAGTTAAATTTTCCAAATAAAAAGCAGACATCAAGCTGTATTCCAAGAGTGAGTGGGACATTAAATCACTAATCCATCTAACTCGGATATACAGCCGGGACATCCGAATGTCATTCGGACTAGATAAATGTGTACGGATGATAGCAAAATGAGGAGAGCTGATAAGGACTAAATGAGTTGAAGTGCAATAGGACCAAATAGGTGACACAGAACAAGTACCTGGAGATGCCTCTTTCTCATGGTTGCCAAAGGTTTGTGGTTAGGAAGACAGCAACATCCAAGTACCCTCAGAGTCAGACAGGTCATGAAGCCTCAATGTCCACACCATTAACACATACACCGTACCAGTCATCAGGTAGCCAGCAGGATTAATAACATGGCCAAGAGAAGAGTTGAACACCAGGGATATCACAACCCAGAAACTACTCATGATGAATGGAAGATTTCAGAAATAAAAAGGCATGAGCTGATGAGTGCCAGACCACAGTCCTGGATGAAAGAGCATCCACAAGTACATCACAAAGATGACTTCAAAAATACATACTGCTAAGAGAATACCTGAGATAAAGGATGCAGAAAAGGAGGAGGTGCAATGGCAAGACAAACCTCTCCATTGATCTACCCTGACAGTGTTTCGAAAAAGCAAGAATATTAAAGATAGTCCTGAGGCACTAATCCAGGCAACACCAAAAGAGGCACTAGGGTAATAGGTCAACAGAAGTGGCAGTCTCCCACACCAGTCAAGACCTAAGGTGCATACTGTGCAACAATGCCTCAGACAATCCAGTACATAGTAGGCAGGTGCAAGTTGCTCGCAGGGACAGCATGCACTGAGAGGCACAACCAAATTGCTGGGATTGTGTATTGAAACACCTGAATAGAATATGGGCTGGACCTGCCTAAGTCAAAATAGGAGGTGGCACAAAAGGTAGTTGAGAATGACAGGGCTAAGATCTAGACAGGAACAAGTACTTGCCAACCAACCTGATGTGGTAGTAGACAAGGAACAGAAGACTGCAGTGGTGAAGGATGACCAGAACATCAAGCAGAAGGAGCCTGATAAAGTTGGACATGTACCAAGGACTAAAAGAACAGCTAGAAAGGATGTGGAATTTGAAAGCATTACTAGTTCCCACTTGTCAAAAGAACGATATATTTTGCAAGCTCTTAAGATATAGAAAAAAAAAGAAGCAAAAAGTTCACAAACTATGAATATAAAGCATCCAGTGGTATGGAACAATGTAACCAGAAGGAGACCACTTAATATCTAAAGTTACAAAGTGTCACACAGAAATAAACTGTGACTCCAAATAATAATAATAAATACCGAACTAGGCTTATAAGGCTACTCCAATGCCTAAGTAAGTGAGGAGATAAAGTTACTAAACACCCAAGTCTGCAATATTCATATGGGCTTTATTAATTAGTCCTGGCCCTTTAACACATGGAGGTTAGTAAATCTCCCCTTAGTACCTAAGCACCAGAAAAAGTGGTAAAGGGAGAAAGGTCACTGTTCAAAAGATTGACAGCCCTAATAATCCAAAGTAGACAGACTGATAAAGTAAAATAAAGAAAGCCTCTCTCCTTGTGAGACTTACTAGATAGGCATAAAAAAAAAAAAAAAACGTAAATCATAAATCAGAAACTCCCATGCCCAAGTAAGTGAGGAGATGAAGTTGCTAAACACCTAAATCTGCAATATACAGAGAGTCCTGGCCTTATAATGCCTTATAGATTCCAGAGCACCAGTAAAAATGCTAAAGGGAGAAAGGTTACGGTCTAGAGCAGGCTTCCCCAAACTCCGGCCCTCCAACTTCAATGATTCTCAGCCTATTTCAGTCAGAATCATGGGAGTTGTTGCTGAATTACAACTCCCATGATTCTGACTGAAATAGGCTGAGAATCATTGAAGTTGGAGGGCCGGAGTTTAGGGAAGCCTGGTCTAGAGCAGTGTTTCCCAACCCAGTCCTCAAGGCACACCTACCAGTCCAGGATTTAGGGGTGACCCAGTTGCGTCTAAGGTGTTTTTTCTAAAAACACCTTAGCCACTACTATGTAATCCCTAAATCCTGGACTGGTAGGTTTGCCTTGAGGACTGGGTTGGGAATCACTGCTAATAATCAAATAAAGTAGAGAAAGCCTCTCTCCCTGTTAAACTTACCAAACAGGCATAGAGGAACAAAATGAAATTAAAAACTTACATCATAACACAAACGTGTATCACAGAGTGCAGTGAAGTGCCCATGTTAAAATTTACCCATCTAGTCAATAGCTAGAGGTCAAATACCCCACAGTGCAAATAGAAAGTGACTGCTGTGCATCACCTACATATCAAGTTGGACATATACACACACACACACACACAAATCTAAACTAGAAAAGCTACAATTTCTGGGAAAATTGTGTGAAGTGTTCTTGCCTCCACCAGTAGTCTACAACTGGAGTGGGTGGAGTAACTGTTATCATTTATATAGCACATTTAATTGCAAGGTTGTTGCACAGTTACATTAAACCATACATTTATAAAAACATTAGCAGGTGTTCAAAAGGCCCTGTCTATGACATCACTTGCTGCTGCAGCCTTGACAGGTCAGAGTATTTTGGCGGTTGCCATTTTCAAACGGTCGTATTTTAAAAACCATACATCCTACAGCGAAGAGCTTTATATTGTGAGAATCACAAGACCCAGACCTACATTGTGATGCATAGCATGTGTCTGAAGTATTAGAAAATGAAGGCACAGTCACAGTTTAGAAATTGCCCTTCAAGTTTGAGCTGGCTAGAGTGAAGATTCAATGAATGTCAATGGACGGCATAAGTTGCAAACAAATGGTCATATTGTGAAAACTATAAGGACTATGGCTTAGCCATGGACATTTATAGTGGCAGCAGGGATAGCTGAACGTTTTGATATAAGATTTGTGTAGGTGGGCTTGAAAATGAGGGAGTGGTAACAGTTAGAAATCATGTCCTGATTTTTCAGCTTTTGCCAGCTCCCACTCTAGTTTTGAACATTTTGCCATTCATTCCTATGGGACCAATTTCGCCACAAGAACGATGATATTCCGTGAACCATTCGGCGAAACGTTCCACAAAGTAATAGCAATTCGATCGGGAGCAATCTGCACGTTTTGGTAAATTTTTGTCTATGTAGTGTAAAAACTGTGGGAGGAGTTAGGGTGGCAAATTTGGCTATAATAATAAGAATAAGAATATATATGTGAGATAACAATTAGTGGTCTTGCTATGCAAGAACACAATATATATGTGAGATAACATTAAGTGGTCTTGCTATGCAAGAACACTTAATAAATACATACATACATTCATGCATAAATTACCAAGTCACTACATACCCAATATGTCATTTGGAATGTGCAGTCTGAAAAGCTGCACAGTGTTTCAAAAAGTGTAATTTGAATCAACAGGAGCACAACGCTGTAAATAAATGTGATGAGAGAAAGCATGCCTCACCTGGCTGATCACTATATTCTTTACAGTGTGTCCCAGCTTCCAGTGGCCCAGCTCATGGCCCAGAACAGCAAGAACTTCCTGGTTATTACATCCTTGCTTCTTGTTCACATTCTAAGGAGACACAAATTGTTAAGGAATATTTAGGATGTTTGAAGGGTCACAAGCAAATATGTTATGATTACACATTTACATATCTGTATGTATATTTAGCAAACCTAAGGTTCTCCCATCTTTAAAAATAACACTATGCTCCTACTTAAATAACAAAAGGAAATTATTTTCTATTAACACTTTCACAAACTATTTTGGTTTCTGTACTCAAGTAAAACATTTGTATTATTTATTGCACTTTCTGTATTGGGTATGTTAGAGCTTGATGTAAATGAAAAAATAAATAAAACCTGCAGTTTCACTGAAATTCCAATGGAGTCAAAAGATATAAGATAAAGTATGGACTACATTTCTTTTTCCTACTATTGACAAAACAGCAATGCAACTGCTGTTAAGCTTTTTTTTTTGTGAAAGCTGTGGAGAAAAAGGCATTGTCTATGGAGTACCCCCTCACCCAACAACCTCAGCCTAACCCCCCCCCTCAACTCAGGAGGAAACTTAATTTTATTGACTTCCAGCAGCGGTCAGTTGATATCGATTCAAAACTGCTATCCATCACTTCCCTCTCCTGTCCCTCACTGGCCATGTCCACATATAACACTACCCTCACCTCTGCCTTGAATGCTGCAGCCCCGCTCCAAACATGCACCTCGAGGAGGACACGTCCCCAACCGTGGCATACTAAATCAACATACTATCTGCAAAGATGCTCCAGTTGTGCTGAACGCTCCTGGAGGAAGTCTCGCACCCACTCAGACTTTCTCCATTATAGATTCATACAAGGCAGCCCTTGCACTCGCCAAACAGTCATACTAGGTATCTGACTGTCCTCTCATGGCTTTCCTATTATCTCTCCCAACGCTCATTCAGTGTCCTTTTCTAATAATACCTCCTCCTGTTTCGGTTGGAGTCCCCCAAGGCTCTGTTCTTAGTCCCCTTCTATTTTCTCTTTATACTGCCTATCTTGGCAAACTTATTGCCTCTTTTGGATTCCACTACCACCTCTCCTCTCTGGACCTCTCCCCTGCCGTCCTGCAACGTGTCACTGCTTGCCTTTCTTCCATCTCTGACTGGATGTCCTCCCACTTTCTGAAACCCAATCTCTCTAAAACTGAGCTTCTTGTCTTTCCCCCTCCTAATACTGATCTTCCTCTTTCACTCTCCCTTCAAGTCAGTGGTATCCACATAAGTCCATCCTTGCGAGCGCGCTGTCTTGGTGTCATACTTTATTATGTATGTTGCAAAATCCTGTAGATTCCATCTTAAAAACTGCCCATTTCTTATACAAGATGCTACCAAGGAGCTTGTCCATGCTCTAGTAATTTCCTGCATGGATTATTGTAACACTCTCCTAATCTCCTCTCACACCTCTGTCGGTTCTTACATTGGCTTCCTGTATCCTATAGGAGTCAATTCAAAGTGCTTACCCATACCTATAAAGCACTGCACCATTCTAGCCCCTCTTATATCTCACAGATCCATAGATATGCCCCTCCTTGTTCCCTCCCCTCTGCCCGTGACCACCTCCTGGCCGCTGCTCGCACCCGTACGGCCAACTCCCACTTGCAGGACTTCTCGCAGGTGGCTCCCTTCTTATGGAAGAGCCTGCTTACCTCCATCAGACTGTCCCCTAGTTTGCAATCGTTTAAAAAGTGCCTTAAAACCCAACTCTTTAGGAAAGCTTATGACCTCTCAGAGTAACCTCTACCTGTGTCTCTCTCTCTCTCTCTCTCTCTCCTCCAGCTCTGCTTCACTCCCACCTTATTTGATTGCTATTTCCTGTCCTATTGTGTTTTATACCCCACCTCCGATAGTCTAAGCTTGTTTGAACTGGGTCCTCATCAACCTATCGTTTTCTGTAAGTTTTCTTGTAATTGTCCTATTTATAGTTAAATCCCCCCTCATAATATTACAGAATCTGTTGCCGCTATATAAGTTGCAATAATAATAATGTGGACTCCTAACAGATTAAGCTACAGGAGCTTCAGAGGATCCAATGAAGAAGGATCCTCAGTTACGCAAAACATACTTTTCGAAGCACTCCTGAGGCACCACACAGCAAGCGGCGATGTCACCATCAGGGGTTTTGCTAAATATGCAGAGGCCCAGAATGTGTGAGATCAGCTTTAAACACATTTTATGGAAGATACAGTTGTAACCAAATGTATTCAACCCCCATAAATAATAAATAAGTTTTATTGTCAAACAATTTACAGACTTTCAGCTATTTGCAAGGCACAAATTGAACAGAAGCCATTGTAATAGCTCAACACAATAAATGCTGCAAGTGGTTTCTCAAATTCAACTGAAATTGCAACTAATAATTACTTCTTCAGGCTCAAAAGTATTCAACCCCTTCATGGCAAGCATCTCTAGTACTTAGTAGAGCAACCGGTTATGACCTACTGCAAACAAGATGCATAGCCAGACACCAGCTTGTGGCAGCGGTCCTGAGGAATCTTAGCCCATTGTTCATAAGTACCGACCTCCAGTTCAGTAATATTATTAGGTTTGCGTGCTGCAATCGCCTTCATCCTTCAGCGCACGTTTCATTCATTTGGTATTTAGAGTGTCTCTTTAACGTTTAATTTTTGTCAATTTGTACTCTAGTGACTCTAGATGTAGAAATTATTTTTATTCCAAATTTCAAAAATTCCATGTTTTCTATATCTACTACAGCCTGATGTTTGCCTGCATTCCTTTGGGAACATATTGGAGCCAGTTAGAGCAGACTCATCTGCTCTATATTTGTGAGTGGATACTCCTCGAAATATGTATTAATTATCTCTCTCTCTCTCTCTATTTTAGGTTAATGTATGGCTATCCAACCTACATTTTGTGGAATCCCTCTGCGTGGGTTTGCGGAAAGTTATTATTTGTAAGTTTTGAAGCGTGTTTACAATTCTTTTTGCACATCTTTCCCACTGCACTTTACACTTTATTAATGTAGCACAAGCACAAAGATAGTGTCAAAAATGGCATTTTGTGCACTTTATGTATATATAAAATTTTTGCACAAGATAAGTGTTTGAATTTGCACTAAATTTTGTGATCTTAAAGACACAGCGCACTTTGTTTGTATTGTTTAAAGTTACAAGTTTGATTTTATTGTGCATAACACTTAAGGTGCTGCTATTGACTTTTAGGTATACATCCTTTTAAAATAGTTTTTTAGAGTGCCATTTTTTCACCTGTTTAAGTAGTTAAGAATTTGCAGCTAACAATTAGGTCATAAGTTCATCTGCCTAGGTTAATCTCGAAACTGGGAAGTGCACATTTAAACCATGCTTAAAGGACCACTATAGTGCCAGGAAAACATACTCGTTTTCCTGGCACTATAGTGCCCTGAGGGTGCCCCCACCCTCAAGGTCCCACTCCCGCCCGGCTCTGGAAGGGGGAAAGGGTAAAAACTTACCTTTTTCCAGCACTGGGCGGAGAGCTCTCCTCCTCCGATCCTCCTCTTCTCCTCCCTGTCGGCTGAATGCGCACGCGCGGCAAGAGCTGCGCGCGCATTCAGCCGGTCACATAGGAAAGCATTCATAATGCTTTCCTATGGACGCTGGCGTGCTCTCACTGTGAAAATCACAGTGAGAAGCACGCAAGCGCCTCTAGCGGCTGTCAATGAGACAGCCGCTAGAGGAAATAGGGGAAGGCTTAACCCATTCATAAACATAGCAGTTTCTCTGAAACTGCTATGTTTATGAAAAAATGGGTTAACCCTAGAAGGACCAGGCACCAAGACCACTTCATTAAGCTGAAGTGGTCTGGGTACCTAGAGTGGTCCTTTAAAAAAATAAATAAAAAAAATGCAGAGTTAGAGAATGTTACTTTGTTAATTCCTCCCATTTAGTTAACAACTCTGAGTATATTCTGAATTTTACCAAGTAGTGTATGACATTAAGGAGACACTGCAGACAAACTTAACATATTTCAGGATGATATTTTCAAAGCTCACCTTGGGTTTGAATTTCACATCAGTATTATCATGCTCTCCTGCATCTTCAGCCGATTCTTTGTTTAGTGGTGAGTAATCCTCAAGAAGAGTATCAAACAAAACAATCCGTTTATTTTTGAAAAATCCATAAAAATAAGCATTGCTGTGAGAGGAACGCTTTGAGCCTTAGGATGAAAAAATTAAAAAAAAGTCAACTACAGTACTTTAATACATAGACACAGATTAAAAAAAAAAAATAGGGTGAACAGTAAGGTGAGATGTAGCTTTGGCCATCACATGGAGACTGCTACTAGCCCTATAGACACTAGAGGCAGTACTGACTGCCCTTGTCCTCTCCATCTTCATAGTTGGATATGGTGTGCAGTAAGGGGGAGGGAAGCAGGATTAATGAAACCACAGCATATGTGTGTGTTGATATAAAATGTATGTACATGTAAAATAGCTCTGTACATTTCCCAAGCCAACAAAATGTCAGTTCCAATTGAAGTAAATGCACCAATGCTGCTACAAACACATGGATACTTTTTATATTTTTTTTTATAAAATCTAGAACTTACACATGCCAAGCTATTACTAAACTGGCACAACAAAAGGGGATCACAAGGGTCAATACATGACAGTTTGAAATCTAATAAGGAAATGGGAGAGGTGCGATTCAGTGTTGTACTTTATCCATCTACCTACATGAATGCACTTTAAGACATAGTGCACATGTAGATATGACAGTTTGCCCACAACAGCTGTAACACAAAAGGTGAGATAAGAGCCATGATGAACCTGCAATCACTATTGACCCTGTACCACCCTGACCTCAAAAGTAAAAGGGAGAGACAATTTAAAAGCAGTGAGAACCACTGGTATACCACCAAACCACTAATGACTAAAAATAAATACAGATATTTACCTTCAACTACATACACTTTGGTCAAAGGGAAGTCAATACTTTTTGCCATAGCTTCAATTGATTCTTTCAACTCGCCCTCTGGTAAGGGTATAAATTTGTCAAATAACGGAGCAATATAATCTGCATATATTGTAACAAGTACCTGCAATAAGAACATTGAGGAACAGCTGTAATAAACAGTTATCACCATTTTGTAAGTTAATATTAAATGATGCAGAAATCACCTCACCAGGGAAACTACCAGCGTGAAGAGCCACGCATAGATGAAGAAGTAATCCCCACCGATTTTGATGATGTACAACAGTAGAGACGTGACTGGGAGGAGAATGCATTGAGTAACCAAAAACTTCTTTATTGCATCTTTAAAAAAAAATCCCAAAGTCTGAAAATACATATAACAAAATGGTGTTAAGATTTATTTAATGCAGAAATTGTGACATATTAAAGTGTATACATTTTTTTCTGATAAATTTGTGCTTTTATTTTCCTTGTTAACACTTGTAATATTTGCTTACACCAGCATTAGGGTGTAAGCAAATATTCCTAAACTATTACTGTATGTGTCTTACTGCATTTTACAAAGACCTCTACAGATGTACCTCTTTTAGGGCTCTTAAAATAAAACTGATAAACGTGTCTGACAACTTTTACAAACCGTATATATCAGTGATGGCTATTTTCACGGTTTAGATATACTGCAGTTTTCTCAGCATCTGTATTCCTTTGTGTTAAACATGGGAAATTTTACTTTAAGTTTTTAGTATTTTAGTGTCTGAATGTGCAAATTGATGTGGCTTCTTTGCATATCATATCCATAGGTGCAACCGCCTCTGATACCCACCTTTACAAAATAGTTTTTCCTCTTAATGAAGTGCACATAATGCATGAAACACATCACGCTGATAGCATGAAGATTCAATTATTTTTTACTGTAGCTTGTATTTTTTGTGTTATATTTTGCCAAATAAATTATTAAGATTTTAAGAATCTGGGGGCGTGTCCTGACCGCGCATGTGAGCAGACGTGCAAGAACGGAGCTCTCCCGGCCCGCGGCAATAAAGCAGCTACCACAGCATGAAAAACCCCTAAAAACGAGCAATAACCTACTACACCCTCAGGTAAACACGCCCCTGATGGCCACCAAAAAATTTAAGCAAAAAACCCTTAATCCCCACCTAGAACGGTCACAAACCGCGGAGCCGAAAATCCAAGATGGCGCCGACGGACGGCACTCGCCTGCCCACAGCACTGATACAGGAGACTGCCTGTCAGAGCACAGCAATCCAGCAACAAATGCCTCAATCAGGCTAATTATGCAGGAGCTCCACACCTCATTTAAGGCTGACCTCCTTCAGATGACCGCTGACATCAAGGCAGACATCCATAGCATGGGGGAGCGCACCACCCGCCTGGAAGACAGGGCAGACGAGCTGGTGGAGGCACATAACACAATAACAGAGGCCTACACAGACTTAGAACGCAAACTAAAATCCTTGGAAGAAAAGGTGGCCGACCAAGAAGACAGGAGCAGACGAAATAATATCCGTATAAGGGGTATACCAGAGACCATTTCACAACAAGATTTATCCAGGTACGTCAAAGACCTGTTTAAAACCCTGATCCCCTCTCTGTCTGAATGCGACTTGATCCTGGACAGGACCCACAGACTGCCGAAGCCTAAACATCTCCCACCAGACACTGCGAGAGACACGATCACGAGAGTACACCATTTCACTGTCAAGGACAGAATCATGCAGACTTCCAGGACCATGAACAAATGGCCAGAATTATATAAAGATATCAAGCTGTTCACTGATCTCTCCTCAGCGACCATGCTCAAACGCCGAGCCTTCGCACCGATCACAGAAGCACTGAGAAACGCGGATATCCCCTACAAGTGGGGCTTTCCTACGAAGCTACTAATTAAAAGAAACGGCGTGGACAAGCCCATCATGACTCCGGAAGACGGCAAAAAGGCGCTTCAGGAATGGAATATACCCTTCCCACCTACTAGCCCCAGGAAGAAACAAGCAACGGCCCATGTGCCAAAGGCGCTGTCTAAAGACTGGTCACGAATCCACAGGGCCCCCCAGGCACGCATGGACCCGGACAAGTCACGGACCTGAAAGATCCGGGCCCAGCGCCGCACCACGCCCTCCAATGAATGAACTGAACGTACAGGTTTATAATGTTCTGTTGTATGTTATATTGTAAGTTTACCTAAGATACCCAATAAGGGTTTAACAGAAGGCCACAGGCCTACCCGCAACGGGTGAGCAATACCCGACGGCACTACACTCGACCCAAGTTATTGTTGATCCCCTACACATAGGGATCCAGTTACCACACCCAGTGTGGTACACCCCCAAGGTTCTAGTAGCCCAACTTCTCCGTTGCTTTAGGCAACCATATGTCACCAAACCGTGACTTACGGAATGTTGTATATAGTTTCTCCCCCTGTTTTCCCTTCCTCCTCCACACCACTCCCCCGCTGAGAGTACTCTGCAAGCACAGCATAATTGATATACACGGTTGCAAAATACCTAGATCTCCCAGGCACACAAGCCCCACGGGTATCCTTCGATGCCGCCGAGTTAGGGTAACCAATAGCTCGATTAAGAAACACAAACCCCTGCCACAGCACCCAACACGTTGGATAGATGGTGATTAAGCTCATGTCCCTAAACACCAAAGGGCTCAACTCCCCCAATAAGCGGAGGCTAGCCTTGCAAGAGGCGAAAAAATGTGGGGCACAAGTGGCATTTTTCCAAGAGACCCATTTCAAATGGAACTCTAGACCCAAATTTACCTCAAAATGGTATCCTCACGATTTCCATACATGTTACTCAGCTAAGAAAAGAGGAGTCTCCACGGTGATCAGCAAAAATGTGGCCTTCTCCTTAGTTAGGAAAATTAGTGACAAAAAAGGGTCGATATTTAATTTTACAATGTATGTTGAATAATGCACCGTATACTCTGATCAATGTATATAGCCCTAAGGAAAACCAAAACGAGTTCTTGCAAATGATCTTGGCTCTAACTGATATGTATAGACATGGGGAGGTGATCATTGGAGGCGACACGAATTGTCTATTAGACAGCAGACTAGACTCCTCCACCACAGCCTATATCAAGAGTTGCACACTCAGACACAGAACTACACTAACAACAAAAATATGCTCCACACTGACCGCAGCTCGCATGGTAGACCCATGGCGCATTTTACACCCAACAGACATAGATCACACATGCTATACAGCAGCTCACAACAGCTACTCTCGGATAGATAGATTCCTCATACCCACCACATTGATGGCCCAAATAGAAGGAGCGACAATTGGGGTAATGACGTGGTCCGACCATGCTCCCATTACACTTAGCATTAAAGAAGCGTTTACCAATAAAGGATCTGGCTCCTGGAGACTTAATGAATCCCTTTTAGCAGACCCAGCAATAATATCCCAGATCACGAAAGATCTACAACACTATATAGCGGAAAACACGACCGCTGATTCTGCAATCGAACACATTTGGCTGGCACATAAGGCGGTCATACGAGGCAGTTTTATAAAACATGCCAGCTACGCTAAAAAGCAGAGAATGGCCGAGTATACTAATCTCTTGGAAGAAATCCGAACCCTAACACATTCAAACAAAAGAGACCCAAACCCAACCACAAAAACAAAACTTCTAGCTCTCCAAAACAAGCTAAACAACATTGAGCTAGCCAAAACAACTTATCTACTCAGGAAATTGAAACAATTTCTTTACGAGTGGCAACAAAGCTGGTGCAATATTGGCATCACAACTGAAAAAAAGGAATGTCGCCTCCAGGATCGCCTTCCTAAATAACCCCAAGGGCATAAAAGTAACGAACCCCCAAAACATTGTAGACCAATTCGCTCAATACTACGGCGAACTATATAACCTCAACCAAGACCCCAATGTGCACATACCAACCCCAGACAAAATAGATGACTTCCTAGCTGCCTTAGATCTACCCAAACTGACAGAAAACGACCTAGCACCCCTGACAAGACCCTTCTCTCTAGACGAACTCACGAAAGCCATCTCTCAACTCCCAGCACACAAATCACCGGGCCCCGATGGTTTAACAAATGAATACTATAAAACTTTCTCACCAACCATAGCGCCACTGCTCCTTCAACTAGTCAACAAATGCGCTACAACAGGTGCGCTCCCAGAAGAAATGCTCTTGGCACATATCTCTACTCTCCCTAAACTCGGCAAACCCCCTACACAATGCAAAAACTTCCGGCCTATATCCCTTCTAAATGGAGATGCCAAGCTATACGCGAAGCTTCTCAGAAACTGACTCGCCCCCCTCCTGCATAAAATAATCCACAACGACCAATCTGGGTTTATCAGAGGCGGCCAAGGCTCAGACAACACCAGAAAATTTTTAAACATGATCTCCACATTGGAGTCCAACAGATCATCAGGCCTCCTCCTCGCCCTGGACGCGGAGAAGGCCTTCTATCGCCTAAATTGGGCCTATATGACTAAAGTATTAGCACAATTTAACTTTCCAGAATCCACCATAACTAGCATTATGGCTCTATACCATCGCTCAGCAGCGAAAGTATCACACGGAGGGTTCCTCTCTACTGCATTCTCCATCACAAATGGCACCCGCCAGGGATGCCACTTGTCGCCCCTTCTGTACATACTTGCCCTAGAACCCCTGGCACAAAAGATCCGAACACACCCCGAGATACTAGGAGTCAATATCCGCAACAAAATGTACAGTCTAGCCTTGTTTGCCGACGACATATTTATAGCATTATCAGACCCACGAAGTTCCCTTCCCCCCCCGTTAGACCTCCTACAGGAATTTGGCGATATTTCCTACTACCGCCTAAATCAAGACAAAACCCAAGCCCTACCAATAAACCTGCCAAAGCCCTTGCTGGACACACTCCAGACCTCATACCAGTTCGACTGGAAACCACACTCTCTCACATACCTGGGAATAAAGATAGCACCCACAATTTCTGCCACTTCACAACTAAACTACAAACCTCTAATTACATTATGTAAAGCGGAAATGAACAGATGGAAACACGCAAAAATCTCGTGGTTGGGAAGAATTAACACGTACAAAATGATGATCCTCCCGCGTATCCTTTATATCTTTAGGATGATACCGTTAGGGATCACGCCCCAATTTTGTAAAGCACTACAAAAATTATGTGGCGCTTATATCTGGAGCGGGAAAAGACCCCGGGTATCCCTAGCACTTCTCCAGACCGCTCCACGACTTGGAGGAGTGGGTCTCCCAAACCTGAGACAATACCACAGAGCAGCGATCCTCTCCACGGGCATACTCCTTCACGCTACACCAGGCACATTACAGTGGGTAGACATGGAAAGAACACAATTTACAGGCATGTCTCTAACCGACTACCTATGGACACCGAGGAAGTTTAGAACTAAACGCACGGACCTGTTCCCAACCACACAACTCACAATATCCATATGGAACACCTTTATGGAGACTATAGGCCACAAGGACACACTACACGCCAAATCCCCAATCTCAGTCTTGAGAACAATAGTACCCAACATTCCCCTTAAAGGACTGGAACACGGCGGGAGTGGCAACAATATCACAGCTCTTAGACGCCAAAGGCATATTACCATTCCCAGTCCTACAAACGCAGTGGCAACTCCCAAACAGAGCTATCTTTTCCTACCTACAACTAAAAAGTGTGATACAAGCACACACACCTCCAATACATACATTACCAGTCGCGACTAGACTCACCTCTCACTTACTCCTAGATAGATGCTGGGCAACACCCACAAAACCCAAAACACTCACGCTATGTTACAAGGCATGGCAGGAACTCTCAACACCCACATCGCACCCCTACAAACTCCACTGGGAGACAGACTGCGGGATAGCACTGACGGACTGCGACTGGCTACGCGCCCTCAACGGTCTCTCTAAATGGACAAAGTGCTACATGCACATTGAGGCCCACAAAAAACTCCTCTACCGTTGGTACATGACTCCACAGAGACTCCACCGCATATACCCCAATACGCCCAAAACTTGCTGGAGGTGCAACGCAACTACAGGGACCTTGGAGCATCTGTGGTGGTCTTGCGGTAGTATCCAACCACTTTGGACCGCCGTATCAATGACACTAGACCAACTTCACATCCCTAAATTCCAACTGTCAAAAACCTCGTGCCTCCTGCTCCTACTCCCAGCCAACCTCACCCTAACACAAAAACAGATTGCAGCCCTTACAATACTGGCGGCAAGGAACTTGCTAGCACTACATTGGAAATCACAGACCTGCCCGTCCTTAGCCCAACTCCAAACCAAACTCACTCAATACAAAATCTATGAAAGAATGGCAATAATATCCCCACAAAAAAAACTTGCATTTGATATGGGCTGGGGAGACTGGGAGGGGGCGGTGGACAAAAAGGGAGGCGTACCCAGGCAAGACCCTGTTCTCCGATGAGGGCAAGACTCATACAGTACACAAACAATGCTTGTACCACACTCCACCAGTACTCTCTACCACTCCCCTTCCCCTCCCTCACCCCCCCCGTGCTTAACCAGCCCCCCCCCATCCCCTACCAAGTTTTCGCCCTATCACTGGGGCTACCCACTTATACACCAACGTACTCATCAAAAATGAGGCATAACTCCGGCACTTCCTAACCCGCATACCTGGGACTAATTAGCGCAAGAACCACCACAGGCTGTACAGCCTACAATAATAACTACGTTGGCTCAGCAGACCACTCATGCACACAAACTTGGTTACGGGAGGATTCCCTGGCACGGCTCTCACTTAAGAGCCAGACCACATGGACGCTTAGGCGACAGTGTACACAATCTAACAATTAAACAGCTTACGCGTATACCTAATTTACTATGACGAAATGCATGCATGTACCAATCCCCCCATGTATTCCCTCAGGTTCCGCAAAATTCTGTGGATGTGATGGTTATGTCAAATGCTGAAACCTTGTATCCCCCCGCTAACATACCCTTTTTCCTTCTGTACCCCTGACCACATATTGAAGAAATAATAAAATACAAATCTGAAAAGATTTTAAGAATCTACAATGACTAACTTTTCCAGTGGGAGCCAAAACACTTTTCACTTGTTTACCCTTGATTTTTTGATTGGTTATTTCACTGTGCTGATCTGGGCACACCAGATCCCCCCAATAAGCCCTAATAGCTATGATGCTTTTAGTGTCATCTTTAAATTTTAAAAATAGCAGTGGGTGCCAAAGGACAATTCCATCCAGGTGTCACATATTCTTAAAACTCTGTAATTACTTCAGAAAGTGAATAATAGTGAGAAGAAGGGATAATCCCCTCCATCACCATGACTGAAATTTACTCCAGATGTAAACGATTATCGGATTTATTTCATAAGAACCTTAAGAACGACTTATTTCAAGCCTGGAGTTTGCAAAACTAGCCTTGCAGAACCCAGACGGTCTAAATATGTCTAGCATCACCACACTAACTCCTCTGCAGCATTATCTCAGATATAGGAATCTTTCAATGCATTTCCATTTACCAAATATAGTAGCTCCACAAACAAACACCTCTTTGGTTAAAAAACAGCATTCTAGCAATTACTCTAGCTTTACTGGACCATATGTTCTGCAGTCTACAATAGAAAGGTGAATGAGTGTACTTCAATCACCTTGGTTTATGGAGCTTCGTCTCCCCGCAGGGCCGCTTCTGTTAGTACAAAAACCCACAGAGAGTGGTAGGCATCACATTAAGTGTACAAAATTAAGAAAAAATGATAATGTCACATATAGACAGCCTGTCCTAATGTGTTTTACACCCCACCTCCCATAGAATGTAAGCTCGATTGAGCAGGGTCCTCTTCAAACTATTTTTCCCGTAAGTTTATTTGTAATTGTCCTATTTATAGTTAAATCCCCCTCTCATAATATTGTAAAGCGCTACGGAATCTGTTGGCGCTATATAAATGGCAATAATAATAATAAATAATGATTGCGGCCTAAACATTGCATTCTTATTATAGTGTGCCAGGCAATGTGTGGCTTTAAAGGGACACTAGTCACCAGAACCACAACAGCTTATGTGCACCTGCTGTTAAAGTTTACCTTGATGCTTTACAAAAAATAAATTAAAAAATTACACACTATGGAATACAATAGAATAACACATCAAACACAATCTCAACATTTTTACAACACTATGGTGCACAAGTCAAACCAAAAAGAAAATCTTACCTGTTGGTTGAACCCGTGTCGCTCCTCTATGACAAAAGTGTTGTAAAGGCTCCATGGAAGACCAGTCAAGGCACTGAACAAAGTTGCCAGAAGAAGGAAGACCAAGGAGTGAATAATCTAATGTGGGAGATAAAAAAAAAAAAAAAAATATTTGATGGACTAAAAGGATACAAGAATAAATAAAACAAAAAACAGCAGAAGATGGAGATGATAATTAAAATAAAGTTGCATGCTTCAAAATCTTAGATAGATGTAATATTTGATGGAATCCTGTTTGTAGACCTACCTCATATTCTGGACCAAAGCCAGCCTGAGCCAGGATCTGTCCAGAAGTGTTCCACAAGAAAGGAATGCCTCCTAGCACAAGGATGAGCTAGATGAAACACAAAGAGCAATTTAAGTTACATTAATATATGCTTAAATAAGACATGTCCATCAGATTCAGCCTTTCAAACACACACACACACACACGTTTCTGCTGTTGATTGAAAAGAATGTACACAAAAATGAATGTGTTTTGATTTAAATGTAATTTTACTACAAAAGGTTTTAGATGAAAAATGTATTTAAATGTATCTGGTGTACGTAGTATGCTCCTGCACGCTTTTTAATGTAAACATTGCCTTTTCAGAGAAAGTGTTTACATTACTGCCTAGGCTAGAAACACCACTAGTGGCAGTCACAATGTGCAGCACTGAACGCTTGCCACAAATATATGCATTAATCAATGCATCTCTAGGAGATGCTGATCGGTGCAGCATTTTGCTGCGCATGCGCAATTGCTTCCCAATTGGCTGATCTCAGCCAAGAAGGTGGAGCAGGGCCAGTCGAGACCACCATGACACTGGAAATAAGGTGAGCTGTACACCTATTTAAACAGGTGCAAGGGTGGCTAGTAGCCTAAACAGCGCATTTAGAACTATAGTGTCAGGAATACATGTTTTTATTCCTGGCACTGTAATGTTCCTAAAAAATATGGAATTCTCATCTGGTTGCAAATAAAAATTATAACAACCAACATCTTACATTTAAAAATGATTTAAAATGAAATCTTACTCACTAGTGATTTAAATCAAATCCACTGACTCACAAAAAGAGTAAGCCACATTGGGTACCCAATGGGCAGGAACACTAATGGGTTACAATAAAAAAAGAAGAGAAAGGAAGCACAGAATGATTTGGCGATACCTTTTATGGTATATTTCTATTCTTCTTTGTGGTCTGTGAAGGAACCCCATTACATAGGTGTACTGCCCCTTTCAGTTTTAAATAGCAAGATAGCATGACCCGTTGTTTCAAATTTTTTATAACAGTAATGAGTTACAGCTGGAAGGTAGATGTACACAGCACCCACCTCCCAGCTTTGTATTGTAGTGCACCAGATTGAATACCCCATCGGTATCAATCTACTGTGCTTGGTCTATCAGCGTGGAAAGCTCAGTAGATGTGAGTGGAGGAGGCATAAATTTAACATGTCTTGCCTTCTCTCCACTCACAGTGCAGGGCACATTAAATTGAATACACCCGTCTTGGTGAGAGCAAGGGAGAGTAAGACATACAACAGGAGTGAACAGATAGCATCAGAGAGGTAGACAGATAAAAATTGGAGGCTGAACAAATAAAACCATTAAAAAAAAAAGAAAATTAACAAAAAGACAACTGATGTGAAGAATATGGGGAATACATGCCTGTTATTAGATTAGGTTATAGCTTTTTTGTTTACTTAAGGGACACTATAGTCACCAAACAACTTTAGCTTAAGGAAGCAGCTTTGCTGAATAGATCATGCCCTTGTCATCTCACTGCTCAATTCACAGCCATCAAGGAGTTAAACCACTATTGTTTCTGCAGCCCTAACCACACCTTCGCTGGCTGTGACAGACAGCCTGCATGAAAAAAAAATTGTTTCACTTTCAATCAACTAGTAGCTTACTTTAAAAGTATTTTTTCTTCTGCTCTGTAAATTGAGCTTTAATTACATACAGGAAGACCCTGCAGGTTCTAGAAAGCAATTAACAGAGAAAGTGATAATGATGAAGTCTCGCACCCAGTCAGACTTTCTCCATTATAGATTCATATTGTGATCATACAGCACAGCCCTTGCCCTCGCCAAACAGTCCTACTTTTCCTCTCTCATTAGTTCATGCTCCCGTAATCCCAGGCGTCTCTTTGATACCTTTAATTCTCTTCTTCGCCTTGCTGTGGCCACCCCCCAAACTAACCTTACTGCCGATAGCTTTGCATGTTACTTTACCGACAGGATTAAACAGCTAAGGAAAGAATTCTCCCCTCCTTGCCGTTCCCTTTCTCAACCACACATAGATCATGCCTTTCCTACCTTTCAGACATTCGCCCCAGCTACTGAACAAGAGGTGGCTGCTCTTTTTCTCTCTCGCCCCACCACTTGCCCGGTCGATCCTGTCCCATCTCACCTTATTAGATCTCTCTCCACTTGTCTTGTGCCTTCCCTAACACACATCTTCAACTGCTCTCTCTCTTCTGGCATTGTCCCTGCTGACCTTAAACATGCCACTGTAGTACCTATCCTGAAAAAAAAAAAAAAACATCTCTTGACCCATCCTCCCCCTCTAACTATCGTCCTATATCCCTGCTCCCCTTTTCCTCAAAGCTTCTGGAAAGTCTTGTCTTTACCCGTATGTCTCACTTCCTCAATTCCAACTCTCTCCTTGACCCTCTTCAATCTTGCTTCCGCCCTCTCCACTCTACTGAGACTGAGCTCAAAATTACTAACGACCTAATCGCAGCCACATCCAAAGGCCACTACTCCATACTAATTCTTCTTGACCTCACTGCTGCCTTTGACACCATTGATCATGCTCTCCTTCTTCAAACTCTTCAATCGCTCGGTCTCTGTGACTGTCCTCTCATGGCTTTCCTATTATCTCTCCCAACGCTCATTCAGTGTCTCCTTTTCTAATGATACCTCCTCCTGTCTCGGTTGGAGTCCCCAAGGCTCTGTCCTTGGTCCCCTTCTATTTTCTCTTTATACTGCCTCTCTTGGCAAACTTATTGCCTCTTTTGGATTCCACTACCACCTGTACGCTGATGACACCCAGATATATCTCTCCTCCCCTGCAGTCTTGCAACATGTCACTGCTTGCCTTTCTTCCATCTCTGACTGGATGTAGTCCCGCTTTCTGAAACTCAATCTCTCTAAAACTGAGCTCCTTGTCTTTCCTCCTCCTAATACTGATCCTCCTCTTTCGCTCTCCCTTCAAGTTTGTGGTACCCACACCAGTCCATCCTTGCAAGAACGCTGTCTTGGCGTCATACTTGATTCTGGCCTCACCTATGAGCCTCACATCCAATATGTTGCCAAATCCTGTAGATTCCATCTTAAAAACATAGCCCGCATCGGCCCCTTTCTTACGCAAGATGCTACCAAGGAGCTTGTCTATGCTCTAGTAATTTCCCGCATGGATTATTGTAACCCTCTGATTGGTCTTCCCAAATTCCATACTGCACCGCTACAGTCCATAATGAACACTACTGCAAGACTGATTATCCTCTCTAGTCGGTTCTCTCACACCTCACCCCTCTGTCAGGCCTTACATTGGCTTCCTGTATGCTATAGGAGTCAATTCAAGGTACTAATTCACACCTATAAAGCACTGAACAACTCTAGCCCCTCTTATATCTCTTCACAGATCCATATGTATGTCCCTTCTCGATCTCTCCACTCTGCCCGTGACCACCTCCGGTCCGTTGTCCGCACCCGTACAGCCAACTAACGCATGCAGGACTTCCCATGGTCGGCTCCCTTCCTATGGAATAGCCTGCCTACCACCATCATTACATCCTTTAAGAAGTGCCTCAAAACCCATTTCTTTATGAAAGCTTATGGCCTCCCAGATTAACCTCTCTCTCACACAGGGCCGCCATCAGGGGGTGACAAGCATGATGGTTGTCACGGGCCCCACAATTACTCTCTGCACACACATAATATATAGATTATAGAATGTAAGCTTGTTTGAGCAGGGTCCTCTCCAACCTATCATTCCTGTAAGTTTTTTTGTAATTGTCCTATTTATAGTTAAACCCTCCTCTCATAACATTGTAAAGCGCTACGGAATCTGTTGGCGCTATATAAATGGCAATAATAATAATAATAATAATAATAAACAGAATTTGCAATAAAGGAAGTGTAAACATTAGATGGCTCTTTACAGGAAGTGTTTAGGAAGACTGTGCAATTCACATGCAAGGGGCTGTGACAAGGGCTGCATAAACAAAGTGATTTAACTCCTTAATGGCAAAGAATTGAGCATCAAGACTGCAGTGGTATGATCTATACACCAAAACTTTTAAGCTAAATTTGTTTTGGTGACTATAGTGTCCATTATTAAAAAAAAAACAAAAAAACAAAAACACAAAATAGGGTGCTGGAGGACATGCTTAGTGTTACATACGGTGCCTTCTGCTTCAGAGTACAATCCTGACCAAAAGCTGAAGGTACTTTTGTCTAACTGGTAAAGTCGAGATTTTTCAAATGTTTCAGGATCCATGATATTTCCAAGTTCTGCTGGTACATGTGTTGTGGTACGGTAAATCTTCCGCTGAAATAGGGATATAAATAAGAATTCTAATAATGTTTCACATTTTTCGCAATAGAATATGCTGTATATTTGTGTAAGTGGCACATTGAAATTATAACATATGCTATGGCCCAAGCGGTCTGTTTAAATACTTTGTATTCACTAAAAAGGTGCAGGGATGTGGGAAAAAACTTCAGTCACACTGGCATAATATATAGCGGTTCATACATACTGTTTGTTTCATCCGCCCCCCATTTATTTTTATTTAGACTTAGGAAGAATATCATATAAGGTACAAAGTCCAAAAACAAATGCTATGTCACACGTTTCTATTCTACTAGGGATCGAACGATATGGATTTTTTTTTAGAGCCGATACCAATAATCTGGGAACTTTCAGACTGATAGCCAATAATTTACAGATACCGATATTCTGTACATTTACCGTTTTGAAAAAAAAAAAAAAACATTTCTACACAAATCTACTGTAAACTGAACATGTTTATTTATTTGCAATTTTTTTTATTTTATTTTTATTAAAAAGGACCACTATAGGCACCCAGACAACTTCAGCTCAACGAAGTGGTCTGGGTGCCAGGTCCCTCTAGTTTTAACCCTGCAGCTGAAAACATAGCAGTTTCAGAGAAACTGCTATGTTTCACTGAGGGTTAATCCACCCTCTAGTAGCTGTCTCACTGACAGCCACTAGAGGCACTTCCGCACATGCGGATCTGACGTCGGCAGGGGGTGGAGAGCTACCCAGCAGAGGGAGCCCGGCACATGAGAAAGTTAAGTGCCCGAAGGGGTTTTAACCCCTTCAGCCCAGCGGGAGGGGGACCCTGAGGGTGGGGTGGGACCTAATGACCCTATTGTGCCAGAAAAAAAAAAAAAAAGTTTGTTTTTCTGGCACTATAGTGCTCCTTTAAAGGTAAATGTACAAAATATACATGCCAGTCAGTATTTTTTATGTTTGTGTGTAGTGGATGCAGTGAGAGTATTTTGTTAGTGAGTATTTTATAAATAAATTTTTTTTATCATTATTACATTTAAAAATGTTTTATTTTATTTCCCCCTCCCTGACCACAGGTACATAGGGCGTTACACTCCCTGATAGGGATTAAGGGATGAGTGCAGTTTGTGTGTATGAGGGGCATTGTATGTGTGGAGAAGTGTTTGTGTGAGGGGGGCAATGTGTGAATGTGTAGGGTGTTATTGTGTGTGTGATAGGGAGGGAAGCAGATCAAGGCAAATATAAAGTTTCTAGCGGTTTTAAAAAACAAGCAAGGAGGGAGGGGGAAACATTGCTTACAATCCCTGGTGGTCCCAGTGGTGAGAGTGGCAAGAGTGGAGTGTTGCCATGGTAACCACGGCAACGTTCCAAGCTCGCGAGAGGAGTACACAATGGAGCTGCAGGTAAAATAGTTGTTTTTCAATTTTACTAAAAGCAAATAGCTTATTTTATTATTAACAGTCATTATTAAAGTAAAAACATTGTGTCTGGTAAAAACATCCTGTCTAGAATAATGGGCAAGAGCTCCGGTCCTCCGAGGGCGCTGCAGGTCCATTGGGGAGCCCTGCATTGGGTGCTGTATGTGCATAGTACACTGAGTGCTGTGTGTTCAAATGAATACCTTGCATTGCATGCCCATCAATGTGCCTGTAATGAACGCTGCTCTGCCAAGGAATACCCTTCATTGGGTGCTGTCCTGCACCAAGTACTGTGTGCCAATGAGGGTGCCCTGCAATGTCTGTGCACAGGAATACCTTGCACTGGGTGATGACTATGCCCATCAAGGTGCCCTGCACTAGGTGCTGTCTGTACCAGTGAGGGTGCGCTTTGTGCCAGTGAGGGTGCTCTGCAATGGGTGCTGTCTGGGCCAGTGAGGATGCTCTGCAATGGGTGCGCACCATAATAGCAATACAAAAAAAATACAGTAGAATACACTTTTACCATGTTTTTATTTCCCAATACTTACCCACACAGCATTCACCTTAGTAAAAGCTTTGACGGGAATATACAAGAAAGTTGTTCTACTTTTATTCATAAAACAAAAATGAACTCTACAGCCAAGCACTGACTATACCTAATGTGGATAATTTTTCAAAACTGTCAATTCTGTCTTATTTCTTCAGTCAGCTTTCAATTCATTTATTAAAGGACCACTATAGTGCCAGGAAACAAACCCCCACCCCAGGGTCCCACTCCCGTGGCGCTGGGGACTCTCCACATTTGGACGTCATTAGCTGAATGCGCATGCGTGGCAAGAGCCGCGCACGCAGTCAGTCCATAGGAAAGCATTCTCAATGCTTTCCTATGGACGCTGGCGTCTTCTCACTGTGAAAATCACAGTGAGAAGTGCGGAAGCATCTCTAGCGGCTGTCAGTGAGACAGCCTCTAGAGGCTGGATTAACCCTAATGTAAACATAGTTTCAGAGCAGGCAGGGTTAATCCTAGATGGACCTGGCACCCAGACCACTTCATTGAGCTGAAGTGGTCTGGGCGCCTATAGTGGTCCTTTAACCCCTTACGGACACATGACATGTGTGACATATCATGATTCCCTTTTATTCCAGAAGTCTGGTCCTTAATGGGGTTAATGTGGTGTTTAGTGATCAAAGCCCTACAGAATCAATGCATGCTAATGGCATCATGTAAAACATCTGGCTGATATAATTACACGATGCTCTTTCACACTAACATTTCTTTAAAGGACCACTCAAGGCACCCAGACCACTTCAGCTTAATGAAGTGGTCTGGGTGCCAGGTCCATCTAGGGTTAACCCTTTGTTCTATAAACATAGCAGTTTCAGAGAAACTGCTATGTTTACATTAGGGTTAATCCAGCCACTAGTGGCTGTCTCATTGACAGCCGCTAGAGGCGCTTGCGTGCTTCTCACTGTGATTTTCAAAGTTAGAAGACGCCAGCGTCCATAGGAAAGCATTGTGAATGCTTTCCTATGAGACTGGCTGAATGCGCGCGGCTCTTGCCGCGCATGCGCATTCAGTCGAGGAGGAGGAGAGCTCCCCGCCCGGCGCTGGAGAAAGAGGCAAGTTTAACCCCTTCCTCACCCTAGAGCCCGGCGGGAGGGGGACCCTGAGGATGGGGGCACCCTCAGGGCACTATAGTGGTCCTTTAAAGGACCACTCTAGGCACCCAGACCACTTCAGCTTAATGAAGTGGTCTGGGTGCCAGGTCCTTCTAGGGTTACCCCATTTTTTCATAAACAGTTTCAGAGAAACTGCTATGTTTACGAATGGGTTAAGCCTTCCCCCAAATCCTCTAGTGGCTGTCTCATTGACAGCCGCTAGAGGCGCTTACGTGCTTGTCACTGATTTTCACAGTGAGAGCACGCAAGCGTCCATAGGAAAGCATTGATAATGCTTTCCTATGCGACCGGCTGAATGCGCGCGCAGCTCCTGCCGCGCGTGCGCATCCAGCCGACGGGGCGGAACGGAGGAGGAGAGCTCTCCGCCCAGCGCTGGAAAAAGGTAAGTTTTAACCCCTTTCCCCCTTCCAGAGCCGGGCGAGAGGGGGACCCGGAGGGTGGGGGCACCCTCAGGGCACTATAGTGCCAGGAAAACGAGTATGTTTTCCTGGCACTATAGTGGTCCTTTAATCCCTGATCACATCTAGTTTAGGAAACATGTGAGTCTACAATGGAGGATAAATTACACTGTAATAACCCTCCAATACACAGCCAGCCAGACTGAGGGTAGAACATATGTGGCCACAGGCAGACCCCCTTCTGCTGTGTTACTACAACTCCCATGATGCTCTGCCGGCCAGCCAGCCGTTAGTACCACAGTGGTTAATTGTTATGTGGGCTGTGCCCCCTGCCTCCATACAGTGACTGTATAAACCCACTGGCTGGTTTGGCCCGTTCCTCACACGGAACACGCCCCTCCCTGTAGTTAGCAGGCCGCGCTCGGCCAGGGTCTCCCCTGCTCACCTGCCGGCCGGCCAGGTAGGCCTCCCACACGTACACCAGCCATGAGAAGAGCAGCACGGCATAGAATATCTGACTCTCCACAGACAGCGCCGACATGATGACAGCAGCCACACAATGACCAGGCACCGGCCGGTCTGTCTGTCTGTCACTCACACCTAGGAAGCAGCGCGCGGATTGGTCGGCGATGTTTCTTACGGGGAACGTGAGTGGTCATCGCGCAGGCTGTTTGCAATCGCTCATCCTATTGGCTGGCATCGCAGCTCCCTGGAACAAGGACAGGATTCTGATTGGACGGCGTGCCGATGCTCTACGTGTGTTGAAACCCCAGTTCCGGACTATAAGGCGGCTTGTGATTGGCTGACGGTGAATGCGCTTTATTTCACCTTCCCGTGATTGGAGGCACTGTTCTCGGGGAACGCCCCTCGCGGCAGCCGGTGTGCTCTCCTTGATGCACTTTGTGGAGCATGTTTGTCATACGGTCCGTGCCTCCTGCAGTGCCAGCGCTTAGCTTCTAGCGAGTTCGTCAACAGAGTCTGAGTTAGAACAACAGACAGGGCTGGTAACTACAGTGAGCGAGTTAAAGTGAGTTTCAATGTTAACGGATCGCTATAGTGTCAGGAAAACAAACCCGCTTCAGCAGCTTACCTTAATCCAGCGCCGGGCTCCCTCCCACGCAAACGTCAGCTCCCGAGTGTAGCCGAACGCGTAGCCAGGCCATAGGAAAGCATTTCTCAATGCTTTCCTATGGACGTTCTGCACGCTGGATGCAAATTTTGGAAGACAGCCACTAGAGGTTGGATTAACCCTGCAATGTTTCTCCGAAACTGCTATGTTTGCATCTGAAGGGTTAAAACCTGGAGGACCTGGCACCCAGACCACTTCATTGAGCTGAAGTGGTCTGGGTGACTATTGTTTCCCTTTAACGGATATGGAATTAAGATAATTTATTCAAAAGCAAAAGAGTTAGTTAAAAAGGAAAAAATACCTGAAATCCCCTTGCCCGTTAGAAAACTGGAACAGGACTGTCCGATATCTACACAGTTTAATGATTGGGGAACAACCTTTATGAATCCGAAAAAATCTATACATTGTTTAAATTTATTGGAAACACGAGGTAAAATTTTATATAGATTAGATTAATCAGGATCTCTCAGACTAATCCCGCTACATGTTTGAGATGTATACATTCAGAGGGTAATATGGAACATATTTGGTGGAGTTACCCTAGGATTATAAAATTACGGAACTATGCTTTTGATACAGTTACAGATTTAAACTGGTATAACATTAGATAAGAAACCGGAAGTAGCACTGTTGCATTTAAATTGGCGGCAACAGTCTAAACCCCATGTTACTTTAATAATATATTGTTTTATAGCAACTAAAGTCCTTATTGCCAGACACTGGAAACAAATAGAAGTCCCATCTAAAGATCATTTTATAAATCAACTTCTTTATCAGCTCGGTATGGAAAAAAAAAACATATTAAACCCAAGAACAAACCGTAAACAGGCAGCGAAATATGATTATATAAATTAGGTTAAGAACTACCATAACAGACTACCTACTGGATTAAATTTAGATCCATAAGCATTAGACTATTACATGGTAAACAAGGAATAGTGTTGCCACAGCTTTGACGTTTAGTTTAAAGGGAAAACAAAAGATATGTGACGAGGTGCCCCTCGCCACTGGGCATTGGAGAGGACTGATTACCAGCCTCCTGCCACATGACTATAGCCCTGGGGTGTATGGCCCTTTAAAACCATTACTTGGTCTTATGGACTTTTATTTGGACTAGTGCTGGCCCTTTTAAAACAGTGTATGGACATATTGAATCTTTTGGGACACTTTTTCTGCCCTTTGAATCCATGGGCAGATGTGCCTCTTCCCCTCCCCATGTCAATATGACTTCCACCTATCTCCTGAACTACTTAACTTATTCAAGTGAATTTTGGATATGTTTGTCCCCAATTTATGCTGGTTATAAAAATATAATAGTTTATTGATATCGCATGTAAACTCACAAAGTTATGAAAATATATAAAAAGTGTAACTTTTCAGCTTGGAGATAATTCAGTAGATACAGTTAACTCAATTATCTCCTAAGCAGAGGGGAGGAATTCACTGTTACTGCTGGGTGTGCTCTGTTGTCATCTTGTGTATGATTGGTTGTTGTAACTCTATTGTCGGTGCCCCACAAGGTCCAGTGGGTGGTGTCTAACCTGTAAAATCCTGCATAAAAGCAGCAATAAACGCTCAGTGGAGACCGTTCTTCTTGACCCTCAACACGTAGTCTTGTCTCGTGATTGGAGGAGATAGCTATACTCACACTGGGGCATGCATACTCCCCTGAGCTTTAATCACTTAGCTCTTTTAAGAGCTTGTTCTTGATACACTCTCCTGGAGGAGAGGTCTTCCCCACACAGTCCTGGAGGACAGAAGCTGATCCAGAGTGGACAGAATATGGGGAGACTCCAGTTAAGCTACGGCGGTTGTGGAGTCTGCGTTGGTTGTGGTGTCCGGTGCGGTGCTTGTGGTCCTCAGCGTAAGCTAGGAAGCGTCCATCAACTGAAGGTACTCTGTCGGAATACGGGAAGTTCCATTACAACAATTTTCTGAATTTATAAAATGATAAATACTCCCTTTTGTAGTATGAATGTAATTGTTGTAAGACACATGTTTGTATTTAATGTGCTTCTCTCATGTATGTTATTTATTGGAAAACAAATAAAGAATACCAAAAAAAATAAAAGTATTATGCAAGGCCACCTAATTAAATGTCAGCTTTAGCTAAAAAGAAAGAAGCTCCATCACTAGCAAAATTATATAGTTTATTTTTATAATTCTTTATGAGCTAAAGCCCAAAATAAAAGGACAGCCTTAAATAAAACAGCAGAGAAAAATCAAGAACATAGAAAGTTCTATTAATGAACAACTAGCTAACAAAGTGGCCAGAAACCTAGTGTTATCACACGGGCAATTACCCTGGAAGAAATAATGACAAGAGATTAACAAAGGAAAAGAATAGGAGAGTAACTGCAAAAATAAAAGATAAAGATACATACTTATTAGCCCCAGACCAGATAGGCAGAGCTTTTGAAAAATTCTACATAAAACTAAACAACCTGCCCAGTGAAACCTTTTGGAATAAGAAGGATGAGGAAAACTTTTTTTAAAACTTAAAAATCCCGGAAATGACACCAGAGAGAATTAAAGCAACCAATATCCGAAGCAGAAATAACAAAAGCAATAAATTAACTCAAAATAAAAACCTTGCCATACCCAGATGGTTTTACAAACATTTTTTTATAAATTGATGAATGAGAGCTTAAAATTAGAACTCTACAAAGTCTTCAACCAAATAATCAATACAGGTAAATGCTCGGGAGAGCTTTTAAGAGCAAACATTGTTCCTATCCCTAAAAATAACAAGAATGCAGAGCTAATTAGTAATTATCGCCCAATCTCTCTGATCAATTCAGATATAAAAAGGTTTTCATCAATCCTAGCAGAAAGAATTAGAAACATTCCAACTCTCATATCGTCTGACCAAGTCAGCTTTATTCCCGGAAGATCATCAGTTAACAGCTTAAGGTTTTATGATTAGAGCGTTAAAAAAATATGGCATTGAGTGCCCTATACTGCAAGCGATTTTTGATCTGTATGACTCTCCACAGGCCTAAGTTATGGGCTCAGGATTCTTTTCTCATTGGTTTAATATAAAAAAAAAAAAAAAAACAGAACTAAACAGGGGTGTCCCCTGTCTCCCCCTTTTTGTATCTCCTGATTTTAGAACCCTTGGCAATATCCATAGGGCTAAATCCCAAAATCAAAGGCTACACATAAAAATCCAGTCAAGATTAAACTGACCATATATGTAGATGATATTTTACTATCGTTAGATGAGCCTGAATCCTTGGTTCCAGAACTTCTAACAGAAATAAAGAAATATGCAAGGGTCTCTGAGTATAAAATAAACATAGATAAATCAGCCTTTATTGCAAAATATATGACAGGAAATCTATACTTAATAAACGAGTGAAAGAGCCTATACTTTTTAGGCATAGCCATAAACCCAGAATTAAAATAATTAGTGGAAGCAAATTTCCTTCCTCTACTAAAACAGAAATAAAAACTTAGACTGGAGAGGAATGGGCTTTTCATGGTCAGGAAGAATTAACATACTCAAAACCTATATAATGCCAAAATTGTTTTATCTATGGATGATGATACCACTCAACTTTCCAAAAAGCTGGTTAGACATGTCACACACAGCCTTTATAAAATTTGCATGGGAAGGGAGAAAACAAACAGTTAAAATGAAACTATTAGCTAAAAGAAGGAAAGATGGAGGCTTGGGGTGCCCACAGATACGTCAACACTACAAAGCCAGTTGCTTATTCTATCAAATACTAACGCAAATAGCTCCACGATTAATCATGGAACATAATAGAGGAAAATAGTACTGGAGTAAAACGTCTGGCTTCAATCTTCTGGGCCCTAGATATAAAGAAAAAGCGGACCACAGATATAATCCTAAAAAGTACAAAAATAGGAGATCTAATAATCTGGAGGCCTCAAAAACAAATTAAGCAAATTACTGCCAATTTCGGTGATTGATGACAATTTAGAAAACATAAATGCTTGGCAAAATTTGGGTATTAAGACAATCAAGGATCTTTTCTCAGACCATAAAGTGAAATCCTTCCCTCAGCTAAGACACAAATTTGTCATACTGTCCAAAGATAAATTTAAATATCTATGGGTTAAAAGATTCATCCTCACTCATACCATTAAGAAAAAGAAAGAAAAATCAAAAAAATTCTTCCAACTATTAGAGCTAAAGAACTGTAAAAATCTATTAGCAAAATGTGCGGCTGTAATATACCATCTGAGATACGATGAGCCTATAACTACACTAGGGAAATGGGAGACAGACTTAAATTTGCAAATTAAAGAGGAGGACTGGAAGAACTCCCTATAAAAAATAATTGCTTAAATTTGACAGATGTTAATTTTAAATTGTCGAATAGGTGGTATCTTACACCTAGGTACTCTCAAAGATCTCTCCAGATATTTCTTTGAATTGCAGGATATGTAATGGGGCTACTTGAAGCTTAATGGTGGCAGTTTGGAAGGATTGCCAATTACAGGAAAGAAATAAGATTAATCTACCAGGTTACAAAAATTAAATTGAAAATCACAGTGAGAAGACACTGAAGTCCAGAGGAAAGCATTAATTTTTTAGGAGGGGGGGTAACTAGGGGTTTGGGAAGGGGGGTTACATTTTTATTAAGGGCCCCCACCCACTGCTCAGGGTTGAGGAGGAAACAGGTGCCCCCCTTATTGGTATTTAGGGCTCAATCTATTCGCTGTTTCCCACACCCACCGCTCAGGGGTGGGACAATAGGACCCCCCTTATTCTAATTTAGGGCCCCCACCTGCCACTCATGGCTGGGGGCTAGGGGAGGACAATAGGTTCCCCCCCTTATTAGTATTTAGGGCCCTCACCCGCCGTTCAGGGGTGAGGGCAATAGGTCCCCCCTTCAGGTTAGAAGCCCCCACTCGCACGGCACGGGTGGGGGGTACACGTGTCTTTTTTGTTTTGTTTTTACAGTGAGCAGCCACAGGCTGCTCACTGTTAACTAGACATGCCCCTACTCGCGGTATAGCGAGTAGGGGCATTATTTACTAATACTAAGTAATCTTTACTTAGTATTAGTACATTTGGCTGAAAGACCTTTTAGTAGATAGCTCCCTAATACCGTGGGAATTAGGGAGTTATCTACTTATTCATTCCGGTCATTCCATTGACTGGCTAAGTAACTTACGTTTTATATGAATGTGTGTTACTTTATTGTTGTAAGTGTTGAAAATGCTTACAGTTAAATCCTGTTTGTATACTTTTTATTTAAACTTGTATACAGTTTAGCAATCTTCATTCTTCCACTGGGTAGGTATATTAGTACTTCGGAACTTCAGCAACTTCGACAATTGAGCTATTCGGACATCCGAATGTCCAAGTTGCCCAAAATTCGTCCGAATTGACATTCATAACGAAATGAATTGCACATGTCTAGTTTAAACATTTATTCTATACAGGGGATTCCTCCCTGTTCGGCAGTATGTTGCTGGCATGAGACTGTTCACAAATTCAATTGGCCTGGTTAAGTCAGCTGCCCCAATTGGTTAAAAAAAAAAAAAAAAAATGATGTTACAATTATATGCTTATGAGTTGGGGCTATTTCAATGTAATGATTTAGACTGAGATATAGATTATATATATATATATATATATATAGCCTTATTAGGTTAGTAATTTGGTTTTAAAGTTACTATTGTAGGTTTTACTGGTATAAAAGTTTTAATTAGTGGACATGAACATTTCGCTTCCCTTAGGTGCCCTGGTCATACAGATGGTTGCTTTACAAGCACGACAAACCCGTCGTCTGCCTGTCATATTTTCACTGCTCAGCAATAGTATCTGGTAGGTTCCTTTATTTTAATTCGGACCCACGATCTGGCCCACTAACATATCTATACGCACAGATACTCATTCACATCCTATCTATAGGTCGCAGCAGGTTATCTACTGCCACCCTCTCGTCCTGACTCAAACTTTATCAGGTAAATATGAGTGTTTAAAACAGTAAAAAAAAAAAAAAACCATCACCAGTAAAAGTGCAGTTTTTGTGTAAAATAAAATTGCAAAAAACAAATATGAACGCTAACTTTGGCAAGCGTTTGTGGCTACTACAAAAGACTGGACATAACCCTTTTTGAATACTGTGGGTTGTCTATTTTTACAAATGGTATACCATGATGGGGTTAATTTTCATTTCTGGGTTGCCATACCGTTTCAAAGGCAACATAGACAATCTGGCAAATTTTACTTTGCAAAAACAGAAATTGGCAAATCTTATATATTACCCTGTAACTTTCCAAAACACCATAAAACCTGTACATGAGGGATACTGTTTTACTCGTGATACATTCTTCACAAATATAAGTGTTTGAGAGCAGCAAAATGTATTATACGGATATCATCTGTGAAAGGGCAGTTTATACGTGGAAAGTGCAAAGAAACTAATATAAATGCTAACTTTTGCCAGGGTTTGTGACTAAGTGGCTACTAAAAAAGACTGGCCATACCCCATTTTGAATTAACCTGGGTTGTCTACTTTTACAAATGGTATGCCAAGATGTGGTTAATTTGCATTCCTGGGCTTCCATACGGTCTCAAAGGCAACATAGGCCCAGAAAACCAATCTGGCAAATTTCAATGGAAAAGGGGAAAGACCTACATTTGACCCCTGTAAGTGTCCACAAAAAACAAAGAAAAAAAAAAAAAACCAACCTCAAAGCCTGTACATGGGGTACTGAGGAGACACTGCTGAATACAAAAGGTGTTTTTTATTACAGTAAAATCTAACAATATTATGACATTCAGAATTTTTTTTTAAAATGTCTCATACTTTAGATTTCATTCACATTCAGTTATGTTTAAATATATAAATATTTGATATAATACATGTAGGTTTACTTAATATGAAAGAGGCGAATTGTGGTTGAACAACATATTGCGCAAATTCCAGGTTTTTTTTACATTTTGTTTTGAACTTGTACAATTGGCTCCGTCCTTAAGGGGTTAAGGTAACTAGAATTGTTTTAAGAAGATCATTTTCACTTAACTCGAGCTTACTGCAAGTAAGTTTTGTGGGGGGGTTTTGTGTTTGTTTTTTGTTTTTTTACAAAAAGTCAAGGACGTTAGTAACTAAAGAAGGATATTATGACACTAGAAAGAGTTCAGAGGCTGGCTACAAAATTAATAAACCAGTATGGAACATTTTAGCTATGAAGAAAGGTTTAAAACCTTTTTTAGCTCAGAAAAACGTCATCTCAGAGGGGATATGATAACATTATACATATATATATCCGGAGCAACGCAAACCATTGTGTGGGTATCTATTCACAAACAGGACACTAGGTCATGCGTGTAGACTGGAAGAAAGAAGATTTAGTCTAAGGGAAAAGAAAGTATATTTTACTGTAAAAACAATAAAGAAATGGAATTCTCTGCCTGAAGAATTTTTAATCAGAGTCTGTACAGATGTTTAAACAGCAACTAGGTGCTTACTTGCAAAAACAGAATATTCAATGATATAATTTTTCAACTGTAGGGTAATAGCATTTTGACCCAAGAATAAATTTGACTGCCGTTCTGGGGTCAAGAGGGAATTTCTTACCCATAGTTTGCTGCAAAATTGGAAGTGCTTCAAACTGTCCCCCTCTCCCTCCCTTCTTTTGGATCACCAGCAAAAAACAAATGTGAGGAAGGCTGAACTTGATGGACACATGTCTCTTTTCAGCCTATGCCACTATATGTAAAGACTTAAGGGTACATGTCCTTGTTAAAAAGGTTTTATCAAAATTCACTGCTTTGTTGTTAAATGGCAAAAAGCTACTCTTAACATACAGACAAACTAGTTATAGGTACACTACATGCAAAAATGTTAATGAGTAATAGAGGTAAAATAAATGCCCCGACCCAACTGAAAATTTAATTTTTTTCCCTTTATTAAAACTTTCACAAAATACATAACAGAAAACATTTTTCATGAAACATTCAAAATGATTAAAAAAACAACAAAAACAAAATAGTACAATCTTGGTTTTAAAGTAAATGCCCGTCTGCAAATGTCTTTCACTTGAAATGACATTTTATCCAGATACCCATGGTCCTGTAAAGCTATTCCTAAAGAGAGTGCTACATTTTTAGAAAACAGTAACAGGGCATGCATTGTGTTCAGTTACTCATTTACAATCATATCTGCTGTATTTCATAATTGTTTTCGACTAATGGCTAAGAATACACCAGTGGGAAAACTCCAAAATTCACCCTTCCCTGAGAAAGAAATGTAAAATTAGCCATGTCCATTACATATATTTTTCAGATTCTTAAAATGTGCCCTCTAATAAATTGAGTGGGAAGCCCCAGATATATAGTTTCCTCAAAATGCAAGTAAAAAAACACAAAAAAAACATTTGTCCCTTATACGCTAAATATCATCATTAGTCTTATCCTGATACTTTATGTATACTATTAACATTATGATTCCACAGAAGAAAGACAGTGAACCAAACACGATATAAGCAATTCCAAGAAAGGGGTTTTTCCCTCCCATCCAGGATACACTGCTAAACACAATTTTTTTTCGTCCTCCAAAACTTAAGACAGGATATTCTGTTGAGAACAAGTTAAGGGTTAAAATAGAAATACATTCATCTGTAAGACATACTTACAGTATATGACTAAAGCCTTTGTGTTGGCCTCGGATTTCCATACACAGGGCTGGATGTGATTACATGACATACATTCAACACTGGTAACTGAATAGCAGTTCTACATATGTAGGAAAATGGTTATTCTGTTACCAGATATATTCTTATAATGTAACATAGCCAGTTGTTGGAGACACTAAAATATTACGTAAAAAGAGATTATGCTTACAAGACATTTGTAAGGTATTTCAATTAAATAACAAATGTTTTTAGAAAATGTATTTGAAAAAATTACCACAAAAGACACACCGACCACTTTATTTTAATCAAGTGGTCAAGGTGCAGTGTCCTTTACATTTAAAGGGACACTATATTCACCAGAACAACTACAGCTTATTGAATTTGTTCTGGTGAGCAGAATTATTACCTTCAGGCTTTTTGCTATAAACACTATCTTTTCAGAGAAAAGGCAGTGTTTACATTACAGCCTAGTGATAACTTCACTCCTCAGATGGCTGTTAGAGATCTTTCCATGGTCATGGCTGCCTAAAATGCATCCAAGCATTCAGGGTCTCCACTCTCTGCATGCAGACACTGAACTTTCCTCAGAGATTCATTGATTCAATTCATCTCTATGAGGAGATGCTGATTGGCCAGTGCTATGTTTGAATTGTGCTGGCTCTGCCCCGATCTGCCTCTTTGTTAGTCTCAGCCATTCCTATGGGGAAGCATTGTGATTGGATTAGGCTACCATTTCTGCTCATGTCAGCAGGCAGGTCTAAAGGAAACAGGGACAAAGTAAGCAGCTGCAGGCTTGAATACAAAGTAAGCTTTACTATATTTAGGGAGGCATAAGGGAACCAGGGGGGCTAGATGGGGATTTTACCCCTATACGGTCAGGAATACATGTTTGTGTTCCTGATCCTATAGGATATAAGCATAATCTCTACTTTTTACGTAATATTTTAGTGTCTCCAACAACTGGCTATGTTACATTATAAGAATATATCTGGTAACAGAATAACCAATTTTCCTACATATGTAGAACTGCTATTCAGTTACCAGTGTTCAATGTATGTCATGTATCCTATAGTGCTCCTTTAGCCCAGCAATGTACAGTATTGCCATTTAGTAGATACAGTAATGCTTATGTTGCATGGTTAAATCTACCCAACAGTCAGAGTCAAACGTGGTTCTTACAGCTAACCTCCAATATGCGTGCACTGCTGTGCATGTGCTTTTAGCCCTATGACAATCCTCTATAAGAAGCATTGGCTTGGTCTTTTAGAAGAGTCAGCATGACTTCCCAAAAGGCAGATAGAGAAACTGCAAAGAGTCAAACTCTGGATGGCAAAAATAAATAAATAAATAAAAACAAAGTAGTGAAAACTACTAGGTGGGCTGAATCTAAATAAATGCATGTTTGAACAGCTAATCTTATTTCTGCAGTACTGCAACAGCCAGCCAGATTGCCCAATGCGAGATCCTTCCCTTGGAAGCATATGTCCCAGATCATACCAACCAACCAGACATTCCTCCCACTGGTCTAGATATTTTTTTTTTTACTCGTGATGGGCATGCTAGTTTAATTTCCCTATGTCCTAAGAATAGTACCCAGCAAATACCAAGCTCCAAAATTAACCATAGTTTAGCAGGTTATATAAATCTCTCTTTGACAACGTTAAGGTCAGCCTACACAAGATGTCTCAATTATGCTTACTGTCTTACCATTATCAGACAGAACTTGTATCAGACTTTGTATTACTTAAAAAATGTGCAGTTCTGTTATATGCCACAGTATTATGCCTCTTAAAGTGCCTATATTTGCAGTCGTGGCAAAACAAGCCTGTCAAGCTTTTGCACAACAAAAATAAAGAATGTAAATAATTTATTTATTTATTTTTTTTTTAAATGCATTTTTGTCTTTCTAAAAGCTAAAGAGTTCATTTAGAAGCAAGAAAAATAACCAACTAAGGGGAGATTTATTTAATAAATCACATGTAATTTTCCCCCAAGAGTGCCAATTTCATCTTAATGAAGTGGTGTTCGTGCAGTAGCACTGTCGTTAATGCTGATTCAATGTAAAATTTCTGATGCTGATCTTAATGTAAAGGAATGCTGATTTAGAGATATGGCAATGTTTGCATTGTGAGGGTAAACACACCTCTAGTGGCTGTCTTCTTGACAGTCACAACAGGGTGCTTTTGTACTCACATCAGAGTCAGACTGTTTTTTGATGTGTAACATCCTCACTTATTGAATGAGGAAATAGACTATCCTTTTAGGTTTCTCATAGAGAAGCACTGGATTCAATGACATCACAAATTCAGATCAAGCTGCTCAGAAGAAGCTGTCTGGTTGCTGAATTTGAGATGAATAAAAGTTATGATGATTAATTTAATAAATGCAATCTTAAAATAATTTGTTTTTTAAAAAAGCACAGCTTACCCTGCTCCTGTTATTTTTGATTAAAATTATACACTTTTTTTAACCAAGGGAACTATAGTGCTCTTTTAATATACTAAAAGTGTGTCCTATATGTTTTATAGAATTCAGTGCATTGCAATTTTATTAAGGATACTGTAATCAATCTGGAACATATATTGCCCAGGAGGAAGACCAGATGTGTAATTCCCCTCCTCAATTCTGCTATACAACTTCCTGAAATTTGGCAAAGCAGCCGATCGCATCCAAACGATGAAATCTTCATTGGTAAAGCCATCACTTAAGCGGTAAACAGGCACGGCCCAGTTTGGAAGTTTTGCTGTACCTGTTCACAGAAGAACAATATAGAATATCTTGACAAAGTAAATAACACACTTGGTTAGAGAGAGTGTCAGGTTGGGAAAGTGCAGTGGGGGTAATCAGTGGCGTACTAAGGGGGGGGGAATGTATGTGTGTCTGTGTGTAATGCAGTGTGTGTAATGCATTGTGTGTTTTTCTGTGTGATGAATGTCAATCTCTCCCCCCTCCCAATTTCATTCTCTCTCCCCCCTCCCAATTTCTGAGTGTGCACTTCCTGTTAGTCCGGCTGGGTACAGGAAATAAAAGTTCCCTGTACCCGCGGACTATACTGGGCTCGGCCACGCTACAACTGAGGTAGGGGGGGTGGGAGATGGAATAAGGAGAGATATGGGGGGTTGAATAAGGAGAGATATGGGGGGGTGGAATAAGGAGAGAGATGGGGGGTGGAATAAGAGAGAGATGGGGGGTGGAATAAGGAGAGAGATGGGGGGTGGAATAAGGAGAGAGATGGGGGTGGAATAAGGAGGTGGAATAAGGAGAGATTGGAGGGTGGAATAAGGAGAGATTGGGGGTGGAATAAGGAGAGATGGGGATAAGGAGAGATTGGGCGGGGGGGAAGGAAATTGGAGAGGGGGATAAAGAAAGAAATTGGGAGGGGGGAGAGATTGACATTCATCACACAGAAAAACACACAATGCATTACACACACAGACACACATACACAAGCAATGCAACCGTTACACACAATGCATTCATTACATACACTCAAGGCATCTCGTACATACACAGAAACACACCTTGCAGCCCTTACACATACAAACACAGATTCACACAATGCATTCCTTACACACATCAGGACATCCCCTACACACTCCACCCCCTGTGAACAAACTCATTGGTGGAACATGAAGGTGGACCCTGGGACCCAGACCTTGAGCTGTGTAAAGGGCCCCCCAAAAAATGGAGCTGCTTCCCGTTCTCCCAGAACATTGATTTTGTGACCACAGTTACAAACAGCCTCCAGAGAGCCTGTTCTACACCAGACCAGTGGAGCCAGACTGAAGCTAGAGCCCATCATCATCCTCATCTGGTTGTAAGTAGGCAATCTAGTATATTATTCGTGGCACTAATCTCTAATTTACCTCATATTAAAGAAACCATAGTCCACAGAACCACTGCAGCTTAATGTAGTGGTTCTGATGTTTATAGCCTGTCCCTGCAGGCCTTTTAATGTAAACACGGCGGCACTGCAGCACTGGCGTTAGATAACATGGCAAATCATATGGGTGGGTCATTGTGATGTCACATGGAGGGCGGCAAACTTTTTTTGCCTAGGGCGGCAAAAATCCTTGCACTGGCCCTGGCTGGAGGGGGCTGTGTGAGCTGTGGCCGCACAGTGCCCCATGGTAGTTAGGGTGCCGTGCGGCCAGTACAGCTCACACAAGCAAACAGCTGATAAACTGTCCGCACGGAGGAAAAGTGGGGCGGAGCTAAGCAAAATCGGAGGCGGAGCCAAACTGGCGCTGGGGGCGGGGCTTGGGGCAAGGGGGTGCTAAGCACAGGACCCGCCCCGGGTGCCAAATGCTCTAGGTACGCCCCTCGGGGTAATCCCCTACTAAAATATAGGTCAAACACACACCAATTACCTAACCCCAAAAATGATATGAACATAATAAACCTAACATTTATTGTGTCAATTAAAAAAACATACAAAAATTCCATAATTACAAATTGCTAAAAGCATTGTAAAGCTTTCAAAAGGAGCAGAGTGCACCTGAAAGTAATAAGGATGTGCTAGAAGATATTAAATAAGGATATGTCTATAGTCTCCAAAGCCCAGTTTCATTTGGTTGACTCCTACTAAATGGGTGCCCATATACAATATTGTACCAACATACAGCTTTATTGCATTTTAACGCCAGCTGTCATTTTTAAGTAATATACTGTACTTTGACAGCTCAGTGTTACTCAACAAAACTACAGTGTGTTTTTTCCTGACAATAATGACCCCGCAAGGATGTTTGGAACAGCCAATCACCTCCTCGTTCCCTTCACATGCTATCAGCTGCTGCAGTTATACTATTAACTCTCTCTGCCATCACATAGAAATCCCTCTGCTACCTCTTGTCTCATCTCCACAGTTTAACCTTTAGATTGTAAGCTCACGGGAAGGGCTCTACCTGTTGTATCGGTCTGTTCCTATTGTATTGTCTTTCCCAATTGTACAGCTCTGCCAAATATGTTGGCGCTCTATAAAGGCCAGTAATAAATAAATGTTACATTGGGCTATCAGTTTCTCATTTAGACAGGAGTTGTGGATTCATGTGCTGAGTGCCCTATGCCTTACATATTGCAAGGTCATATCTGGTCAATGCAGACAGTTGCCAACTTTCTAAGCAACTTTATCTATCCTTAGGACTAGAATATATTGTATCTTAAATACATTTGCTTACTTAGTTCACAGCAGAGTCTTAAAATTATATTCATTGCTTTACATTCTATTTCCACCTTAAAGGGGTACTATGTCTATTTAACATCTCTTGCCTGTGCGATTACTACTACCTTGGTTTATAATAATAATAATAATAATAATAATAATAATAATAATAATAATAATCTTTAACACATCAAAAAACTCACAGATTGTTTAGGGCAATATGGAGACTACAGCCATTTTCCAATTTAAATGTTTTATACCACGTCATTATTTTGATGTGACTTGACTACTTTGAAAGTTTTACAATGGTTTTAAGCAGTTTGTAATCCAGGAATTGCATGTATATATTTTAATTGACATAATATAAAAAAAAAAATTAAAAAAAATTAAAAAAAAAAAGTTTTAAATATTCTGTGTTTTTCTTTCTTAGAATTTGGCATCTTAGTAAAGTGGGGTGCAATAAATACATTATGCATGAATTAAATTCCATGCATTTTTATTGTTTCATTTTAATGGCATATTTAGATCCTCCGTGGTCATTAATTGCTGTGCGCATTGTAAGATAGATTGGGTTCATAAAGTTATTTGAATATGATACTAAAACAGTCTTCACCTAGTAATTAATCATGACAAAAGAATTGTTGGCATATTTTCTGGTTAACTTGATGTGAAGGAAAATAACTAGTGGCACCTACTGATTAGCGCAAAGTACGGCATCATGACACCTCTGAGTTGCAGGATAATGTGATTAAACTAAGATTACTTTGGTAATGAATTATGTAAAAGTAGGCAAAATAATGATATATAAAATACAGAAATCAGCCTAAGTATATCTTTTTAGATTTGAGATTGATACACATTTATAACCTCCAGTTAATCTATAATTTTACAAGGTCTCATCCACATCCTGATTCAAAAAAGAGAGAGTGTCAGAAGGGTGAGCCGTTTTATGTGCCTCTAAACTTTGTGTACTCACATGCATGTCAGTGTGTTCCGTTGGTATCAGTATACGTGCAAATCATAAAACCTATGTACATTACCATTGAAAATAGCACTTAAGCTTTCGTTCCCTTGTATTGGATTGCGAAATTTAATATTGTAATCTGTCCACCAGGCGATACCGTTTTTAGTTAATGGGACTTCACTGTAGGTTCCATTGTCATTGTAATACAATTTGAAAAAATCTGTGATTAAAGCAGAGAAAAAACAAGTTGGAGTAAAACAAGAATTATTTAAAATGATGTTCATATATATATATATACACACACACACACACACACACACACACACACACACACACATATACACACACACACACACAGTAAACCTGCAATGCTTCTTTAGGAGAAGCATTTGGTTGGACAGAGATCATTACAACTGATGATCTCACAGTAGGTGGATCAGGCTGCAGAGAGGAGTTTGTTTTGTCACTGGATTATAGTCAAACTTTTGTACATTATAGTATTTTTGAAGAACAACCCGTAAGTTATTCACTAAAGTGATAATTATCAGAAATGCTAAGTGAATTCAAATTAAATTTCAAATTCCAAAGCCCCTAACCCCCAGTGATGTAAAATATTAAATAACTCTTTAAAGCAGTTTTTTTCGAAACTAGTCCTCAAGACCCACCAACAGTCCAGGTTTTGTCACTATCCCCATAATAAATGCATAAATTCTGGATTGTTGGTGGACCATTAGGACTGGTTTGGGAACCACTGCTTTAAACACTTGGCTCTGGGTCTGGCTCTCTTCTGCCAGCATCAGTAAATGGGGGAACCTAATGCACATTAGGCGTTCCCCCATAGCGGTCAGGGTACCTTGTGTGTTAGCACAGGCTGTGCCACAAGCGGACACCATCCAGCAGGGGGTTGGGGACATCCTCTTGTTTCTAGCAGTTTTCGCACCAGACATGAAAGCCCCTCCACTTTTTATGACGCACCGCATATGCGCCGACATCATGACATTAATGACATAACGTCCCGCCAAAACGTTCAAATTCGTACGTTTTGGGGGGCGTGGCTACAAATTAAAAGGAACTCAGTACACGTCTCATTGCCCTGTTGTGGTTCTGTATAGTCCCAAAAGTGCGTTATTCTTGTGTATTTCTCTTGGATTTGACATGGACTATTCTACCTTCCGTATTCCTTTGACTTGGCTCTTGTACTCTCGTTGTTCCTGATTTCTGGCATCCCTGACCTCGGCTTGTTTCTGATTACTCTGACTTTGTGAAGTTAGCCCGACCAGTCTAAGATTCGGTATACGTTACTATTCCATTACACTCTGCTTGTTGGATCCCCATATATTCCTGACAAGAGGAAGAATTGACTAAAAAAATTTCTCAACACGCTGGATGTCCTCATGCAAAGTGTGAGGACGTCCAGCGTAGTTTAACGGAGTCAAACTCTGTAAAACTGTAGGAAGCACTTCTAGTGGCTCTCTAGTAGTCAGCCACTGGAGGCAGTCTTAACGCTGCAATTTCTCATAAACTGCAATGTTTTACATTGCAGGGTTAAGGTGACAGGGACACTGCACCCAGACCACTTCATTGAGAATTGCTCTGGGTGCCTATAGTATCCCATTAACTTTGAATTCCTATCAATTCTCACTCAAATTAATAACCCTGTATATGTCCAGAGACTAGCTGCGGAGATCCACTGTAGAAGTTGCTCTGTAAGGGTGGACCCATTCCAGGAAATAGGATGTCCTATAGTGGAAACTATTTTTATGGCCATCTAACTCAGGTACAGGTTCTGCTTCATATTAAGCCTATTTTATAGAGTTTGTGTGCCTTCATCTTGGGAGGAGATTAGAGTAGAGAAGAGGTGATGAAAGGGGAGACATTTTAAAAGGTCATTGGACTGATTAATTCTACCTTTGTGCAAAGTAAATACAGAAAGTTACTTACCATTAAACATGCTGTTAGCAATAGCACCGCATGGAGCATATGGTACCTTACTTTTGTCATACTGATATGGATAACATTCATTAGCAGGGCTCTAAAATAAATAAAATAGCATTAGATTTTAAGCATTTTTAAAGAAAACTAATAAATAGAGCTTGGAAGCACGTGTGTGCAGCTCCACAAGCTGAATGGGCATTTTGCCTACTGGCAGCTCCTGTTCTTGACTATGTGAGTGAAGTCTGCCTGGTTCTTGTCTGGGAGTTTCTAATGCATGACATTTGCCCACCAAGATCATATTATGGTCTGCTGTGAACAGAATTAGTGACTAGGTCGTTTTACTGCATTGACAATGGACAGAGGATAATTAACTGTGTGCACTTTCTTGACCATAGTTAGCAAAGAATGTTATGACTCTAGGCAAGTAGATGACTTATTGATGTCCTATATGACAACTTCAAGAGTCCTCTCCCAAGGTGCAGACCTGCCTTGAGTTGCCCTTTGCTCACAACCAATACAAGAAGATAGACTTGCGAGTGAACAAAGAGTAAAACGGTGTGCAGACAGTTGGGAATCACAAGTACCATAAGATCTTTCTCACCCGTCGTTCCTCCCATACCTCGCACCTCTGTCGATCCTTACACTGGCTTCCTGTGTCATAGGTGTCAATTCAAAATACTAACTCTTACCTATAAAGCTCTAACCAACTCTAGCCCCCCTTACATTTCTTCCCCGATTCATAGATTTGCCCCATCTTGGTCTCACCGCTCTGCCGGTGACCTTCTCCTGTCGGCTGCTCGCACCCTTACTGCTAACTCGCCCTTGCAGGACTTCTCGCGTGTGGCTCCCTTCTTTTGGAACTGCCTGCCTACCCCCGTCAGACTCTCCCCTAGTCTTCAATTGTTTATTAAATCCCTCAAAACACATCTGTTCAGAAATGCTTATAGTCTCCCAGGGTAACTTATCTATACTTACCCAAGTCTGTCTCTTGCTCTCCTAAAGAGCCATACTCCACTCTCTCCTCCAGTTATGCTACTTTTCCCACTTTGTTTGGTGGCTGTCACCCTTGCTTCCCTGTTGTGTATTTGCACCCCACCTCATCTAGACTGTAAGCTCGTTTAAGCAGGGTCCTCATCTACCTATTGATCCTGTGTCACTGTGTAATGGTCTCATGTATTGTCAATTCCCCCCTTTTATAATATTGTAAAGCGCTGCGGAATTAGTTGGCACTATATAAATACCAATAGTAATAAATTATTTCTACTAGATCCTGCCAAGGATCTCAATCAGTTGTGGAGGACTTAGGATCTTTGCATTCTATTTATATCCTGCTTGATGTAGCTATTCAGCTGCCACCACCAGTCCCTGTAGACCTCTAGGCAGGGCCAGATTAAGAGCCCAGTGGACCTGGTGCTGACAATTATGACGGGCCTAATTACAGAATCTTATCGACCAAAAACAGTAAAATACTCCCAAGCGTCATGTATCTGATGGAGATGGTGCTGGAGAGAAAGAAAACAGCAGCTATAAGAAAACACATACCCTAGGCTAATCTCTCACTAATTTATGTTTTCATCTTTCAAGTAAATCCATAACCCCTAACAGCAGTGTCCAGTCAAGCAAGAAATCAATGGGCACAGTAAAAGGATGTGCCACTGACACAAATCATGTAACCTGCCAAAAGGGGCGAACATGCCCAAAAAGAGGATATGTCTGCCCAAAGAATTAGAAGGCCAGCCTGGTATGAATGCATGTCAGGCTGCCTGCCAATCATGCAGCTGGCCAACTAAGGGCATACTATGCAGACAGCACCCTGAGCTTGGCATAAATGCATCTAATGATGCGCTCGCTCAACGCTTTCTAAGGACTGTCCCCTAGCACTCGCTGGTCCACTTGTCTCCTTACCTTCTTACTAGCAGGCAGAAGCTCCTGGTATATAGTCTGGGACAGAGAAAAGCTGTATGTAGTGAGTGTAGAAGCACATTGTTAGAGAGACCAAAGTCAGCATTACCTTAAAGGATCACTATAGGGTCAGGAACACAAACACGAATTCATGACCCTATAGTGTTAACACCACCATCTAGCCCCCCTGGGCCCCTCATGCCTCCATAAATATAGCAAATTCTTACTGTATTCAAGCCTGAAGCTGTAACTCTGCATGCTGTTAGACTCAGAAAAACAAGCAGTCTGCTGACATCATTAGAAGTGGTGGCCTAATCCACTCACAGTGCTTACCCATAGGATTGGCTGAGTACACTAGGCTGTAATGTAAAGACTGCATTTTCTCTGAAAAGACAGTGTTTACAGCAAAAAGCCTGAAGGTAATGATTCTACTCACCAGAACAAATTCAATAAGCTGTAGTTGTTCTGGTGACCCTAGTGTCCCTTTAACTATATTCATTGTCAGCCAGTCCACACAAGTTTTGTTCCAATACATCCCTCTTAAGTTTCCATACTTAAGTAAGGATATGTGAAAAGTAGTTAGAGTTGCCACCTTTCTTGGAAAAACATACCGGCCTTGCTAGTTTGCATAATTAAATATGTATGGGTGACATCACATGATGTAAATCACAAGGAGTGACATAAGAGAAAATGCTGTAAAATCACCAAAAAACTACTTAGTTTGATTCTGCTGTATAGATGGATTCCTCCCAGTGCCCCATGTCTCAGTGCCCCCATGTGTCGATTACTCCAGGTCTCAGTGTTCCTATGTATCAGTGTCTCAGTACCCCATGTCTCCCAGTGTCCCCTAGTGTCGTGTCCCCAGGTCTCTGAGTGATCCTATGTATCACAGTGTCTCAATGCCCCATATCTCCCTGTGTCCCCATGTATCCCAGGGTCCCCATGTCACTAGGAAGACGGGAAGACCTAGGGACACAGAGACACCAGTGACACTGGGAGACTAGGGGACTCTGGCTGGGACGCATGGGGACACTGGGAAAATAGGGGTCACTTGAGGACATGGGGACACAGACACCAGGGACACAGACACTAGAGACACTGGCTGGGGGACATGGGGACATTGAGACATGGGGACAAGGAGACACCAGGGCCACAGACACTAGGGACACTAGCTTGGAGACATGGGGACATTGAGACACTTGAGGCACTGGGAGACATGGAGGCACTAGGAGACATGGGGACAGTGAGACACTGGCAGACTGGGGGCACAGGGAGACTAGGGGGCACTGAGACACCAGGAACATGGCTCGGAGACATGGGGACACTGGAAAACTGTGTCTGTGTCATAATGTCTCCCAATGTCCCTTAGTGTCTCAGTGTATGTCTCCTTGCAGCCTTTCCCCCATCCCTTACTTTCCTGAGCTGTAGGCTGTCTCTGCAGGGTGGGAGTTGCTGTCTGGACTCTCTGTAGCTGCTCCCCTGCAGATCAGTGAGTATAGGTAGGCAGGGAGGGATATGCTGCAACTTCCTATCCCTGCCTGTCTCCACATACAGCGACCCCTACTGGCCAGTGCTGGTATTGCATAGTAATCTCTTGTTTATACTGAGAAAAATACCAGCATTTGTATTGCCAGTATCACTGTAATATTGGCACCAGCCAGGCAGCCTCAAATACTGTGCCAATAAAATAAAAGCCAGGTGGAATCCCTAAGAGTAGTGTGTGGGGGGAAAAAAAACCTTCCTAACCCTTTCTTTGATTGCCAACTCTGTAGAAATGGTTACCTTACACAATACTTGCTCTCCTAGGTGATCTAAGACAGTGGTGACAAAAACATGCATCTGATGCATCTAAACAGTGGTCCTTAAAGGAACACTTCAAGAGCAAAACACACGAGTCTCTCTACCAGAGCTACAGCTCTGTCTGAGGCTGAAACACTGTGGACTAGAGTGTAAGGTGAGGGATAACACCCAGCACAATAAGGGTAGTTTTGGGTACACTCATAATTAGGGGTCTGATATTTTGGATTCATGTCTGTGCTTTGCATTAAAGAGAATAATCCTATGATTCAATAAATCTTCTGAAGAAAATTGGTTATTAAAAGGTACACTATAGTCACCAAAACAACTTTAGCTTAATAAAGCAGTGTTGGTGTATAAATCCAACTCCTGCAGTCCTACTGCTCAATTCTTTGCTATTTAGGAGTTAAAGCACTTTGTTTATGCAGCCCTAGCCACACCTCCTTGCATGTGACTTACACAGCTGAACAAAACACGTCCTGTAAAGAGTCATCTAATGTTTACACTTCCTTTATTGTAAATTCTGTTTAATTTAGAATTTCTTATCTCTTGCTCGGTTAATAGCTTGCTAAACCCTCCAGAAGCCTCCTGTGTGTGATTAAAGTTCAGATTACGGAGCATAACAACTTTTAAAGTACATTACTATCTAACTGAAAATTAAACCATTTGTTTTCATGCAGGCTGGGTCAGTCACAGCCAGGGGAGGTGTTACAGAAGCTGCATAAGCAGAAATAGGTGATTTAACTCATAAATGGGAGATAATTGAGCAGTGTGACTTCAGCGTCATGATCTATACACCAAAACTGCTCCATTAAGCTAAACTTGTTTTGGTGACTATAGTGTTCCTTTAATCCAGAGTCAAAGTGTATCCTGGCAAAAGTGAGGAAGTGACTGTTTTAGTCCCTTCAAAGGTGGTGGCCTTATTGTACAGTCATCCTCAGAGTGCTGCATGGATGAATTCTCACTTCCAAAAAAGTAGAAGCAGAATCTTTAAGGCCTGTGATAACTCCTACTGCCCTGGAGTGATTAAAACAGGGTACTAGTCTAACACATAGCTGGACAAAGAATTCTTTAAGAGAACTGCCATATCCTGCTAGGTCTATTGCCTTCTAGCTAAGCACTCAAAAATGAAGACTTCAAAACAGCACTCAACCTGCAACTATACTTCAGTTGTTCCCATTTGAATTGCATTGCATGAATAGACTGTGTTTAAATTGATTGATATGTAGTTTAGACCAAAAGAGCTTCAAGTTCATACCTCGGCTCACCATATGGGTCAGACCCTGTTGTCAACACATTTATATTTCATCAACCTTTACCCACCACATTCATGTTTTATGTGCACATAATTGTGAAAATAACTCATCCTATGCTGAAGCTATCCACTCATTTTATAAATATAAGAACTTTTCACCAAGATCATTGCCATGTTCCTCATGGTGCTGCTCCATCTCTATTTATAATCCTTATTTATCCTAGACATGAATATATGGAAGGGTATAATAAGGTAATGTAATAAGGAAATCAAAATATGTAGTAGTACTGAAGGTCTGAGTAACAAATTGGAGAAAGAATCTCTAACGGTAAAAATGGAGTAAAAAAAAAAAAAAAAAAAAAAAGTAGCTGGTGGTTAAAAGAAATTAAAGAGAGTCGGTTACCTTAAAACAGGATTACCATAGAGTAGCATACCTTAATACTGTCAATGTATCCACTTAATTGCTTGTCATCCCTAGAGATCATATAACGGTAGTGATTTTGAAAGAAATTCGATAGCTCATAATACATGAAAACAGGTCCCTAAAAAAATAAAAAAAATAAATAAAAACACAACCACAGTGTTCAAAATGTTGAAAACATTGCAAGCTTACCTGAACATTTTGCATAGATGAAAGAGCATTAAAGGTTTTTTTCATATCACACTAACTTCTTAAACTAGGTGTCAGGGTACACCCTTACCCAGGGCCAGATTAAGAGCCCAGTGGGCCTGGTGCTGACAATTATGAAGGGCATAATTACAGAATCTTATCGACCAAAAACACTAAAACAGTCATGCCTCTCAAGCGTTATGTATCTGGTGGAGATGGTGCCAGAGGGAAACTCATAGGATGCAGCTATAAAAAAAACACACACTCTTAAAATATGCTAATCTCTCTAATTACTGCTTTCATCTTTCAAGTAAATCCGTTCCCCCTAAGAGTAGTGTCCAGTGAAGCAGGAAGTCAATGGGTGGTGTAAAAGGGTGGGCCACTGACACGAATCAGGTGACCAGAACTGCCAAAAGGAGCGAACATGCCCCAAAAGGGGGCATGTCTGCCCAAAGAATTGGAAGGCCAGCCTGGCATCAGTGTTCCTATGTATCAGTGTCAGTGTCCCCATGTCACCCAGTCCACTAGTCTCAGTGTCTGTGTCCTCATTGCTCCCAGTGTCCCCATGTCTCAGTGTGTCCTGTGTCACTAGGATACTAGGGGACACAGACATATGGATACAGTGAGACATGGGGACACAGACACTTGAGGACACTGGGAGACACGGAGACAGACATTTGGGGACACTGGGCTGTCTGAACTCTCTGTGCTGTGTAGCTGCTCCCCCACGGATCAGTGATTAGAGAGAGAGGCAGGGAGGGATATGCTTTAACTTCCTATCCCTGCCTCTCTCCACACACACACTGACCCCTACTGGCCGGCGCTGGTATTGCAGAGTAATATTGCATTTATACTGAGAAAAATATCTGCATTTGTATTGCGGAATTACTGCAATACTGGCATGGCCAGAAATCCTCAAATACCATCTGTACCAGTAAAATACCAGTCGGGAGGAAAACCTAAGAATAGGGTGTAAATAAAAAAAAAGGATTTTTTTTTTTTTATTTATTTTTTAATGGGCCTATTTCATGGGCCTGGGCCATCAGCCCCTATGTTAATCCGGCCCTGCCCTTACCACACGGGCTAGTATCCCTAGTGAAATGACCACTAGCCAGCTAATTTTACACAACCAATTGTAATAAAGAACAATTGAACATCAGAGCTATGTGGGCAGAATCCCTGTATAATGCATGCAGGAATAACTGGAAGGTGCACAACTGTGTTGGGGCTGTATTCATTTGAGGGAAGCTCTATATGTTTAATTACAGTGGTAGAAGTGTGATGGAGTAGTATATATGTTTGGGGCTATAGTGTTTGATCGAAGAATATGGAAAAGATGGGGATTCTGGACTTAGGAGGGAAGAAAATGGGTCTGAAGAGATTCAGGTGACACTAGGGTGATTTATTGATGCAAATTGTGAGGTTATGGAACTAGAACTGGTTCTGGTGCCTATAGTCTGTATAGAGAAAAGGCAGTATTTACATTGCTGCCTAGGAACACCTCTAGTGGCAATTACTCAGTCACCAGCGGTGCTTCCTAGTTCAGTGCATCTCTTTAAGGAGATACTGTTTAGCACAGCCAAGCATTTGATTCGCAGAGATCATCAAGATTGCGGTGGGGCTAGCTGCTGCGAGACTGGCAAAACAATGGAAAAAATGGTTTAAAGTTTAAAACCTTATTTCTAGAGACCTTAATAGGTTGTTCGAAACTATGCTATAATAATCCTTTAACTTTCCAGTTTGGATGAATTCCAAGGGGTCATCTAGTTTTGTTGAAGTCCATGGTGTTTGTTCAGACTAACAACCCCTATGTATATTAACTTAAATTGATAATATACATCAAAAGTAACTGTAAAGTATTACCCCTTAAAAAGAGGTAATAGGACAGACATTTATGAAGTTCGATTAGTATCTGATCATTACCTGAAATGTGTCTGTTAGGTTAAAGGTGAAATTGCACAGGCACGGAACTGTTGCATTATACGTAACATTAAAACAGTCATAACATCTGTCTCCAGGTTGCACTCCAGTGTAATCAAACTATAAAGAACATAAAAGAAACTAATGAATATATAAAACCAGATAAATCAGGTAGGTATTGTGCATCACCTGCATATCTCAAGTTGGACTTTGGAAACACATACTAACCAAGTCATTATTTCCCAGCTTAACATGTAAATGAGCAGACAGACAATGTGTTTTTAAACTTCATCTTACATTTCTGCATATACCCATAGCAATGGATGTGGTTTTTAAATCCAGTGGTTTTTTTTTTGGTTTTTTTTAAACCACATCATGGGTTATGATCCAAATGTGCCAGTGACCATCTGAAAGTATGACTATCATTTAGGGTGACCAGCCAGATGATTAAGCGGTGTTTTCACTACAACACCTAATAATAGTAAATTGTAAGCCAAACTGCAAAATCTGAGCAAAAATTGTTGAATCAGAACGTAAAAGATTTTTATTGTTTATGTGTTAGAACAGAAACAAAAATAAAAATCGTATATTATGTAAAAATGAATGCCATCATGAGGTTCTGGAGAGGTCACCATAGCTCCAAATTGCAAAAATATCAAACAAAAAATTGAGGCCAAAATAGTAGAGATAGAAAAATAGATACATTTGAGAATTGTTTTAATGCAGATATTGTTGCCTAAAATTCAAATTTTCTTGGCACTACATGGAAATAAAACAGAATTTCTCCAATTCAGCTATTTTGACCATACATTTAAAATTCAATTTTAATTCTTACGTTGATGAATAACCCTGTTGGACTGAAAATTTGGACATTGTTCATGCTATTTATCAATGTCCAGTTTTGCAACTCAGGCATGGGTTTCATCCCAGACCACATGATGCCAGACAGCTGAAATCTGCATAGACTGCTTCAAAGCCAGGTACCAATAATTGATCCAGGCCTGGTTTTAAGAATGAATCTGAACTGTTTGCCTACTGGCAAACACCATCAGCCAGCAGGCGCATAGGTTAAAATCCTGGGTGGTACGAGGGTTGTGTGGTGGTTGTCCAGAGCTTGCTAGCCAGTTGCCACGTTAAAAAAAGTAAAAATAAATAGCATATAACTTATGGAGATTTTAAACCCTGTGGAAGGTGGAGGCATGTCTACGAATGTGTTAAGTCTAGTAACTGTGCAGCCATTTCTGTCCAGTTGCTAGAAAAGGCCCCATGCTATGGAGGGTGGCCTAACAAGCCACCCTCAATTTGCAGCAGGTGGGGGTCCCAATAATAATTTTCAAGAGGTATAACCCAATGTCCTTTCCCCTGGCCCCCACACATTGGCAGCAGGTGGGGGCCCCAAAAATAAAATTCTGTGGGAGGGACCTAGTGAGTGGCAGCCCCAACTAGAAGGGAGAGTACCTAGTGTCCAGCCCTTACCCATTGGTGGCACGTGGAGGCTCTAATAATTGATGGAAAGAGACATGCCATTCTGTCTGGTGATTCTTCAATGAATACAGATAATGGCAGAAATAAGATGGAAGGCAATTGTGGAGCAGTAAAGTAAAAAATTTTTTTAAAAAAATGCACCATTGCGCGGTCATCTAAATATAAGAGACTGCAAAAAATATCTTAACAGTAATGCAATCACTTTTCTGTTTTTGTGCAGCTGTACCCAGATTCTAATTTTGACACAATTACACTTTTCTAACAAATACACTGTAACGGACTACCCAGTCACTATGAACTGGTTCAGGATTCCCTGCCACCACCTTCCCCTAAAAAGGTACTATTTTCCATGGTACCAACCCCTTCCCTACTGTGCTTCCCAGCTGGAGAGCTAAATTACACTCTCTAGCACGCTCAGGGACTAATTAATTAGTGCTAAATAAGCACTACAACACGGGAGACAAATTAAATAGTGCTAAATAAGCTAAAATGTATTTTAATAGTCTGTTGTAAGAACATTGTGAATATATATCTTAAAATTAATGTGATAAACAATTCAAAAAATGCAGTGTCAAAACTAAATAATTAGTGGTGAGCTTAACACACTGTGGCTGTATGGTGGAACTAAATCCCCATAATGATTTTTAGGTGTGCGCTGTTCCTTAATCTGTATTGTCACTATAGCAGCACCATTCCTGCAAAATGCATGTTCCAGGTGTGCTCCCAATTCTCTTGTCTTTACGAAGCCATCATTTGTGACAATGACTTTCCACCCAGCTGCCCGGAAGTGAACTCCGAATTGAGGGGGGTAGTCACATGCCGGCTAAAATGTTTGCTCCAAATAACTAGAGCTAGATACCTCCAAGCGCTTTTGAACTGGTTACCCCCTGGAGGAGAGCTACACGGATGTGGAAAGTTTGGTGATACTTTGTGGGAAAATTATATATTGTGGTAACATATTAAACGCCCTGGTTGTGAGTAGTTTTAATGGGCCTATTTCATGGGCAGACAACAGGAATGTACAATATTGTTCTGTAATGACCCCCTGTTGAGGACATTGTATAAAAACCCCACTTGTCACCAATAAAGTGGGTCTGTTTTACCCTACATCAAGCCTTGGCTGATCATTGAGGGAAAGTTATATACACTCATAGGATCTCAACGGAGGGGAAAAGGAATCCCCAATGGTGATACTCTGGCAAGCTAGGAGTGGTCACACACACACACGCACTTTTAGGCATAACCCTGTATTCCCCTGAAAATCCCTGTATAACAGCATTTGACAATTTATAGGCTTACCTCACGTTCTGTGATACTTTTGGAGGAATATAACAATCCAATGCCAATTCCTATGAAAGAAAGCCCTGCTATGAAAAAGAAAGGAAGAACAATGCTTGCAGAGAGTAGTGGTTGCCAGGCTGGGAGTCTCTGCTGTGTGAATGCAGTGTTGTCAGGTCTCTGGGATGTGACAGGCTCCTTATTACTTCTGAAGTCCCCGGCAGCCATGGTTTAAAAATAAATAAAAAAAACTAGAAAAAAAAAAAAAAAAGTAAAGAAGATTATTAATACCAATAATACTTTTCAGAGGTAGGATCTGCCGCATCCCAGTCGAGGAATGTCATTATTCAAAATTCGAATTGTCAATAATGGATGCAAATAAAAACCTAAACCTTCACATAATGCAGCAGTGGTTTTGGTGCTTGGAGTGTTCTTTTAGTAAAAACATTTTAAAGGTTGTACAGAAAAAGGAAAAAAAGTATGCACAGAATAGGAAAGCATTGCTAGTGGGAATCATGGCTTAAGGGGTTGTAATTACTTATACCTGCTGTAGTAGTTTTGATAGTAGGAGTGCCCTGGCACTATTCTCGCTAATAGGGCATAGTGTTGCACAACACCCCCCTTACCCAAGTCCCTGCTGGGTGCAGAGGATAGTATGCTTTTGACTATGACAATAGGATGTCGACCACCAGGTGTGGGCTGGGCCGGGGGGCAGGGAGGCAATTGCCCCCCAGGCCGCTCTAAATGATTTTAAAACCGGCCGCTGCAAGGCCGGTCCTAATGCTGCAGCCGCCTGAGTGCTCTGTGAAGAGCCTCAGGCGACTGCAGCATGGCAGAGCTCCTCTCCAGTATGCGGTGCCCGGCCGGAGTGATAGGAAGGTGCACACTCCTGTTCCGCGCGGAGTTTCTGTTTCCTGTAACCGGCCGAACTGACAGGAAGTGCACACTAGGCACCGCGGACCGGAGTGGAGCTCGTCCACGCTACAGGGTAGGGGTAAGAAGAAGAGGGGGGGTAAGAAGAACACAGGGAGGAGGGGGGAGAGTAAGGGTGAGGAGTAGGGGAGATTAGGAGAACAGGGAGAAGAAGAACACAGGGAGCGGGGTAAGGAGAACACAGGTGGGGGGGAAGTGATAAGAACATGGGGGGGAAGGGGGGGATGAGAAGAGCACAGGGAGGATGGGTGAGTGTGAGAAGTGACCGCTAGGGGAGAACTCTAAGGGACAGGGGGCAAGACAGGGAGCTCTTTCACACTACACGCACACACAATGCATCCCTATACACAGAAACACAACATGCTTCCCTTACACATAGAGAAACGGACAATGCATCCATTACACACACACGCACAATGCAACCCTTACACACAAAGACAATGCATCCTTTGCACACATAACACACAATTCAAACACTTACACACCCACAGAAACACAATGCATCTCTTACACACACTCAATGCACACACATACAGACACACACACCTTGCATCCCTTATGCATACAAACACAGATTCACACAATGCATCCCTTACACACAAATACACACTGCATCACCTACACAAACTGGTATCCCTATACACTACATACCATATCCCCTACAATAACACAACACATCCCCTACACACTTCACTCCCTGTGAGCGAACTCATGGGTGGGTGGAACATATAAGTGGACTTATGAGCATACTCACCGTCAGGCCCTGGGGCTCAGACCTTGAGCTGTGCAAGGGGCCCCCCATAAAAATGGAGCCGCTTTCAATTCTCCCAGAACATTGAATTTTGTGACCACAGTTGCAAACAGCCCCCAGAGATCCTGTTCTACACCAGACCAGTGGAGCCAAACTGCAGCCCATCATCCTCATCTGGTTGTAAGTAGGCAATCTAGTATATTATTCGTGACACTGATCTATAAATTACCTCACATTAAGGGACACTATAGCTTAATGAAGTGGTTCTGGTGTCTATAGCCAGTCCCTGCAGGCTTTTTAATGTAAACACACACTGTGTGCAGCACTGGCATTAGTTCATAGGGCAAATCATATGGGTGGGGCATTGTGATGTCACATGGGGGGGCGGCAAATTTATTTTGCCTAGGGTAGCAAAAATCCTTGCACCGGCTCTGATCCTGGGCAGGTGCACCAGTCTACTGGTGACCCACAGGAGAGGAGTGCACTGATTGCACTGCACTCTCCTCCTGCCCAGACCTGTCTTTACCGCAGTGCAAGTGCCCTCTGCCCCTAATTTACAGTGGCTCAGTCACAGCAAGCAGTGCCTGGAGCCATTTGCAGAGACGGGAACAAAGAGGTTCTGCGGCAGCTGGACATCCTGCAAGCATTACATTAAACAGCTTTTCCCTATGCAGCCACAGATTACGCTGTGCTGGGAGATTGTGATTACTCTTCACTTCCTCCCAGCCTACAGAGCAGCGCATGGGAGAGAGAGAGGAGGAGGCATGATTTAATCTTACAACAAATCTACTAATCAAATCTTTGGGGGGGATCAGCTCTGTTTCCACAGTTTATTGGTGTTTACTCTGAAGTCTGTATTAATATTGAGGGATTTCTAAGTAGTAACTTCAGTGTGTGTCAGCAGGGCCAGCCATTGGGGTGTGCACGCTGTGCGGTCACGCAGGGTGCCATGACAACAGAGGCGCCCGGCGGCCAACACAGCTCACAAGTTGGGTACACCAGCATATTCAATTTAAACGATTCACTGGTGGTCCACTGGTGCGCCCCAGCAGTAGGTGCAGTCAGATTATATCCTCTCCCTCGTGGTTCCGGCGCTCAGTTAGTGAGTCAGAGCACAGGCTCAGAGATTCTCAGCCTGCGCTCTGACAACATTGAAAGTCAGAGCCGTGAAGAAGCGGGTATTATAACATCAATATCTGTTCTAAAACCAGGAAAAGGTGGGCATGGATGGTGAACTGATTTGGTGGTGCAATGGGCCACTTGACTGATTTTGTCCCCCAGGCCTAAGGCTGCCAGCCCTCCCGTGCCATCCACAAATAGCATAATTTGTATTCCTGGCTGTGGAGTCTGATGTAGTGTATGTTGGGGTCATCCCGTATTTTCTGTGTGAATGGTTCTAGTGAGAGTATGAATAGCAGTGGGGATAATGGGCATCCCTGTCTAGGCCCATTGGCTATATCGAAGTGGCGGGAGATAAAACCTCCATTTACAACTCTGACGGTTTGCTTGGAATATAGTGCCTTGATAAGAGACGTGAATTGGAGCGGTAAACCAAATTTTGTAAGGACTGCGAGAAGGAAGGGCCAGTGCATGCAGCCTGTCAAATGCTTTTTCCGCGTCCAAAGACAGTAGCATGCTAGGGCCCCCCCTACCGCATCCCATGTCGGAGGTCCGGTACCTTCTGGGTGCCATCAACTCCCAGTCTACTCCCCACAAAGCCCACTTAGTCCCTGTGAACTAGCGATGGGATGATGGGGGCTAATCTGATAGACATACAAAATGTAACGTGTGGAGAGACACTTAATATAACCACCACCTCAATTTAGGGTGCTATTCCAAGAAGGTACTCCCTCCAATACCAATACAGTAAATACTCAAAAGCAAGGAATGAACACCATATGATACAATTGTATCTATCTATATATATTTATTACAATACAAATACAAGCCATACATACATAATGTAACAATATAACAGTGACCAGATAGGCTATCAAACTCAAATATATTTACCACATTCCACAAGCCTATATGGGCAGAAACACGAGTCACAAACAATCCCCCAATGTTTCGGCTCCTCCTGGTAGCCTTTATCAAGGATAGCTATATCATAACATCATCCAGGAACCCCTTATATACACACACATATACAAATCACTTACAGCTGATGGCCATCAGTAATAACGCAGAGAGCTGGGACCGGAAGTGACATCATCACTTCAGATCACAGTCCTATGTGCTAAACATAATATTTAACTATACACTCCTAATGTTATTCCCAAAAAGATTCTACCAAATATGCAAAAGTGTCATTTTATTGTATAATTCAAATATCCATAAGTCTCATTATAGTATAAATGTCACGCACATGCGCAATGCGAGTGTAAACGGTCGCCATATTATCTATTGGCATACTACATATAGCCTCCTACCATAAATAAATTAAACGGAAATTTTTTTTATAATACTTAAATACTAATCCCAGTAAATGAACTGGGCACAGAACGATCTATATGCAATAGATAAACAGGAAAAACGAAAGCACGTTTACCTTATCACGGACGGCTAATCCCTCACAGTAGCTCCACTCATACGGAAGCCTCCGAGATCCAAAAGTAGTCAAAATTGCGCCAAAAACGCCGCACCGCCGGCTGCCGATTTACCGGGATCCTGCAGGCAATGCTGGACACTATGGCAGGCAAGCTTCAGCTCACACTACAGAACGCAATACATAACATTAACTCAGAAATTAAAGAGCTGGGAGATAGAACAGCCGTGTTTGAAGACAAAATGGTGGCGTATGAGGAGGCCCAAAACTCCATGGCAGCAAAACTAGACAGCCTTACAGAGAGAATAGAAACACAGGAGGGGAAAATGGCAGACCTGGAAGACAGAGGTAGGTGGAATAACCTCCGCATTAGAGGTATCACGGAAAACATAGGCCCGGCAGAACTCACGGCCTACCTCGTGGGATTGTTCAAAGCACTTGCCCCTGATGTGCCCCCTGACATGTTCCTGATGGACCGGGCTCACAGAGTGCCGAAACCCACCTTCTTACCACCCGAAACCCCCAGAGATGTGCTGTTAAGAATGCACTACTTCCATATAAAAGAAGAGGTAATGAGAGCGAACAGAACCAGAAACAAAACAGATTTGCCGGCGGCCTACCAAGCCATAGCAATTTATGCTGACATCTCAGCATACACGCTTAAGCGCAGGAAAGATTTTACAGGAATTACAACTCAACTCCGCCAACAACAAATATCATACAGATGCGGATACCCGGTGAAGCTGATCATACAGAGAAACGGAAGAACAACCATAATACAGAGCCCAGACGAAGGAATGAAAATCCTCAGAAGCTGGGGTATAGAGATACCACCTGCAACGAAAGAGACTCAAAGACTCCCTCCAACATGGAGGAAAGCTAAACGCTAACCCCAGTGGTGTATCCTGGTTTTGTGCTGCCCTAGGCAGGACAAAACTCAGGCAACCCCCGTGCCACCCCCACCCGCGCAACCGCCACCCAACCTTCCCCCCTGCTCCGCCTTCTAATACACACACACACATTCACTGACAGATACGCATTCACTAGCTAACAGAAACACACACTCACTAACAAACACACACTCACAGGCAAACACACACACTAACAGACATCCACACTAACAGACACACACATAAACTAACATTAACATACACACTAACACTAACAGACACACACACTAAAAGACAGACACACACACTAACATACACACACACTAACTAGTGTTTTTTTTTTTGTTTTTTTTTTTTAACCCCCAGCCTCCTTACCTTTGGTAATGCTGGGGGGGGTTCTTCCTCTCCCTGGGGTCCAGGGGCTGCAGCGCTGGGCGGGCGGCCGCCGAGGGAGCTCTTCCCCTGAGCGCTCTGCTCTGCTCAGCTCCCTCGCGCGCCGCCAGCAGAGTGAGGCTGGGAGCCGGAATATGGCGTCATCAACCCGGCTCCCAGCCTCACTCTGCTGGCGGCGCGCGAGGGAGCTGAGCAGAGCGCTCAGGGGAAGAGCTCCCTCGCCGGCCGCCCGCCCGCCCAGCGCTGCAGCCAATGCCGCCCAGCGCCCAGAATGTCAGTTAGCCGCGAGGCTAACAAGACATTTGCCTTGGGCATTTGGGGGGCGGCGTTTTTTGCCGCCCCCTGAAAAATGCCGCCCAAGGCAAATGCCTTGTTTGCCTCGTGGCTAATACGCCCCTGGCTAACCCACCTCACTGTGAAGGTGCCGCGAAGCCGAGCCTGAGAACTGCCAGTCCAGCCATTTGAATCCAGGCTTGTATAACAATTGCAATGCTAAATTTTATTTAAATTAATGTTAATATGCAATAGGAGTTATATTACAGATATACACGCAAATACAAGGGGCATGGTACCAAGGGGGGAGGGAGGGATGTGAGAACCAAAGTGACACGCTCCGCCTGGGGGACAAAAAAAAAACAAAAAAAAAAAAACACATTCTCAGAAATCACGCAGGCAGGCATAGACGGCCCTTCCACACAAGCTTTTCTAAAATAGGGTCACCGCAACAAAATAAATGCACACATAGGCCGCGGCCGAAGAACCGCAGCTAAGACAGGAACCATTAGTTCCTACCCCCAACGCACCGCCACCTGGTGCATAGCCGACTGTTCGTCAAAAAAGTTTGTCTATTATGGTTTATCAATTTCTGTTATATTTTGTGTTTTCATATTTGTATTCATACTTGCACTACTTACACCCCACTCAACTAGAGTACGCTCCGCAGGATACCAACCAAAAACCAATCGAGTGGGAACTCCACCGTTATCTCCCTCTGGGCCAAAAGACACACAGAGTAGCCGTCAGGCCACATGGGGACAGCCCTTGGGTTCGAAGGAACTGGGACAAAAGGGCCCCCTGACATATAGATGCCAAACACAAGCACACAAACAACACCATGACCACCTAACACCCTGAAAATCTATTCACACAACGTTAGGGGACTTAACATCCCTGTTAAAAGACACCTCCTATACAGAGAGATCAGACACAAAGAAGTGGATGTATTATGCCTCCAGGAGACACACTTCATGACAAACTCACACCCCAACATCCTACTGAGAGACTACCCACTACAGTTCCACGCCACATCGGCCAGCAAAACTAAAGGCACCTCCATACGGATTAGCAAAAATGTGGCCTATGTTCCGCACTCTCAACACATCGACCTGGAAGACAGATACGTCATTATAGTAGGCACACTTAATGACATGCCCTACACCATAGCGAACATATATGCCCCCAATACGAACCAACGCAATTTTTTACACAAACTCATACTGAAACTACAGTCAGTACAACAAGGGACGACAATCATATGTGACGACTTCAATCACGTATTTGACCCCTCAATTGACACGACGCTAGCCCCAACCAAAACACGCACCGCACCCCTTCGCAAACAAAGTAGGGCGATATGTAAGCTCATCCATAACAACCACCTGTATGACGCATGGAGAGCCACCCATGTAGGGGAAAGAGGATACACATTCTTCTCGACAGTACACAACACCTACTCCCGCATTGATGGCTTCCTTATCTCAGGGGCAGGGATAGACCAGACGGCCCAGTGTGAGATAGGACAGATTACGTGGTCCGACCATGCCCTGGTAGAGCGGACGCTGAAAAACCTATATGACCCGACCCATAGAAGCCCATGGCGAATAAACGCAACACTACTGAAAGATAGCACTTTCACTACAGAGCTAAACCAGGAATTAGTGCACGATTTCCAAGACAATGACAGAACAGAAATGAGCCGCAGCACCCTGTGGCAGGCCCACAAATCCGTGATACAGGGACAACTGATAAGACGGGCATCATACCTAAAAAGGAAATCCCACCTTCAGCTTCGTACATATCAAACAGACCTTCAGCGTGTTACGACGCAAAACCAAATCACTCCCTCACACGAACTGCGGGAACAAATCAAAAAACTCACAAGACTAATACACCAGATTTCCCTAGAACAAGAGGGATACCACCTGAAAAAGCTCAAGGCACAAAACTACACACAGGGAAATAAGGCAGGTAAACTGTTAGCACAAAGACTGAGGACACAGCAAGCAGCCCAAAAAATAGCATACATGATATCTCCAAGTGGACAGAAAATAGTGGCACCCAAAGACATTAGCAACGCATTCGCCAAATACTATGAATCGTTATACAATCTCAGGGACGACCCAAATACGCCCCAACCACAGGGGGCCGAAATAGCCTCCTACTTAGATGAGATTGCCCTGCCCAAACTTACCCCCACCCAACAAGAGAGCCTATCCGCTCTGATCACAGAAACGGAGGTGATGAGAGCGATCGACTCTCTACCTTCGGATAAGGCCCCGGGCCCAGACGGGTTTGCCAACTGCTACTACAGACATTTCCAACGAACCCTCGCTCCACACCTCACAAACGCTTTCAACGAAGCAATCACTCCCTCCAGAAGCCCTAAAAGCCCATATCATTACGTTGCCTAAACCGGGCAAGCCACCGACCCACCCACAAAAATTCCACCCGATCTCATTACTAAACACGGACACAAAACTCTTCGCGAAGATATACGCCACCAGGCTGGGAAACATCCTCCCGCAACAAATCAAAAATTACCAGGTCGGATTTGTTAAAGGGAGACAAGGGGGGGACAACACGAGAAAGGTCATAGACATTATACATAGCGTCCACAGACAACATACAGAATGTATAACACTCTCACTGGACGCGGAGAAGGCCTTTGACCGCCTGAGCTGGAGATTCCTGGAAGCGGTCCTAGGTAAATTCGGGATGCCGGGGGTCTTCTGCTCGGCGGTCAAGGCCTTATACAGCGACCCATCAGCACAGGTGGTCACGGCAGGCTTCACATCAGAACCGTTCAGCATCACTAATGGAACGAGGCAGGGATGCCCACTTTCTCCCTTGTTATATGTACTGGCTTTAGAGCCGCTAGCGGAGACAATAAGGGCCAACAGCTCCATACACGGAGTAACCGTGGGAGATAAGGAATATAAAATCAATTTATTTGCAGATGATGTCATGTTGACATTGACACAACCCCAAATCTCACTACCAAATCTCATGGACAACATCAAAGAGTACGGCCTCAACTCCTACTACAAATTAAATGTCACCAAATCCCAGGCTATGGGCGTGGGAGTCCAACCAAACCGACTGAAACACCTGAGTGAGATTTTTTATTTGACTGGAGGAGAGACTATATTACCTTTTTGGGCGTCCACATAACCCCCCACCTACCCCACTTGTTCAAATTAAACTTCACTAAGCTGATCAGATCATTTACTGACAGTACGCACATGGGAGGGCAAGTATCTCTCATGGCTGGGCAGACTGGCGGCGATTAAGATGTCAATACTCCCTAAACTCCAATATCTGTTGCGCACAGTCCCTATTAGTCTACCGGGCCAATACATGACCACAATCCAAAAGATGATTATACGTTTTGTGTGGGCCAACCGCAGGGTGCGGGTTGCCAGCAAACTCCTACAAAAACCGATCAAAGAAGGGGGACTGGGAATGCCCAACATCCGATCTTACCATAGAGCCACACTGCTGGCTGCCATAGCAGCAAACGCAGTGGAAGACCCCCCCCAGTGGGTACACATAGAAGCATACTGGGCATGCAGACAGGGGCTGCGGCACCTATACCAGCTGCCGCGCAAAATACGACCGACATATGCGGACCTTTTGCCGACCACAGCGGCAATGATCAAAACATGGGACTCCATGAGGGCATCGCTGGGCATGGTCAGACCAACCACAGGGAACATCCCATTCACAAGCATCTCAGTGGGCATCCCAACATTCGATCACACCCCCTGGGTAAGGGGGGGTGCACACACCTTAGACAGGCATGCGAGGGCAGCATGATACTGCCATTCCCAGTGCTGCACACCAAGTTCTCCCTGCTCACCAGACACATATTCCCTTATCTCCAGCTGAAATCCTTTGTGACCTCGCACTTTACGGGGACATACCCCGAGCCACCAAACATTAGCGCCTTAGAACAGCTATGCCTAACGGACAGCATACCCAAGAAAATCTTGTCAAAACTATACGCACTACTGAATACATCGACTACAAACGAACACGGGGACTTTAGAGAAGCCTGGCAGAAAGACATAGGACGCCCGCTCGCAGACCTAGACTGGAAACAGGCATTCCAAGCGCACAAAGGGCACACCTCATGCGCTACACACCTAGAAATAATGAGAAAAAGTATGTACAGATGGTATATGGTCCCAGACAAACTAGCGAGAATATACCCAGGAAGCTCAGGGGAGTGCTGGAGGAGTTGCGGAGACAGGGGGACAATGTACCACACTTGATGGACGTGCCCGGTAATAATTCCATACTGGGGGATGGTGGAAGAGGTAATCACAAACACGATAGGCCACCCATATTACTTGAGGCCCGAACAGGGCATACTGTTCATGCATCTTGCCCAATGGCACAAACAGGAAAGGCAACTGATATTCCAAGTGCTCATAGCGGCAGTGACACTAATTGCCAGACACTGGAAGCAACCACAAGCACCCAGCAAACACGATCTCATAACACAAACAACCACAAACTCGGAATATGAGGCTATGGCAAACAAATACATTACTAACAACCACACGATCATAGAAGCAAAAACCAAATGGGCAGAGTACATTAAGAGACGCGCACAGAACCTTAGAACCCAGGACGCAGAACTAAACTAAGACAAGAGGAACGAAAAAATGCCAGAGAGACAGGGAGCGATTAGGGCATGACCTGGGAGGATGGAACAATACACATCACCGATAGAACACAGGAGGTAGTCAGACAGAACTAACATCTAGGAAACATGGCCCCAGAGGGAGGGAAAAGAGGCGCATTCTCCCACAACTTTCTACAGAATAAGTTTCTTCTTGCTTTCTTTCTTTTCCTCCCCCTGGATCTAGCTTCAATTCAATAAGCACCTAGACAGCTGTTCTACCCTCCTGTAGAAGTCCAACATGCAGTCCTATGGGGTCTGAACAAACCACATGGGCTATGGACGAGCAACACGGCACACACATCGAAGCTACACTACCCACTAGGCGATAGACTAGCAACAAACGCAGGTAGTGACGTAAGGACCAGCAATTCATACTACACTCGCAATCTCAGAAACGATGAAAAATACAGAATGATAAAAATGTTAAAAATACAAACGTTAAAATTGTAAATTGTAAAACGTAAATATAAACGGTGGAGATATGTAAATGTAAACAACATCGCTTATGTCCCCCTCCTTTTCTGTACCCCTATACTGCATTTTGAAGTATGACAAAATAAAAATTGTCAAAATTAAAAAACAACAAAAAAAACCCCCCCCCCCAAAAAAACCAATCTCAGTTATGAAGATATCCAATAAAATCGAATCAACGCCGTCCAACCACAGGTCCACTAAATAAGCCCAAATACAGGCTAAATCCATCCACGCCACTAAATGTACTTGAAGCGACCCAATGCCACTGATAATAAATTGCACTCCATCCATGATTCGGTACATGCTGTCCATCCGAGTACCCACTGTATTAGGTATCCAAATGGATATCAATATGCGATCTAAATGAAATAAACACCAATTAAAAACAATATCAATGATATAAGCACTTCACAGGCAGGGTGTATTAACCAGCCTCACAAAGTGAGGCTATAACAAAGGAGAGAGATCACATTCCTCATTAAGACCCTTGGGGAATAAAACCTGTAATTCATAAATCCAAAATAATTCACATTGCTTCAATAACATCTCCCTAGATCCACCTCTTCTCAGAGGTTTCACTACTTCTAGAATCAAATATCTCAATTGTGACACCGTATGTCGCATTTCAACAGAGTGTCTAGCCACTGGATACTGGACCTTACCAGTCCGAATACTACTCTTGTGTTCCCTGATCCTAGTGGTGAATTTCCTTGTAGTCTCCCCAACGTAAGCTAAGCCACAAGGGCATTTCAACATGTAAACTACAAATTCAGTTTGACAATTGCAAAAATCTCGAATGGGATACTTCTTTCCAGATCTAGGATGAAGAAAGGAATAGCCCAGAATCACCCCATTGCAATTCACACAATGTCCACATTTGTACATACCAGCAGACATCTTGAGCCACGATTCCTTGGTCCCCATCTTTAATTGGACTTCCACATTAAATGGTCGCGAAGATTTTAGTATCTTTTTAAAAAAAATTGCTATCAGTTTAAGGTCAGTGTTCGACAGGCATATGGTCTCAGGTTTTGACTCCTGTTTGGGGGCTTACCCGGTTTCAGGAGAGTGGCAACATGCGCCATTAGCATTTCTGGAGTTATAGTCCCAGTGTTGAGAATGTAGTTGAAGATTTTCCCTAGATGGGGTGCAAATCTTTTATAGTAGGAGTTAGTGAGACCATCTGGTCCCAGGGACTTCCCTGGGGGGAGACATTGGATTGTGTCTAAGATTTCTTGTCTGGTTATTGGATGCCGTCTGTGTGTGCTTGCGTCAGCATGGGTGAGTTCAGGAAGTCTGTGATGCCTTGGTCGGTGCAAGGTGTTTTCATCTTTAAGTTTGTAAAGTGAATGGTAATACGCCGCCATTTTGTTATTTATATCTTGTGGTGTATGTAGTTTCTTGCCTGTTTTCATGTGTAGATAGGGCATTTTGAAGTTGGCTTGTTTGTGGGCTGTCTTAGATAAGGTAATTTCATCGATGCAGTTGGTTGTGTCCGCTATAAGTTGTGCTTGTTTATCATTTGGGTTGATTAGATGGGAATTGGGGACGTTCCTCAGTTTGCGGAGAAGGTCTAAGTGCTCTCCTTGAGATGTGTGTTTGAGATAGGACGCTCGGCTTACCAAACAAGCTCAGATTACCGGTTTGTAGGCCAGCCAGGCAGAGAAAGGGCCTATGTCGTGTGTCGTTTGGAAGTATGTTTGTAATAGTTCTGTGAGTTACTGTACAAAGGGGCCATCGTTTAGAAGAGAGTCTTTGAGGTGCCAAAGTGGGTTACCTCTGTGTGGGTAATTGTTTCATAGTGTTAAGTGCAGTGGAGTATGGTCAGACCACACAATGTTGCCCTTTTCGCATTGAGTTATGTTTGGTAGAGAGCCAGTCAGTAATGAGGTCTATTCTGGAGTACGTTTTGTGTACTGCGGAATAACAAGAATATTCCCTATCATTGGGTGACTTCTCCAGGCATCATATAGGCCATGTTCAAAAAGCAATTTTGTCAGTGCTTAATAGTTGGGTTTAAGTTTAGTGTGTCTGTCCAAGGAGACATCAACGGTTGTGTCCACTCTAGAATTGAGTGCATGGCTAGGGTCCCTGCATAATGACTTGACTATCTGTAGCGATGGGCAGCTTTGCTAGCACTTTATGTAGAACATTACGTTGTTGGTCATTGGGGCTGTATAGTCCTACTAGTATGTATTGGGGTTGTGAATGATACAGTGGAGAATTAGGTATCAACCTTGGCTGTCTTTTTTCCTTCTTATGTTGAGCAGTTCTGTTGAGAGTGGATTATGCACTAGGATAGAAACTCCCCTAGATTTAGAGGAGTGTGTTGCATGGTATTGGCATGGATACTCTAAGACCAAATGGAGGAACCATTAGTGTCAAAGTATTTCTTGCGCACACACTATATCTGCTTGGATGTGTTTGACATCCTCTAGCAGTATGCGTCGTTTGGCTCTGGGAATAGATCTTCATGGCTCTGGGTCAGACCGGGTTGGGGAATAAGGGACTGTTGCCTGTGGGAATACAGGTGACCGGCGCTAAGTTGTGTCTTTCCAAATTGGTAGTCGAGATAAAGGGAATGGAGGTGTCTGGGATGGTAAAGGATACGAACTTGAGGGAGGTTGTAGGTTGCACCCAGGAAAGGGTAGAATATGTACAAATTGACAACTAGTAGTCTCAGTCCGAGGGTGTCGTACCAGGGGGGGGGGGGAGATTAGGTGATAGAACCTCCTATGAGGTGGCTGGTGGTCTCCAATTATTTAAATATTGTGGTTGCAGAGTTGGCACAGTTGTTTGGGTATTGCGGGTGGCGGGGGGGGACTTGTATATTTCGTGAGTGGCTGTATCTAATTTGGTTATATGTCTCACAGCCCGCGGCAGTACACACTGGGCAACTTCGAGAAGGGCCGGTCTGCCTCTCCTGACACTTCCCTGATTGACCCCAAGGGAGACTGGGCGCACCTGAGCAGGGTTAATCTGTGTTGGTGCCTGCCACGGGCTGCGAAAACCCATATATTGTTATTTAAGGTGCTGTGGCCTGACCTCTGTGTCTCCGCAATGGACCCATTACTCTAAAGAGTGGTGGCACTCACAAGGGTAATGTATATTAAATATACATATGTCTGGGCATATAAGCCCAGCCTAACAATCAGCAGGCAACTGATGTCATCACAAATGAACAATTAAACAGAACCAAAAATATAAACATTGTGTGGATAACCTCAGGTCGAGAACGATATTATGTAACGACATATGTGGTCACTTTGCCGCGAAAGGGGTTATACTGTGATAGACAGCCATCCTCCAGCTTGGCCCCCAGAGTCGTGGAAGTCGCTTAGTGGACCCTCGCCTATAGTACAATAGAAAGGAGGCTGCAGTCGCTCAATGGTATAAAGCAACGGTATGTCCCAGATCATCCTGTCTCGGATTGCACCTGTTCGTGACCGTCAGCAGGTCATGGGCGTTGGGTTGCAGTGAGTGTCTCTAGTGGGCATAGGGGTGTCATGCTCACTCACGGTTTTGGCCGTCCTCCTGCTTCCAGTCTCCATTCCAGTGGTTCCAACGCTGGCCGCTGTAGCTCCGCCCCCTTTTATGACGCAGTGCATGCATCATGACGCTAATGATGTCACGGCCCATCAAAACGTTGAGTCTTGGACGTTTGGGGGGGCGTGGCTTCAAATTTAAAGATTCAGCGTATAAAAGGCAGATTCAACCATAGTTCTTTGCCCTGTTGTAGTTTTACTCACAGTTCCCAATAGTGCTTTGCTTTTCAATTTTGTCCAGATGTTCCAAATTTTATGAAAATGACCAGAATTGTAAATTCAAGTTAAATGAATGAAGCATTCAGTGTCTGGTTTAAAGTCAGTTATTTTCACATGCGTATCCTATTCAAAGTTGTGCCCCATTTTTATTTATTCTTTTATTTTTTGCCTACTACTGCTGCCAGCAGAGAAACAGTTCAGATGTTTAAAATAGGGTCTAGATATACATTTATTTTTTTTAATATATATATTATTAAACTATGCGAATATTGTATTTCTGCTATTTGGTTGTATCCAGGCTGAAATCTGGACAAAATTCTGGCTCAGGGCCAGTATTGCATACCTGTCAACATTCCCTGCCCACCTCTACAGACAGATTTCAAAATACGGGACAGGTCTCTGAGACCTATATTTACAGGGACATTACTGCAAAGTGTGAAATGTCGCTGCAAATCAAGCACTGTTGACAACCATTTAAAAAAAAAAAAAAAAAAAATTTTAAACACGAATCCATGGATTAGTAGTAAAAACCACAAACAATAATATTAAATATGGGCAGCGCCACACCACTAATCGCAGATATAAATAGAAAATGTAAAAAAAAAAAAAATTAAAAAAATAAAATAAATATAACACTATAGAGTAAAGACGGAAAATGATTAAACATTAAAAAGGAGTAAAATTGTGCAAATTGCATATATACACACACAAGAAAAAGCCACTAAAAAATGCCAATACACTGCACCTAACAATCAAGTGACAGGCAGTAGCAGAAGAAGAGCTGCTGTCTATAACAAAATATCCACTGCAATTGGTTACATTCCAGAGATAAAATCACTAGCAGCAGCAAATATATAGTAACATGATCAAAGAAGGGCATGTCAGCTTAGTGGTGAATATTGAATTAAAACAAAACACAAAAAACCTGGTCATAGAGGGCCCCAACCACGTATAAAAAAAAATAAAAAATAAAAAAATAAAATAAAAAAATAAAAATGTAAAATGAAAAGGTTATCCGGGCAATGTTCACAGTAAAATTACTAATTTTATGTGTTTACAGTTCATGCGCCTTTAATTTGCAGTTTGATTGGATCCTTCTTATGGTGTTTAATACCCATTTTATTAAAAATGAAAATCCAGCACACTCCCTGATCTACTAAAACAGTTATTTTAGTGCTGAACAATTTTGTTAGTGTTATTAAAAACACCTAATCTAGGCAAAAAATAATGGGGGTTAAGTCACATTATATGATCATACATTGCATAAGCCTGCCACAACACCAATGCACCCCATCTTTGGCAGGTCCTACTCTGTCTGCTAAATGAGCTACTCACTTGGGGAAATCCTTCCATCTCAAGTTCTCTGCAGTACAATGCTTAAATAGGATCCTGAGATGAGGCACCTGTAACAGGGAGGGGTGCAAAACCAAGGAGCTGGTTAGCCTCCTAAATATATATATATATACTGCAATAATTACCTGCTAGGGTTAACTCCTCCTCTAGTGGCTATCTACCAGACAGCCACTAGAGGGACTTCTGTGTGGATAGGCAACTTTTGGTCGTCTAAACGATGCTGGACATCCTCATGCTATGCATGAGGTCTTCCGGCATCACCAGAATCCCCATATAAAAGCATTAAATAATGCTTTCCTATGGGGAAATCCTAGTACAAGCGCGGCCACTGGTGGATGGGTGTAGCTGAGCCAGCACCGAGGGACTGGACCAGGGTAAGTGACAGAAAGGGTTATTAACCCTTTCTGCATCCCGGGGGGGGGGGACCTTGACAGAGGGGGAAGCTATAGTGCCAGGAAAACTAGTTTGTATTCCTGGCACTATAGTTTACCTTTAGTGTGAAGTAGGCACAAAAATTACGATAGTTCAGCATTTTTTTTTTATTGCATTTAGCTTGACGTTAACTTAAAAACTCCAAATCAGTTCAGAACATTTGAGTTAGCTAGGTGGATTATGCATTGCACCCTTCCCCCCCTCCCCCATTGTGTGCTTTGCAGTTAAAGATTATAATTAAAGTGAATTGCTTAATACCATGGAGTCAACTGACTAATCCAAACATTGTGAAGAATTATTTAAATTAAGATATTTATAGATCTTATCCTTCTATAACTAATAAAATTGCCATGTGCAGTGATATTTTCCTGGACCGACATCTATTATAAATGTTGATGGGCAACACGTGAAAAGTGCACATGTAGCTCATAGGATGCAAATAGGAATTGAATGCTGGATCATTTAGGAATCCTGAAGCATATACATTCTAAGTGTGATATGTGCTACGTAAAGGAAACAGAAAATTACTTCCTGCTGCAGCTTGCCAAACCCTTTTTTATTTTTTTAAGCATAAGTAATGCTATATTTAACTTGGCTGCTAATGCATACCTAATTAAACAGCCGTAAACTACATAATGGGTTATGTAGAAAAAAAAAGTGTTGCATTTCTTTGCACATTTGCATCAGTTTTATGCGCATGTGTCATTTTCTTGGGTATAAAACGGTTACTACACCCTTTATACATTAATTTCCCCCCCCACTTTCTGTGAATGCCAAAAAAAAAAAAAACACTCTTTCCTCTATTTTTAAATCCTCTTTCAGATTTTGCTCCTTTTTCCTCACTCTCACTGATGAGCTGACCACTAAAAGGGGTACTCCAAGAACCATGACCACTTCACCGTTACAAGATGGTTATGGTGTCTGTATGTCCAGCATTTTACTATGAACATAGAAACATAGAATGTGACGGCAGATAAGAACCATTCGGCCCATCTAGTCTGCCCAATTTTCTAAATACTTTCATTAGTCCCTGGCCTTATCTTATAGTTAGGATAGCCTTATGCCTATCCCACGCATGCTAAAACTCCTTTACTGTGTTAACCTCTACCACTTCAACTGGAAGGCTATTCCATGCATCCACTACCCTCTCAGTAAAGTAATACTTCCTGATATTATTTTTAAACCTTTGTCCCTCTAATTTAAGACTATGTCCTCTTGTTGTGGTAGTTTTTCTTCTTTTAAATATAGTTCCTCCTTTACTGTGTTGATTCCCTTTATATATTTGAATGTTTCTATCATATCCCCCCTGTCTCGTCTTTCGTCCAAGCTATACATGTTAAGATCCTTTAACCTTTCCTGGTAAGTTTTATCCCGCAATCCATGAACCAGTTTACTAGCCCTTCTCTGAACCCTCTCTAAGGTATCAATATCCTTCTGAAGATACGGTCTCCAGTACTGTGTACAATACTCCAAGTGAGGTCTCACCGGTGTTCTGTATAATGGCATGAGCACTTCCCTCTTTCTACTGCTAATACCTCTCCCTATACAACCAAGCATTCTGCTAGCATTTCCTGCTGCTCTATTACATTGTCTGCCTACCTTTAAGTCATCAGAAATAATCACCCCTAAATCCCTTTTCTCATATGTTGAGGTTAGGACTCTATCAAATATTCTGTACTCTGCCCTTGGGCTTTTACGTCCAAGATGCATTATCTTGCACTTATCCACATTAAATGTCAGTTGCCACAATTCTGACCATTTTTCTAGTTTACCTAAATCATTTGTCATTTGGCTTATCCTCCTGGAACATCAACCCTGTTACATATCTTAGTATCATCAGCAAAAAGACATACCTTACCATCAAGACCTTCTGCAATATCACTAATAAAAATATTAAAGAGAATGGGTCCAAGTACAGATCCCTGAGGTACCCCACTGGTGACAAGTCCAAGCTTCGAATGTATTCCATTAACTACAACCCTCTGTTGCCTGTCACTCAGCCACTGCCTTACCCATTCAACAATATTTTAATCCAAACTTAAAGATTGCAGTTTATTGATAAGTCTTCTATGTGCAACAGTGTCAAAAGCCTTACTGAAATCTAGGTAAGCAATGTCTACTGCACCACCCTGATCTATAATTTTACAAATTCCCTGATTCCAAAACAGTTTGCCCTCAAACAATCCTGCATGCAGGTGCTAGTGACCCTTGGCACAACTCTGGGTTGGCTATGGGCAAAATTTCATAATACACCTCCTCCTCCTACTCATAAATAGTTAAGCAAACATTGTAAACAGGAAGGTAATTCTAATGTAAATGTATTACACTGTGTGCACTATGCACACAGTTGAATGGAACATCTCACAAACCATCTTCTGTAATCTAAAAGAAACAACGTCTACAGGTAGTGGCTGTCTGAAGACCAGACTAATCCACTCAACCAGTAGAGGGTAACACCTTATGAGACACTCCAGAGGTGTCTTGGGGCATAACCCCTAATATAGAAACTACAAACAAGATACTCAAAATACCAAATATATGAGTATGAACTGGAAATCTAATTGCTGAAAAATAATAAATGTTAATAAATAAAAGCAATATAGGTGGATAAATACAAAAATAATAATAAATGGTCAGACAAAAAGGTAATACAAGCCAAATGGCTAACCTCCCATCCTAGTGTCTCTAAAGTAGTCACTAAAGCTCTCAGACTTAGACTTTAATTTAATCCTGGTTTGGTCAATGTCTGAGACTAGTATTGGCTATAAATCAAGATGAATATAATGAGAGACCTAGGGACATGCTTCAACCCGGTGGAGTTCAGAGATACTCAGAATAATTTAGATGTTATCTTAGTATGCACCACTATTAGTGGTCTGAGAATATAAATCACCTTAATAGGAAAAATTGGAGTATTTAGCAAAATCAAAAGCTATATCAAAAATGATGGTAACACCCCATTTAAAAAAAGGCTATAGATGATAGATGATAGTCAGTTAGGTCAAAAAATTGCTAGCAAAACGACAACCCAGTATAACTGAGTACTGGATAATTTGTAATTAGATATATCCAAAAAATAGTATCAAAACTGCAGCTCCATCTAACTAAGCGCTGAATAATTTATAATCAAATAGATAAAATGTATCCAAAAAGCCTTTTGTTACAAACTTCACTTACATAGGGTATAAAGCAATGACAGAGGTAAAAAGAAAAAAGTGTTCAAATTAAAGCGTGCTAATGTGCAGAACCATACCTAGAGTGTTGGTTACCTGCACATAGTGATAGAGTGCCCTGTGAAGTGAGAAAGTGAGGGGAAACCCTGAATAATCTAAATTATTCTGAGTATCTCTGAACTCCACTGGGTTGAAGCATGCCCCTAGGTCTCTCATTATATTCATTTTGATTTATAGCCAATACTAGTCTCAGACATTGGCTGACATCAAACCAGGATTAAATTAAAGTCTAAGTCTGAGAGCTTTAGTGACTACTTTAGAGACATTAGGATGGGAGGTTAGCCATTTGGCTTATATTACCCTTTTGTCTGACCATTTATTATTATTTTTGTATTTATCCACCTATATTACTTTTATTTATTAACATTTATTATTTTTCAGCAATTAGATTTCCAGTTTATACTCATATATTTGGTATTTTGAGTATCTTGTTTGTATCTTCTGTAATCTGTCCGGGAATGCATGTTTTTGGGATTGGTTGCAGAGGAACAAAAAATTCCATGGGGCTTTTCTGCAGCCATCATCAAAGGTGGGACGGCTACTTTTGGTCTGGGGCACATCTACAAACAGTCCGATATGACAACAAATCAGCACAATGTCCCATTACACGCCACTCCTTTTCTTAAATTAAAATTAGATGTTACACACCAATAATGCCAGAAGAATACAGTACAATAATAAGTTAATACATAATAATAAGTTAAATCTGCTGACACATAGTAAATACTGCTCGCGGTGACAGCCTGTCACTGCGATCAGAGGCTGCAGACTGTGGTCACTGGGCACAGGGGGGCTGCCTGAGTGGCCAGGCATGCCCCCGACCATGATCTGCAGCGGGCTCATGGTGCTGGCCACGTGGGCGGCAAGAACGGCTAGGACGCCCGCGTTTAGAGCCAGACCCTTAAGGACGGCATAGAACACCCTCTTAGTAATCTGACTGACATTAACCCCTTTCTAACCTTAAACACCCCTTCACCCTAACCAGTTCTAATGTTATTTGTAACCCTGCATGCATTTACTGTACTCACAGAGTGAGACACAAAACATTTCATGCAAACAGTAATATGCACACGCATATTTTTATACATATGCAGTTGTCAAATATGAATAAAATTTTAGGCCTGCAATGTCCAGTTAATTAATTAACTTACTTTGTCTCCTTTATTTTGGTGTTGTGCTTACAATGTTGTGCCTTCAGGCACCTGACATGTAAAACCTGCCCTGGCCAAAGGGCCAATTCACTCTTGGCCCCTGCCAACTCTAATCTGCCCATCGGTGGAGTTTAATTTAACCATACTTGCTAATCTATGCATTTGGTGGCCAACTAACATGATGCATAAACACAGTTATAAACAGACTGTCCATAACACCATAGGGACAACATTATACCCAAATAACTAAACATAAAAGTGGTTAGAAATTGTTCATTATATGGTTGTTTTATAAATATTATTAATTGAATCAATATTTTATTTTTGTTACATCTTTACCCTTTGCCCACTGGTTGCTAGTGCTTCCAGTGGGCAAATATATATATTTTTAAATTGGTATGCCTGCAAAAAGCAGTAGAAATTATATTACAAATTTGCCTGCTCCCAGATTTGTTCATTGTGAATTCAGATAAAATTGTGTGCATGATAAGTATCTGAATCCAATATGTTCTGTAGGATTTCCATGTGAGAATTATACTTTCTGCCAGGCAAAGCCAAAACCAAGTAAAACCGTATGATCCTGTGCTATCAAAAATGCAAGGAAAGTAATTTTGCCATGATATTTATTTGTTCCTAAACATTTTCAGTTGAATATTTTGATAAACAGATACCCCTATGCAAATCCCAAGCAACCCACATACATTCCCTGCTCATACTGGATCTGGTCAATGCTTACACACATTATCCAATAAACACTGGCTGAAAGCTTATTTTTATGATCGATCTCCCTGATTCTGGGCTTAAACGTCTAAATGCTCTGATTCCAGCCCATAAACCATTACCCCCAAAGCGAGACCTGCTAATTCTGGAGTGTTTCACATTCTACTGGACCGTTCTACTAAATCATAAGAAAAAAATCACAAAAATCCAATTTTACCCCTGAAAAAGGAAATTTACTTACTAAAATTCACAATGGAGAGAAGTGGGTTTACACTTGTCTGAACACTGGAAAAATAGATCAACACTTCAAACATGTTAGCCACTCCTTATATACAGAGCTAGATGAACCTGTCTATCCAGTAGTCGTGAGTGTCACCTGCGTTATCTTATATTTAACAATGTATTTTTAGATTCCTTTGTTATGACCGAATCCTTAATGTGCTCAATGCTAAACCTTCCTACCTGCTAATAAATTGTGATTAATAAGCCAAGACTCATCTGGCACGTTACATGTGAATAAAGAGGTTAACCTTTCTATTACTGCTTTCCAGGACTTTTTCTTTGCTTATATCCTACATTGCTGTAAAAATGCAAGTTTTGTTTACTTAAAGCAGCTCTGTCACTTGCTAGTATCTCATAAAGATATGATGTTTATGAAATACTTATGCTGAATGCAACACAATACAAAGATTTCATGAGACAATGGAGACAAAGCAACCCCCACACAGACAGCTAACACCACCCTCGCACAGACAACATACAAGTACTGTAAGTGACCTACATACACACAATTAACATCATGGGCAGCCCACGTAAAAACACACAATACTTCAAACAGTTCAAACATACTTCAAACATAGACTTCAACACACAATACCACTGGTAACTCCATCACACAAATACACACAACACAGGTAGCTTCCATTACACACATAGGACCAAGACAGTTGACTACTGTTTGTATTTATTTAAATGGCACTGCCATTTTCTGGGAGGGAAAAGTTTTTTTGTTTGTTTTTTTTACTTTCCACATCCCGCTGTTATCGTTGGGAGACGTAAGCTGAGCCATTGAGGAACTGGTGTAGGACTTTCACAAGGACCTACACATCTATGGGGGAGGCCCCTTGAATCTGCTGTAGTTGCCCTAAATCATGTGAGTGCAATTCAATACTAAGAGGAGGCTTGACTACTAAATGGTTTTACACAATTTCTGATTTGTATTACTTTACAGAAAGTAGCCATATCCCCTGTTGTTTGGTGTGTATACATTTGTTCTAAGGGACCACAGGGAAAGATATCTTCGGAGGCAGCCACACATTTTCTTTCCTCTTTAGACAAGTTAAGTATGTCTAATAGCACAATATAAAGTGCGTGAATTTTGCATCTGAAATACATTGTGCTGCTATTTTCATGTAGGCTGTGTAAGTCACAGATTGGGAAGATGCAGCTTGGGCTTTCTTAAATGGAACACCATTGTGTCAGAAATACAAACATGTATTCCTGACACTATAGCTCTAATAGAGTCGTTTAGCTGGCTGGCTCCGCTCTCGCTGCAGTGAGATCTCCTCGCGGCTGGCTCAGTCCCTTTGGCTGAGATTCATCAAAATGGATCAACCCAATATTGCACTGCAAAATGAGCCAATCAGCATCTCTTAATAGAGATGCATTGAATCGATGTATGTCTATGAGGAATGTTTAGTGCCCCCATGCAGAGAGTGGAGATGCTGAACGTCAGTGCTGTACATTGTGCAGCATTGGCCCAGGAAGCATCTCTAGTGGCCGTCTGAGTGACTGCCACTAAACGTGTTCCTGGAATGTAATGTAAACACTGCTTTTTTTTCTGAAAAAGTCTGTAGGTATGGCCAATAAACACAAGAACTATATTAAGCTGTGGGTATTCTGGTGACTATAGTGTCCCTTTAAAGTGAACTAAAAGGCAGAGGATTGAGCAGCTACACTGCAGGGGCATGATCTGCGCACCAAAATGGGTTCATTATGTTAAAGGTATTTTGGTACGTAGAGTGTCCCTTTAAGTAGTGAAACCATTTTAGAATAGTTTGACTTCTCACCTGGGTTTCCACTGAGTGCCACTACTTGCTTCACTACTTTCAATAGCATTTGAGATTTGATGATAATGTACACACATGTCCACTAGGTGTCCCTATGATAACTCTAGAGACCAGGCTTTAGCTGAGCAAATGTTCTGAGAAATAGAGGAAACGTTAAAGTAATAGAAAAAGATTCCTTGCAAACGTATACAAGAGGGATATTCAGTGTTTTATCTCACTTAAGAAGCCTGTGAAGTTTGTTGTGCTGCTGGATAAAGGTCCCGGATGAAGGCTAATATATTTTTAACTATATTGCTTTTTAGTCATTATAGTTATAAGTTTACATACTTTGTTTGCGCAACGCTTTATGTGTTTGTATCATGAAACAGTGAAGCGATGTGCATAATGGCTGTGAGCACTTAAGGCTGGATTTTAGATGGACAATTAAAGATCATTTTTACTTACTATTTTACTCATTAAGACTTTTTAACATGGAACTACCTTCAATTTATATTATATATTTTTTATTTTAAAAAATTTTTTGTTTAATTTTTAATTCTTTTCCACATTACCTATCCAACAGACAGTCATTATATGACAGAGTCAGAATAATGTTATTCTCTAGATTTTGATACCCTTATAGGTTAATAGGTTCCCTATTTTTCTCATTTTGAGAGTAGACTGTCTCTTTATTTTTTCTATTCTGCTCCACTTAACTACTCTATTGAAAAAGCCAGACTGGCATAGGCATTGAAATTAGGATTTAGAGAATGGAGTTTCAGTTCTAAAATCTTTCCGCGTGGAATTAAAAACATTCAAAATTACCTATATCTTGTGTTTGTATTCTTTTTATGTTATGCTCGGTTTTCTTTTAAATGTATATTATAGATTTAGCAGTTGGTATCCCAATCCTGTTTGGTCCAGACAAAGCAACAGCATACGTTATATTGGAGGCGAAACAGAAATATTGTTTCGTCATTCTCTCACTATGCTCTCTCTGTGCAGATGACAGGTGCAAAGGGTAAAGATTATAACTAAGGATGAACCAAATTGAAAATTCTGGTCCGTAACCGAAAATTCAAGATGCCCTTGGCCGAAAACCGACTTTTTTCTCCAAATGATTTTTAAAAAGTTTTTTATAAACTATTAAACTTTTTAATGCATCCCGGTTCACTCCTTGGAGGCTACCCAACTAAGACAGGTCCGGGTTGACATGCAACAAGTAGCTGACAAGGCACCAAAAATGGCAGATGCCAGGTGTTCCCCCACTAAAAGCAGTGGAATACCCATCATGTCCAGACTGGACAAAATTTTCAACAACTTCTGCAGGAAGCTGGAACATAGCAGCCTGCTCCGCAGAAGCAAAGTGGCCACTCACCTCAGGTGCTGCCTCCGCATTTTCATTGCAAGCCTGCAGCTACTGCGGTGGAGAGGGCCTGAACACGGAGCAGACGGCACCCCCGTCTGTAAAACAGCTGGCACGGAAGCCTGACCTCACACCACCCAAGCCTGAGTCTCCCTGGGAGGCTGAAGTGCTGCAGGGAAATCCAACAGTTCTTGATCCAGGGCTACCTGTAATTGTCTGGAAAGGGTGCTGGACTGTGTTCTGCCACTTGAGGGCATAGGCTAAGCTGGGCCATATTATGGGACTCGTCTGGGCTCCTGGCTACTTCTATTGCAGTTTAGGTTATTTTTAAGCTCTCCTGCAGGGGGGGTTTATACAGTTGATCAATGTAATCTAGCACTTTAAGTGTTATATTAAAAAAAAAAAAAAATGCAGTACTCCTGACTTTTCATGTTATCATTAATATCTTTCATTGTGATATATAATCATCTGAATTGTCAATGCAAGCATGTCTGTTAAACTATGCACTACAAAAAAAAACCCCACAAATCTGCAGATTTGACCCTTTTTCGGCCCAAATTTCAGTGCATCCCCAATTATAACAATGACAGAGGCAAGATGGAGGCACTTCCAGGACAGAGCTAAATACAGCAGTGAGGATTTCTACATTTAATTTTAATAAATATTGTAATATGTTAAATATAGTGATAAGGTAACAGATTACAAATTCTGAGTTTACTTTTGATAGGTGTTAAAGATGTGCAGGTGTCTGGAGTGTCATACAGGTGATATTTTTGATGACCCACCCATGATAGTACTGCAGTTGCCAGTTATCCCAGTTTTTCCAGCACAGCCCTACATCTTGGGCTCCTGGCCAACCCAAAAAAATAAATAGGAACCCAGGGCATTTGCTGCATCCCTGGAAACCAGAGATGTTTCCCCAGTGAGTCTGCTAGGACAGTGTTCCCCAACCTAGTCCTCATGGACCACCAATAGTCCAGGATTTATAGATCGCCTGGTTTTATTCCAATTGAGGTACTGACAAAACCTGCCCTGTTTGTCATCTATGAGGACTGGGTTGGGGAACACTGCTAGGTGGTGATTAAACTTTACTTCCTCCTAGCACACAGATGTGCAGGGGAGCAGAGAGGCTGAAATTGAGCTACCAGAGGATAGCAATCAAGCCCTGCTGGTACACAAGATGAGGGAAACTGGGTTGGACCAGTTAATTTATCAGCTGCTAGGCAGATCATCCTTGTAACTACAGGACAGGTTAAATTCCAGCTCCATGCGGGAGGGGGGGGGGGGAAGAGGGTCTTTATTTCCCCCCCACATCTGCTTGAAGGATTACAGGAACACTAGATATGCAAGTGTATGTATGTATGTTTAAGTACCTGTTGCAATTGCCCCAGAGTTCTCTGGGAAATTCAAGATTAAGCAGATAGTGCTTTAATAAATTTACAGGTAATCTACTAAATGCATGTTAACTAGTGGTAAGGTTTAAATTTCCTTTAAACAAAAAGGAACTTGGGACTTTAATATTCAGGCTTATTCACTGAAGTGAGCATTGTCTTGTCAAGAATTCAGAAGGTAAAACTAAAGTATTAGGAAAGCAGTTCTTTTCCTAGCACTATAGTGACCTACAATGCCCCCTCCCTTGCTCAGTCCTATGGTATTTTAAATGCTAGATATCCTCATGCAATTTGGTTGGGGCGGTGTGGCCATGAGAGCAATTGGATGCCCATTGGGTCATTTTTGGATGTTGAAGATTTCAGAGGCCAGGTAGCCCTTTAATAGTGAGCAAGACCAGGGCCATGTCACAGCACAAGTTTCTACCGAAGTGAGCTCAGGTCACTTTCAGCTTGCTCAGACCCATATGGAGAAGGCTAGAACCATTTTAATTACTGTGTATTTGTATGCAATTAATTTTGTTTTCATATGTCCCAGAAGACACCAAGCCTGCACACAAATACACCACTCCAGTCAGATATTACCCTGGCATTCACATACCAATACAAGGACCATATCAAATGTAATAAAGAGGGCATGCACACTTTACATGACATGGTCTTTGAGCCCGCTTCTTTATCCTGTGCATATATAGAACTGTATGCATTATGCCATCTATATTTTAACCCTTGAGAACCAAATCAAGAGAAATCTGATTTCAAGTGTTTTGAATAAATGTAGCAGTCACGTATCTATCCTTTGAGGGTAGTTCCAACAATTCCTCTGGAGTGTTGGTGTTGCCTACCCCCACCATAGACATAAATGGCCCTCTGACTCAATAAACAAGTCTCACTTGTCATGCTCCTATGGTGCTCATCTTGACTGCAATTCATAAATACAGACACCCATGCACAGGTAGACAAAGGAAAACTAAACCATTTCGACACCAAATCAACAGGCTGATAAATGCAAAGACTGCAACTCAGACATCCATCCAACTTAATGGTGACACCTATATAAAGACTTATTTCGTGTGATTAAACTGGTGAATTGCAAGTAAAAACTCAGTCACAGTAAATGACAGATTCAATAAGTTTATTGCAATGTAAAGCACAACAAATGACACAGGAAGCACTTTGTTTCACAAATTCCACCATCAGGGAGCCCAATCCGGTACAGATGCATGGATATCCTGGAAGACAAGTACTTTTGAGAGTCAGAGCATGATTAGGCCAGCGTTAACATTTATTGCATTGTCCTACATGGGAGAATGTTAGCCTGTGTGTAGCAGCTACAGATAAAAGTGTACTCCAAAGAAACTTAAGGTTGAATAGTCAGCTTTATACATTAACAGAACCAAGGTCTGTTTTACTCAAAGCTTTGAAATATCAGAGGTCACTTATGTTTTACCAGCTTTGAATACAATTGTACATTATATAATTAATGTGATACTTTGGGGACTGTTTAAGTGCTACTCTAGAGCCAGATAGCATGCAGGCGGCTATAGATCAGAATGGAAAAAAGTCGTCAGTTATCGCATCAGACGGCACTTCCTATTCCATAGTCTCATCACGTTACAGCCCAAGAAGATTACACGTCCTGAAACTCAGGACCAGCTACTTACCAGATGTATGGCTTCCATGTGAGCTTCAGGCTTTCAAGCTGAAAAAAATATATAAAAATAAAGTTAGTTGTTGGCAAGCTTTTCCTTGTGGCAACACATTGCAGTTTTAAGATGACAGTCAGAAAAGTAGTCTTCACCAAAAAATATTCTGCCGGTAATTCCAGCTATATTCTTTAATTTCATCACAAGCATCCTCTGTTTTGATATAAAAGGAGCAGTATAAACTTTGAATGTAATGTTTCAAACATTAGTTTGTTCATAGTACAACTAATACCAAAAGCAGCACTTAAAGATTGGACATACCTGAACTTGTCATGGTAGTGATGTCATCACTACATTTAAGCATTCCATGGTCTCAAATTTGGATCCAAGAACAGTCTTTTACAAAAGATGGGGAAATAAATATTGCCCTAGGAAAGACAAAAACCACCACATTATAAAGTAGCAAGACCAGAAATTGGTGTCAGCCATGTTACTATATGGCTACAGCATTCTTTAGTTACATTGCCATGAGTCCACTAATAACTTCAAAACATTTAACTGGCTTGACTCTTAGCAAAGCTGAAGCAGTGCTTGGGTATTTGTGTCAAGCTAGCTAAATGAATATTCACCAATAGCATTGAGACTCCTATATAGCCACTATGGCAGGATATAGTGTACTTTCAGAGTCAGTGATTAGCCAATTACAACAGCATGCAGTAAAGCAAGTTTAAGATAGGGCTAGTTTCTTGGCCAGGTTTCTCTTTAAGAGTGCTTTCTGTGCTCAGTCCCATATCCGCTAGATTCATCCAACAGTCTCCAAATAAATATGTTCATCACTGCACAGGAAGCCTTGATATTAAGGTTTGGTATGAAATATGAAAAGAAAGGAACTTACCAATGAGACATTTAAACAGGAAAAGTTCACCACCTATTGAAAATACAAAAACAGAAATTGAACACTAATCACATTGAGTTAATACAATGACGGGCCATATGGAGCAAGGCATCAACTCACTGTTTCCATGCTTCACCTCAGTTCATTATAAAGTAGCTGGATGCAGCTGTAGTTGCATTATGTATGTTACACCACAAATGAAGATGATACCAATAAGTGACAATTAACCAGTTTTTACTATCTACCATAGATGGTATAGGACTTTGTGATGTTACAGGTTCATCTGATAACTGTCAACTACGTCCCTTCGATGCTTTATTATTCATATCTTATTTGGATGTTTAATTGATGAAGTTTTACTTTAAGCTTAAAATGAGGAGTAATACTCCATGACATCTTTTAAATTGCAAATGCTAATTTTGTCCTGAATGCATGAACATATGAGAACCAAAATATTGATATCTTGCAAAAGCAGTTACTGAGAGTTTGTATTAATACCACAAAAATATTGAAAAAACCATCCTGTGTGATTAAATTAACAGCTGCAATATTTAAGCAGTTAGATCAATACATCATTTTCTACAATACCTTAACCTAAGAGCACCCCAATATTAAAATATATGTTAGTGTCCCTGCACACTTATAGCAAAACATTCTATATTAAAATTCTGAATTACAGCAGGCATTGTGCGAGGGTAGAGTGACAGCATGTGGAACCATGTGACATACCTCAGCCATCAAAGCCCCTCCATTTTTTTCTTGCATGCTGTTGGAGAAACTGCTGCTATGGAGACAGCTGCAGCCCTCGGTTAACATGCGAAGAGCAGGACAGGGTAATAGCCCTTTGAGAAACCATAAAAAATAAGCTGGAATTTATAAGTTAATGTACTTAATACCCAAGTCATTTATAAGGAAGTTATGTGAGACATTCAAGGAACATGCTTTAGTTATGGTTCCAGAAGTGTCCTGTTATACAGCCACATGTTTAGTCAAACCATTGTAAGTTGGTTTCACAACTTACCCAGTGTCTACATTGCACTGGCCACATCCAGGCAAGCCAGAAATGTTAGTGTGAGATATGGCCAGACTCAAATATGAGAGTTTAGCCATTGAGTAAATGGTTAAATACACTTTGAGGTATGACTAGCTCACACAAGAGGCAATAACTTCAGAAGAATGGGCAATGTATTCCTCCTCTAGATATGCTACCCCCTTCCGGCTAGTTTGTTGGCATCTTATGTTCCACTAGTGCTTTATGAGTAGAGACAACATTTTACCTTTTTGTCCTGGTGCAGCAGGCTTCATGCAGAAGAGTTTCCTGAGCCATGGTTATATTGAAAACCATGCAGTATGTTTGCCTTCTATGCCTTGGAGTAATGCACAACCGAGCCATGTTGTCTCAATGTTTCTAGACAGCCACCTGCAAAAGAACATAATTAATCCTGTTGCAGGTCAATGTCCTCATCTACTTGTTACAGGAGCAGTCTATGAAATGTGTCCTTTAAGACTAAGATGCCAGTACTAAGAAAGCATACACTACACAGCAATTATAATTTCTTTATATGTTGCAGTTAGATACAACAATCCAAACAGCGACCGTCAAAGAAATATTAATCTTGGCTCACTTCTATCCACAGCAGCTATGAGAACACTGCCATGGCTTGGATCGGGGCCATTTGGGAAATGGAAAATAAAGCTTGCAATTTTGAGTACATGGTAGCCTGCTACCTCTTCACTGCAACCTAGTACTTGGGACTAATTTTTCCATGAAGAAGGGGCAGAAACACCATGATCACATGGTCACTAAGATGTTAAAATGAGAACTGCATGCATAGTGCAATCCATGAGCTTGTACAAAAAAGTATTCACTAGTTAAACCAATAGTTACATAGAAAGAATGTGACAGCAGATAACCATTCGGCCCATCTAGTCTGCCCAATTTTCTAAATACTTTCATTAGTGCCTAGCCTTATCTTATAGTTAGGATAAGATATTTTAGTTTGCAAGAGACAGCGTGGACCATGAGAGTCTTAAGAAAAATGTTATGGGTTACAATATAGAACACTCCTTCAGCAATAGTATATTATACTGGCTACCTCCTCACTGAAGTGCAGTGCTACCAGCATTATCAAAAGGATAAGAAATTAATTCGTGGCATTTTGTGAGTGCATCTGTAGATGAATGAAGTATATAACACATAGACCTTACCCCATAGGAAACGAGGGTTTGCATGATCACTTCCATTCAACACTCGAAAGGGAATCTGCAAAACATGAAGTGCAAGGGGTTAAAAGTGGAAGTTTTGACAAAAGGCACACCCAAGAAACGTATAGACTATACAGAACGTGGCAGCTTGTTATAATTGACATTAATGACCATGGATGTATTTCCCCATAATGTTGCTGATCTCGGACACAGAGCCTGAGCAGCGACCGTCGGTGGAAAACATTGCTCTCGGCCTCTGTTTGACCGCGTTAGTTACAGCAAGCACTAACCCGGCTTCGATCAGGGCCTGCGGTAATAGTTTTAAAAAAAAATAAAAAATTACAGCGACTTTGAGAAATATTCACCTAATGATGATGATAAAGCAATGGAAATCCAGATACTAGTCTATCCGGGACCAGAAAAGCGGCAGTCAGGGAGGATGGCGGCGGATTAGAACCGCTCCTTCCATCACACAACCGATCATGTCTGAGTCCAGTGCAGAAGAGACTGAAAGGGAGCGCCGCGGCTGCTTTTATACTGCACGCTCCAACGTTTCCTGTAAGCCTGTGCTGTGCAGTGATTCACGGGAGTTGTAGTTTTACTAGACATTCTAAAAACTGTAGCTTGTGTTTCTGGATCACACGTGGTTGCAATCCTCATTAGCGGTAATGCGTTTTAATCAATAAACCGGCACTTGTGGAAATCGCCAAAGGAATGAAAAATCTCAAGGAATAAAAAGCAATATAAAAATGTAGAAAAAAAATATTTGCTGATTTTTTTATGCCCCTTTAAACGTCCATTTTGGCCTTATAATAGGGTCTCCAGTGACACATAGAATCTATGTGTCAATGTAGGGATGATTTTTTTTTTTTGCACAGCATTATAGATTGTGAACATTGATGTATATCAGTGTGTATAATTGTATTCAATGCTAGTAAGTGTAAATGCAATGCATTCCTGGGGTGACAAGCGCTGTATCTATCACGAGGCTAACAAGGCATTTACCATGGGCGGTACTTTCTAGTGGGGACTGCAAAAATCACCTGCACCACTTTAACTGCCTATTGAGCCGGACCACGACGCCCCACAAGACTACAACTCTAGCAGCCAATGGAGCCTGCCCATGCCCTTTTTTGTCGGTGGCATTGTAGTTGCCGTGCAAAATATATATATATTCTGGTGCTTGTGGCATTGGCGGAACTACAGAGGTCACGAGTATAACCGGGCCCTCTGTGTTCCATCTGTCATGAGGGCCCAAGAGCTGGCCACCTTAGGGCCCCATGAGGAGTGCGGCTGTGCATAATGTAGACAGGTGACAAAGGAGCGCTGACTGCTCTTCTTGCTGTACACCCTTGCTCACACTGCAGTAGCAGGAAGGCAGGCAGACGGTCGTGTAGTTTTCAGCGAGGGAGCACTTTCACCTGAGCTTTCTCCTCAGCTCCCTCGCGCGCTGCAGAGTGATGCCGGGAGCCGGACTATAACGTCATATTCCGGCTCCCAGCATTATTGCAGGTCACGCGAGGGAGCTGAGCAGAGAGCTCAGGGGAAAGTGTTCCCTCACTGACAGCTTAGTGTGGCTGCCCGCCCACGATGCAACTGACTGCTACCCCGGGGGAGCCCAAAGGTGGCCAGCCGGCCAGCTCTTGGGCTCCCATAAAACGAGGCAAACAAGGTATTTGCCTGGGCATTTGGGGGTGACGGTTTTTGCCGACACCTGGAAATTGCCGCCCAAGGCAAATGCCTTGTTTGCCTTGCGGTAGACACATCCGTGGTGTTGGGTAAACAGTGTGTGTGTGTGTGCCAATTAGTGTATGTATGGGTCAGTGAGAGTGTGTGCTTAAAAGGTTGAGGTAGAAAGAGGTTGAGCTCTAAGAGGAATGTTGGGCCTAAAGAGGATGGGTGAGGTTTACAAAGGATGGGGTGTGTCCTAAATAGGAAGAGGTGCAGGTTTGACAGGAAGGTGTGGTACAAATTTAGATTAGGGGTGGCCGAGTTTAGTTATGCCAGGGGCAGCACCAGGGCCGGACTGGGGATACGAAGCAGCCCTGGAAAAAAATCTATGCCAGCCCCATAGCCAGTCATTGTGCTATGTAGGGTGTTTATATATATATATGCAATTGAAATAGTTGGCTGCACTCTTGGATTTCCTGAAAATGTAACTTTTATTGAAATATTTAAGAGAAGATCAATGTTTCAGTCCCTCTTGTGGACTTATGTCATGATCCAGATGCAAGTCCACAAGAGGGACTGAAACGTTGATCTTCTCTTAAATATTTCAACAAAAGTAAAATTTTAATGAAATCCGAGAGTGCAGCCAACTATTTCAATTGCCTATATATATATACTGGATACTGGAGCCCTGGTGATGCAACAATATTAATATATATATATATATATATATATATATATATATATTTTTATTTTTTATTTTTTTTATTGATACATTTCTTCTTCTAATTCAAAATATTAGTTCTTTTAGGGTAATTAAATTATACAGTAAAGCATACTCACACACAGACAGACAATCTTACTAATGCACACAAATAGGCTCATTGACAGACAATGACACACACAGACAAGGTTACTGGCGCACACACAAATTTAGTACAGACAAACTCTGATACACACACACAAGCTTACTATAGACAAGCTCACTGTCACACACACACGCTCACTACAGACAAGCTCACTGATGCGCACACACTCTCCCTACAGACAAGCCCATTGACACACAAGCTCCCTACAGAAGAGCTCACTAACACACAGATTCACTACAGACAAGCTCACTGACACACACATGCTCACTACAGACAAGCTCACTGACACACATATGGTCACTACAGACAAGCTCACAATCACACTCATGCTTACTACAGACAAGCTCACTGTACACACATGCTCACCACAGACAGGCTCCGACACACCCATGCTCCTTACAGACAAGCTCACTGATGCGCACACACTCTCTCTACAGACAAGCCCATTGACACACACGCTCCCTACAGAAGAGCTCACTAACACACAGATTCACTACAGACAAGCTCACTGACACACACATGCTCACTACAGACAAGCTCACTGACACACATATGGTCACTACAGACAAGCTCACAATCACACTCATGCTTACTACAGACAAGCTCACTGTACACACATGCTCACCACAGACAGGCTCCGACACACCCATGCTCCTTACAGACAAGCTCACTAACACACACACATATGATCCCTACAGACAAGCTCACTGACACACATACAAGCTCACTCACTAGCAGGCACACACACACACACACACACACACACAGAAGCTCCCTCACTAGCAGATGCGCGCACACACACACAGAGGCAGACAGTCACTGACACCCAGGCAGACAGCCACACACACACACAGGCAGACAGTCACTGACACCGAGGCAAACACCCACACATACAAAGACAGGCAGACAGCCACACACACACACACAGGCAGACAGCCACACACACACAGGCAGACAGTCACACACACAGGCAGACATTCACGCACACACACAGGCAGACAATCAGGCACACACACACACACAGGCAGACAGTCAGTCACACACAGACAGTCACACAGTCACAAACTCACAGACAGTCACACACTCACAGTCACACACTCAGTCAGACAGTCACACACTCAGTCAGACAGTCATACACACTCACACAGACAGTCACACTCAGACAGTCACACACTCACAGGCAGTCACACACAGACAGTCACACACTCACACAGACAGTCACACACAGACAGTCACACACTCACAGGCAGTCACACAGACAGTCACATACTCACAGGCAGTCACACACTCACACAGAGACAGTCACACACAGACAGTCACACACTCACACAGTCACACACTCAAGGCAGTCACACACTCACACAGAGACAGTCACACACTCACAGGCAGTCACACACACACACACTCACACAGGCAGTCACACACTCACAGGCAGTCACACACAGACAGTCACACACACAGACAGTCACACACTCACAGTCACACAGACAGTCACACACTCACACAGAGACAGTCACACACTCACAGGCAGTCACACAGACAGTCACACACTCACACAGAGACAGTCACAGAGACAGTCACACACTCACACAGAGACAGTCACACACTCACAGGCAGTCACACAGACAGTCACACACTCACACAGAGACAGTCACACACACACAGAGACAGTCACACAGACAGTCACACACTCACACAGAGACAGTCACACATACAGTCACACACTCACAGGCAGTCACACACAGATACACTGCTTCTTCCCTCCTGCTTGGAGCTCCTGGAGGCCATGCTGCAGTCAGCCAGGCCGCCGCCGCACAGTAAGTCCCTCCCCCGCCGCCCGCTAAGCCCCACCCCCGCAACCCGCTAAGCTCCGCCCCCACCGCATGTAAGCTCTGCCCCAGCCGCAATTTTTTTTTGTTTATGACACATGGCCGGCCGGGATCACAGGAGCTGTCAGCCCTGATTAGGGCTGACAGACCGGCCCCAGGTGCCGCGGCCCACCGGGAAATTTCCCGGTATCCTGGTGGGCCAGTCCGGCCCTGGGCAGCACAAAAGCAAAATACACCACTGTGTGTGACTGCAGGTGTACATTTGTACAGAGCAGTGGTAAGCAACTTTTAGCACTCCAGGTGTTGTGGACTACATTTCCCAATGATGCTTTGCCAACGTTTTGGTTTTTAAGACCATTATGGGATATATAGTTCACAACATCTGGAATGCTGAAGTTTGCCCATCCCAGGTAAAGAGGGTCTATGTGTAAATGCAGTGTGTATTTGTTCATCATCAATACGCTCCTGCATTCTCACACACCAATTGTCAGTGGATGTGTGTGTATTTCAGAACAGAAGACTGTATGAAAGTAGCTGTTCTTTCAAGCAGTGAGTCACAGTTTATATTTAAGGGGCTATGGGTGTAGTACCACTGGTTTTATGTAACTTCTATACCAATATTGGGGTACTGTGACGTAGTGGTGGGCTTAACACAATATGGCCATATGGTATAACTAAATCCTCATATTTGTTTGCTAAGGTGATTATAAGTACAAAAAATACAATCTACAAAAAGAATAGAAATAGAGAATATATAGTGTAGTAAATTTGAACACCAAATTTTACACTAGTGGAATTGCACTCACAAGATGAGAGAGTAGTGAAGGCATATAACGGTCTTTAGACTTGACGGACAGCTGTAATCTTCTAATTTCACCTTAAAGAGGGAGAGACACACAAACCATAGTGTAAAAATAATGGTTGTAATCCAGCTTGTCAAAAATACTTGGGGAATAATGGTGCCGGCGTCCTTAGGGCAAGTAATGACAGGATAAACCAAATTAGACTGTTACATGCACCTTCATTAGCCCCTGAGGAAGTCTCGTTTGGAGACGAAACGCGTAGGGTGGAGGGACCACTACAGCACCTTGTTACTGCTATTGTTGATTTTTTATTTATATGTTTTTATTTGGTTTTTAATTTGGTTTATCCTGTCATTACTTGCCAAGGGAAAAAGGACGCCGGCACCATTATTCCCCAAGTATTTTTGACAAGCTGGATTACAACCATTATTTTGTGAGTGCAATCAAATAAATGTTATCATTTTTATTATACTGGTGCACTATGGTTTGTGTGTCTCTCCCTCTTTAAGGTGAAATTAGAAGATTACAGCTGTCCGTCAAGTCTAAAGACCGTTATATGCCTTCACTACTCTCTCATTTTGTGAGTGCAATTCCACTAGTGTAAAATTTGGTGTTCAAATTTACTACACTATATATTCTCTATTTCTATTCTTTTTGTAGATTGTATTTTTTGTATTTGTATTGAGAAGGTCTGAGGGGTCTTCTTACAATCTTACATCTGGTAAAATAATTTTTATTTATTTTATCTGTTGGGGGAGCACGTGGGTGATTATAAGTAGCCTGGTAAGATTTTTAAAAAAAATGCTGGGTGCCCTGTTTCCCTAATCTGTATTTTGTATGTGTTTTGTTACAGCAGTAACACTGCTGAGAAATTTATGTTCTGGGTTTGCCCTCCAACCTCTTTCTTTACACCCGTACACAGACACTCAAAAATATATGCACAAAAGTTCAGACATTTACAGATAAATATAGATTCACACACACTTAGATTCAAGCACACACTCACACAGATACACAGATACACAGTTTCTGGGACACAGACACACACATTCACGGATTCACACTCAAAGATTTACAGTGGACAAACATCTGTGCACTTCAAGTCAAATTTATGAGCAGACTTTATTAAAGCAATGTTTGGGCTCTGCTATTGAGTCTTTATCAAGTAGACATGTGTACCAGTGAAATTTTCATTTTTTAAAGAATGATTTCGTACTAAATGAAAATTTCGTCAATCCCGAATTTTGGCCGCAAACCATTAGTTTTCGAATGTAAATAGTTTTTCGTCCATTAGGACGAAAAACAGCACTGCACATGCGCAAAAAAAAAAGGCAAGGAGGGAGCCGGCAGCGCTACCAGCTGCCTCCCTGTGAAACCATTCCTACCCACCCCCCCCCTGCATTAAAACCTATGAAAAAAAAACTATGACCCCCATATTATTAAAAGTGAGGTTAAAGGGGCATGTTGCCTAAACAGCGAGCAGCCAGTGGCTGCTCACTGTCATTTAAAAAATCAATATCTTATAAAGAAGTGATAGAGAGCTACGGTAAGAGTACGTGTAACCAACAACAGGGGGATTACGTGACACGTGTGCACGCACGCTCCCATGGCTCCGAGGTTCCGGTGAGGAAGGACTCTCTGGATACCAGCGGTAACCTGAAAGCCACACCCGACGCTGCACCCGACACGTATCTGATGCCGCACTCGATCTTCAGCGTGGTGGTGAAGCTTGCGACCCATAAAATTTTCATGCTGAATGGACGCTGAATCGATGAATTGTGAATACTTGACCTACTAAAAAAGAAATTGTGTAACCGCTAACGCGAACGCTGTGAAAAGGTCCTGTAAGTCTGGAACTGATATCTGGGGCCCTTAAGCTGTTACCAACAAGGTACAATGTATTAATGGAGGTGTAAAGGAGGTGTAATTTATAAAGTGAATAGTAAGGACAGCTTTGCAGTCTAAGTCCTAATAAGAAAACTTAGTCGACAGTCCTGCTATAAAAATAGCAGGTAATGGTTGGTAAATACTAACCTACCTTCTACTATATACATCTCCTATCTATGATTTTGTGCTCTCCATAACTAACGGCAAAGCTCCATTCTACTCATAAGGACATAAGCGAGAGTGTGACCTTGAAGGCTACTGGTGCATAAGGCATTGAATCTAGAGTATAGAATACAGAGCTACGCCAAATCACTTTTTGCTTTGTGTGCGGACTGAGCAAGAATTATACGTATTAACAGTTTTGCAATCTGGTCACTATAATATCAAAATATATTCAAACTAGCTTCCTTATAGCGAATTCTGAGACAGAGTTAAAGAAATTCTCGACTCACCTACTATTAGGGATATTATGCCTCCCAAGAAAGATAAAGACAAAATCAGTGTGGCAACTATGGATAAAAGCAAGAGCATTAACATTTCCGTATACTTGTTCACCTAAAATCCAAGAACGGACTATAACTAATAGATTATCTCAGGGTGAACGTAATGAGTTTGCTCCTTTATCTCAAGACCCCTCTCAGAATGCCTCCCAGCAAATATCGCACCAAACACTTTATGATGCTTTGGATACCTTGTATTGTAAACTAAAACAAGACCTGGAAGACAATTCAAATTTATTAAGGCTAGAGATTGCCAATATATCTAATATTCTGCAAATTCAAGCAGATACAATCAAACAATTACAGGCAAATAATGAAGACCTGATGGTAAAATGTAGCCAATTAGAAGGAAAACTTCAAGCTCAAGAGGAAAAGTTGGGGGACCTAGAAGACAGATCGAGGAGGAACAACATTAAGTTGTGAGGAGTTCCAGAATCTATCAAATATGACCAACTGGATCAATTTTTAAAATCTTTTTTTCAGTTATTTATTCCTGAGACTTCCTTGGGGGACCTACCATTTGAAAGGTTTCATAGGTTGAACAGACCAAAGAACTTGTCACCTAATACACCAAGGGACATTATGATATGTTTCTTCAATAATATAATAAAAAAATCGGATCATGCAATCGGTACAGAAGAATGGCAATATTGATCTTGAATTTAAGGATTTTCAAATTTTTCTCTGATGACGCAACAAGCAAGGAGGAAATTCTCTATTCAAACTGCCAACTTGAGAGCACATGGGATTAAATATAAATGGAATTTTCCAATGGCCTTATTAGTATCCTTTCAGCATCGGAAATTTCTCTTCAAAGACCCCATAGTGGCGCAAGAAACCATACAGTCTTGGAATTTGCCATAGACTAAATCATATGGAGAAGAGAATTTATGAAAGTATATGGGGAAGAGAATGTTTTTTTTTTCCTCTCTTTTCTCCTGTCCTGTGTGCTATAATTGCACTTTTGCACTAGCTCTCCTAACAAGTATACGTTGAGATGACTGAATGAATATGTTACACGTATAATGAGATACACGAGTCATATTGCTTCACTGTTAGTTGTTGCACTTTTATGTATTGAACGTATCTTCACTTAACAAATTCAATCCTATACTGTCTACTGGGGTAGGAAATATTCAGAGGATTATTTATTTGTATATATGCACATAGCACCTATACACTACTATGTTGAATTCTGATACATTTTTTTATTTTTTGTTTGTGCTATTATTGCACCTCAGTACTGTTTTTTTAATATGTAAATGTTGAGATGACTGAAGGTGTACGATGACTATATTTACAATCAGTCATATGAGTTATTTTGTTTTTCGGATACTTGCTGCACTTCTAAATATTGATCGTATATTCACTTAACAGATTTAATCTTATGCCGTCTACTGGGGTAGGTAGCATTCATATGACTATAATCTGTATATTCATATATAGCACTTTTACACCACGATGATTGGATTATGGATACTTAGAGAAAAGAAAGCGGGAAAGAGGGTAAGAAGTATTTTTTCTTTTGCCCTAGGCGTTATAATTGCACTTCTACACTAACTCCCTTAACAAATATATGCTGAGATGATTGAAAGAGTACGATGACTATACACATAATGAGATGCATGAGTTATATTGTTTCACTGTTAGCTGCTGCACCTTTAGGTACTGTTTGTATCCTCAATTAACAAATTTAATCCTATATTGTCCATTGGGATAGGAAGTATCCACATGTTTATAAATCCGTATACTTGTACACAGTACCAATACACCACTATGTTTTGATTAATGATAGATAGAGAAAAGGATAGAGAGTAAGGAAAGGGAAAGAAATAAAGTTATTTATTTTTTCCTTTTTTTTCCCCTTTCTTCCCCTACACCTGTGCTACACCTACATCTCCGCATCTCTCGAGATTATTGAATTAGTATGCTGACTATACTCATAATGAGTTACATGAACTATATTGTTTCACTGATAGTTGCTGTACCTCTGTATCGTTTGTATCCTTATATAACAAACATAATCTTACTGTGTTTACTGGGATGGGCTGTATTTATATAATTATTCATCTGTAATTCGTATATAGTTCTTATACATTATGATGTTTTGCACATTGCTACCACGGCATATCTGGAATGTGTATCTAGGGAGGATGTTATATATTCTCTCGGCCATATGTCTGCATATTTCCCTTTATTTTATTTTTTTTAATATATATTACAACATTTCAAATGTTAATATCTAGGTAAGGATCAATTCAATCTCCATTTAAATAAATAAAGGAGTAAGAGGAACATTTAAGGGTAAACGAGACTAGTCTTGAACGGTTCAAGCATGGTTCGATCTGGGCGTCCCTGTGTTTTTCCTCCCCCATTCAAGGACCTTAATCCTGCAAACCTAGGCAGACCCGTCTAAGGGTTTACAGATATGTTTCCTTATTGGACTATTAGGGGTGATTTTTCCCGCCCCTTGGGGTTTATTTTAGTTTTCATTATATATTTTTTTCTTCTTTTTTTTGGGTTTTGTTAAAATTAGGTTTGGTGAAGGGCTTAAAGGGTATATTGCGAGTTATGATGTCACTTAAGGTATTTTCCTCAGAAAAGGGGGACTGTGGGGGGGCGTGGCTTCGAGCACGACGGGACCGGCTGCGTTAATGTGAAGCTCCCGAAGCCCGGGTCTTTAGGGGCACAACTAACCGGCACCACTAGCAGCAAATCGCTTACTCACCCCCACCATGGCACATAGAAGCAAGGGGAAGACCCCCCGAACGGAGAAAGCCTCCTTCTTCCTCGCACGAGCTCCGGCGGGAAAACACAGGGAAGACCAGGCCCAAAATGGCGGCGGACAGCGCTCAGGCGAGGTTTCACCCTCCCCTCCACCCTCACCAAGCTCAGCCTCAGAGGAAGGTCCCCTCACAGTTGCAGGGATGAGAACCCTGATGGCAGAGCTCTCTGACAAACTGCAGGCAAGCATTAAAGTGCAGATGCATGAGCTCACCACAGATCTCAGAAAGGAGCTGCTGGAGATTGGGAGCAGGACAGCCCAGGTAGAAAAATCCCTGGATGATTTTGCAGTGGCCCACAACAGCCTTGCAGACAAGCTACAAGAACTGGAAACCTTGTTAGAGACCCAGAAACGCAAAGTCGCAGATCTGGAAGACAGATCCAGGAGGAATAATCTTCGTTTCAGAGGTATACCAGAATCAGCTCAATCCACAGAACTGCACAAATACTTGACCGACCTGTTCCAGGAATTAATCCCATCTACCCACTCATCGATAGAGCCCACCGCCTGCGCAGGCCTAACCACCTACCCGCCACTACAGCGAGAGATGTAATTGCACGCATCCACTTCTACCACGTGAAAGAGCGCATTACAAAAGCCTGCAGAAATGCCTCCCTTCCTGAACCATACGCTAACATCAAAGTCTTCGCAGACCTGTCAGCTGCCACACTGCAGTTTAGAAAATCGATGTCCCTGATCACTACCACGCTCCGATCCAACGATATCAGCTACCGATGGGGATATCCGGCGAAGTTGTTGGTGCAGAAGCAGGGGGTGATCCATGCCGTAGCGACGGAAACTGATGGCCTAAAAAAGCTACAGGACTGGGGTATACCGCTGCCTACGCGTTTGGCGTCCTCACCGGCTAAAGTCCCCAGACTGACGCCAGAATGGACTCCCGCCTAAGGGCAGAAGGCCCTCCCGAGTAGGGTATTGTATACCAATGCACGTTATATGTTTTAGAGAGATGCTTATGACACTTATGTTTTATGCAAACTGTCCACTTCGATGTAACGATAGAGTTTAAGGTTAGAACCCAACACTGCCCAATTAGCATGACCACACCTGTATAGCAGTTGAACAGGGCGCATGGAGAGGCAAAAAAAAGGTTTAAAAAATAAATAAATAAAATAAACAAAAAAAAAATCCTATGACATTTGAGCTTAGTCACGCCTCAAGCGAGCTAGTTGTGGGACACCTCGCACCAAGGCATCTACCATGCCTCGCCATATACGGCGACCCATGGTTACTAAATCTACCCCACTAGGGCTAGAGTAGTACACTCAGCTATTTAAAGCCACCACACGTTAAGACTTGAGTACTGATCACCCTAGATGGGCCCGCGTTGGAGTACCATGGGCATACACTGAGACGGACACCCGCCCAAGGCAGGCATCTTACCTAAACACACACTACATACCCCTGCTTGAAGGAGATGTCTTATTGTTTAACATTTTAAGGTTTATATACATGTCTTTTCTTAGTTTTTTTGCTCTATGGTCAAGAACTATCCCGCGCTTACTTTACCTCCATGACCAGTGGTCGTCCTCATCACTTCTTTAATAGTAGAGCACACCAC